TTCTAGTCCAATACCCTGCTCAAGGCAGGAGACTTTATACCAGTGGTTCTCAACCTGTGGGTCGGGACCCCATTTGGGGTCGAACGACCATTTCACGGGGGTCGCCAAACAAGGCTGTCCGCCATTTTTTCCCCCTTTTCTTTGAGCACGCCCCTGGCACCCGGTGATGTATAAGTGATTGGGGATCACCACAACATGGGGAACTGTATTATGGGGTTGCAGCATTAGAAAGGTTGAGAATCACTGCTTTATACCATCCCAGTAAAATGGTTGGCCAGTCTATTTTTGAAAATGCATAGTGACAGAGTGAAACCTCTGGGACTCAAAGCTGTTCCATTAATTGTTCTGTCAGAAAATTTTCCCTTACTTTTAGGTTGGATTTCTCTTTAACAAGCTTCTACCCATTACTTCTTGTCCTGTCCTCTGGTGCTTTAATGCCCTCTTAGCAGCCGCTCAAGCATTGGGGGAGTTGTCATGCCCCCAGTCTTTTTGATACACTTAGACACACCTAACTCCCTCAACCATTCATCATCGCTACAGCGTCCAGCTTTGAGAAAGGTCCCAATCCCTTTTAGTTTGGTACAATTTGTTGTTGTTAATTGCGAAGTCGTGTCTGACCCATCGCAACCCCATAGACAACGTTCCTCCAGGTCTTCCTGTCCTCTACCATCTTCTGGAGTCCATTTAAATTCACACCTACTGCTTCAGTGACTCCATCCAGCCATCTCATTCTCTGTTGTCCCCTTCTTCTATTGCCCTCAATCTTTCCCAGTATTAGGCTCTTCTCCAGTGAATCCTTCCTTCTCATTAGGTGGCCAAAGTACTTGAGTTTCAACTTCAGGATCTGGCCTTCTAAAGAGCAGTCGGGGTTGATCTCTTCTAGGAGTGACCGGTTTGAACGCCTTACAGTCCAAGGGACTCGCAGGAGTCTTCTCCAGCACCATAGTTCAAAGGCCTCAATTCTTTTGCGCTCAGCCTTTCTTATGGTCCAACTTTCACAGCCATACATTGCAACTGGGAAAACCATGGCCTGGACTATACGCATTTTTGTTGGCAGGGTGATGTCTCTGCTTTTTAGAATGCTGCCTAGATTTGCCATAGCTTTCCTCCCCAGGAGCAAGCGTCTTTTAATTTCTTGGCTGCAGTCCCCGTCTGAGGTGATCTTGGAGCCCAGAAAATTAAAATCTGTCACTACCTCCATTTCTTCCCCATCTATTTGCCAGGAATTGAGAGGGCCGGATGCCATGATTTTGGTTTTCTTAATGTTGAGTTTCAAGCCAACTTTTGCACTCTCCTTCTTCACCCGCATCAAGAGGCTCTTTAGTTCCTCTTCACTTTCTGCCATCAGAGTGGTATCATCTGCATATCTTAGGTTGTTGATATTTCTCCCGGCAATCTTAATTCCAACTTTTGATTCATCTAGCCCTGCCTTTCTCATGATGTGCTCTGCATATAAGTTAAATAGGCAGGGCGACAGTATACAGCCTTGCCGGACTCCTTTTCCAATTTTGAACCAATCAGTGGTTCCGTGTTCGGTTCTCACTGTTGCTTCTTGACCCGCATATAGGTTTCTCAAGAGACAAATGAGATGGTCTGGTACTCCCATCTCTTTAAGAACTTGCCACAATTTGTTGTGATCCACACAATCAAAGGCTTTTGCATAGTCAATGAAGCAGAAGTAGATGTGTTTCTGGAACTCCCTAGCTTTCTCCATGATCCAGCGTATGTTGGCAATTTGATCTCTAGTTCTTCTGCCTCTTCGAAATCCTGCCTGTACTTCTGGTAGTTCTCGATCCACATACTGCTGGAGTCTAGCTTGTAGGATTTTAAGCATAACTTTACTAGCATGTGAAATGAGTGCAATGGGGCGATAGTTTGAACATTCTTTGGCATTGCCTTTCTTTGGAATTGGAATGTAAACTGACCTTTTCCAATCCTGTGGCCACTGTTGAGTTTTCCAAATTTGCTGGCAAATTGAGTGTAGCACTTTTACTGCATCGTCTTTTAAGATTTTGAATAGCTCAGCTGGAATACTGTCACCTCCACTAGCTTTGTTGTTGCTCAGATTTTCTAAGGCCCATTTCAGTTCACATTCTAGGATGTCTGGTTCGAGGTCAGTGACCATCTCATTGTGGTTATCTGGGATGTTAAGCTCATTCTTGTATAGTTCTTCTGTGTAGTTTTGCCATCTCTTCTTAATCTCTTCTGCCTCTGTTAGGCCTCTGCCATTTTGGTCCTTTATCATGCCCATCTTTGCATGAAACATTCCCTTCATATCTCCAATTTTCTTGAAGAGATCTCTGGTCCTCCCTATTCTGTTGTTTTCTTCTATTTCTTTGCACTGTTCATTTAAGAAGGTATTCTTATCTCTTCTAGCTATTCTCTGGAATTCTGTATTCAATTGGGTGTATCTTTCTCTTTCTCCTTTGCCTTTCGCTTCCCTTCTTTCCTCAGCTATTTGCAAAGCTTCCTCAGATAGCCATTTTGCTTTCTTGCATTTCTTTTTCTTTGGGATGGTTTTAGTTGCTACCTCTTGTACAATGTTGCGAACTTCCATCCATAGTTCTTCAGGCACTCTGTCTATCAGATCCAGTTCCTTAAATCTATTTGTCACCTCTACTGTATATTCATCAGGAATATGATTTAGTTCATACCTGAGTGGCCTAGTGCTTTTCCCTACTTTTTTCAATTTAAGCCTAAATTTTGCAACGAGAAGCTCATGATCTGAGCCACAGTCAGCTCCTGGTCTTGTTTTTACTGACTGTATAGAGCTTCTCCATCTTTGGCTGCAGAGCACATAGTCAATCTGATTTCTATGTTGACCGTCTGGTGATGTCCATGTGTAGAGCCGTCTCTTGGGTTGTTGGAAAAGAGTGTTTGTTATGACCATCGTATTCTCTTGACAAAATTCTATCAGCCTGTGCCCTGCTTCATTTTGTACTCCAAGGCCAAACTTGCCTGTTATTCCGGTTATCTTTTGGCTTCCTACCTTAGCATTCCAATCCCCCATGATGATAAGGACATCATTTTTTGGTGTTAATTCTATAAGGTGCTGTAGGGCTTCATAGAACCGGTCAATTTCATCCTCTTCAGCACAGTGGTTGGGGCATAGATTTGGACTACTGTGATATTGAATGGTTTGCCTTGGATTCGAATTGAGATCATTCTGTCATTTTGGGGATTGTATCCCAGTATTGCTTTTCCTATTCTTTTATTGACTATGAAGGCTACTCCATTTCTTCTGAGGGATTCTTGCCCACAGTAGTATACTTGATGGTCATCTGAGTTAAATTCACCCATTCCTGTCCATTTTAGTTCGCTGATTCCTAAGATGTCGATGTTCAGTCTTGTCATCTCTTTTTTGACTACGTCTAGCTTGCCTTGATTCATGGATCTTACATTCCAGGTTCCTATGGAGAAAAAATCTTTACAGCATTGGACTTTCCTTTCACCACCAGATATATCCACAGCTGAGCATCCTTTCGGCTTTGGCCCAGTGCTTCATTCTTTCTGGCGCTACTAGTACTAGCCCTCTGCTCTTCCCCAGTAGCATATTGGACACCTTCCGACCTGAGGGGCTCATCTTCCAGCGTCATATCTTTCTTCCTTTTAGTACTGTCCATGGGGTTTTCATGGCAAAGATACTGGCCTTTATGGAAAAAAGAACTGGATTCTGAAGGGTCTCCAAGTTTTCTGGATCTCCTTCTCTGATAGCTGAGACTGTGAGCAATCATTCGTTAGGGAGGGATTACATCCCGGGATGACGTCATCTCAGGAATTTTTATTGGTCTGAGAATGATGAGAAATATCCTTCTCTTTTATTAAGTTAGAACCAATTGGCATACGATCCCATCTAGCATATTTGTGTATTTGTTTAACAAATAATCAAATATCTAGAAATATTTAAAAATGGGTAAGATTACTATATGCCTAGTGAGATTCCTTATCCTATGCAGAAGATGCAACCATGGACCTTCCACACAAGAAAAACGATGAGTGTAGAGCATATTGGTCGAGGCCTTAAACTAGGTATTGAGAGACAAGAGATTCCCCATTTTGGACCAGACATTCTGTCTAAGCTCAACATACTTCACAGGTGTTGTGTGTGTGTGGGGGGGGGAAGGGCTATGTATGCACTCTGATCTCCTGAACTCAAGCTGGGATATAAATCTAATACATACATAAATAAAAACCCTAATCAGTCCTATAATTAAGTTAGGGTCCTTATAAACAATTTCAGCTACCTTACTAATAAGTCGATTCCTACATAATAGAATATTTTAACCAGGTTCAAATAAAACACTATAATCTGTATTCAACTCCCTGTCCTAGGTTTTTTTTCTAGGTGTAATGTTTTTTTTATTTTGTGGCAATTGAAAAAACTATGCCAACCTACCCAGAAAGTTAGATTGACAGCTATTTGTCCTCGTTTTGGAAAGCTACCCAAAGTGTGTTTGACCAAAAGAAATAAAGCACAGCGTGTGAAGTGATATAATTTATATCCGTAACATAGGTAGTCTTTGTCATATGACCACAACTGAGCCCAAAATTTCTATTGTTAAGTGAGATATTTGTTAAATGGGTTTTGTCCCATTTTACAACTTTTCTTGCCACAATTGTTAAGTGAATCCCTCAGTTGTTAAACTAGTAGCAGGGTTGTTAAATGAATCTGGCTTCCCCATTGGCTTTGCTTGTCAAAAGGTCATGCAAGGTGATCTCATGATCCCAAGACTCTGCAAACGTCGTAAAGATGAGTCAGTTGCCAAGTGTCTGAATTTTGATCACATGACCGTGGGGATGCTGCAACAGTCATAAGTGTGGGAAATGGTCATAAGTCACTTTTTTCAGTGATGTTGTAACTTTGAACGGTCACTAAGTGAACTGTTGTAAGTCGAGGACTACCTTTACTGCATATGTGATAGCTGATTCCTAACATGCAGGAATCATCAACAATATACCGACATGGGAATCAATCACTCAGTCTCCGCATTCCCAACAACTGCTTTACACATTAAGCATTTTAATTAAGGAAGTGCTCTCTCTCAAGTTACATTTGTCATAACCCAACGTAACATAGGCAGAACAATGAAAGACACATTCATTGGAGGAAAGGAGGGAAATAAGAGGTGGTAACGTGTCATCAGCTGAAGCATTCCTGACGTTCCCTCTGAAGCTAGGTATCTGCATGCAACAGCTGACAAATCCATGCAGCTGAACCTTCTTACACATCATCTCCACATTGCATGTTTAAAGGGCAGAGTCCTAAATCATCTCTGCACACCAAAAAAAAAAAAAAGCAGGACATAAAAGGAAGGTTGGAGTAAAAGCATTTTCATGCCTCTGTCCTCCTCAATCTGATAAAGTCCAAGGGGCAAGAAAACTGCAAAGTCATGTAGTGAACTGGATACCACAGAAGAATCAATCCTCCCTGAATCCCCCAGTGATATTGTTGTGACTGTTGGATGCATTAGGATAAAATTTGGGCAAAATCCTGGAAGACAATTAGAATCTTATACACAAAAACTAAAAGAATTTTTAAAAGCCAAGCTGTTCTTACCCCTATTATTATTAAGCAGTAGTCTAAATGCTACTTAATATTTTAAAAATGGATTCCCTTCACATATAGATACAAACCAATAAAAAATATACTTTCTGTTGCAAACATATTTTCACAAAAATGAGTTAGAGCAACAAAATCTCTTTCCTCCCCCCCTCCTTGCTTTCTTACATATTTTCTGGCAAATGCCTCTGGTCTATCAACTGTGCAACACTAAATTCAAGACAGATGAAAGAACCAGATTTTAGCTCGTTTCAACAGGCTAAAACACTTGCAGGAAATTTCTTTGGGATATAAAACACAAAATTAGTAAAGAACCAAAATAAATGTAAATGGAGGTGAATGTTTATCCTACTGCATTAGGGGGGGAAACCAAATATTTACATTCTAATTCCTCTTCATCCAAAGCAGTTCAGAATTGTAATCAAACATGTTTTAAATGTATCCCAAAAAGCATCACATCTAAATGTGACTGTTGGAAGCAATGGTATTTCGAGAAGCCCCAATTCACTGCAATAAATACAGATTTGCTTTTGTCAGGTATGAAATAGTTTTAAGCCAACATTTTGAGAAGGACGTTTGATTCCCTCTTTTACAAAAAGCCAAGCTAGCAGGAAAGGCTTCAATTAAAAATTGAGTAAATGATGGTCTAATGAGCAAACTCTTACCCCAAAATTAGGTTGCTCATTTCCCAAACTAGCAGTTTTCTATTTCTCCTAAAAAATTCAAGGCTTGGTATGTTATCTTTACATAGTCCTCCCTGAAATGGGCACTTTCTAGATGTAGGGCACTACAAGTCTCATCATCCCCAGTCTGTAGCTTTATAAATGTGGAAGTTGCCAGGTTTGAAAAAGTTGTCTTAATGCTGAACCCTGGGATATCTAATGTATCCCATGGGATATCTAAGTAAAAAGAGCTCAAGAAAAGAGAAATTTTCATCAAGGTTTCTCTGGATTCCTATCTCACTGCCATTTGATGCTTGATACCATGACCCAGGGATTACTATATCAAATCAGTTAAGATTGCATAGAGCCTAAAGTAATTGCTTTCCCCTCCAACTATACTGATGTATACTTCTCTCCCGTCCCATTATTCTGTCATGTTAAATGGGGGAAAGTGCATTTACATAACTGCAAATGTACTGTTTGTCTGAGAAGGTTTATGTTCCTAAAAACTGTTTTGGAGAAATGTAAAGTTTACTAGTGTGTTGTAGAAAATAGATGTGGTTGCAATTAGTTTACAGAGAACAGAAGCTTAAGGACCATAATCAGTGTCTTTGTTTAGAGAGAGATAGCTGGAATGCAAAGTTTCAGTCTATTGTCCCCAACAACATTTGTGCAAGGTAAGCCACTGAATGTGATCTTATCTGCTCTCCGATACAAACCTGGGCAAACATGTGAAAATAGGAAGGGAAGGGAGGGAAGGGAAGGGAGGGAAGGGAAGGGAAGGAAGGAAGGAAGGAAGGAAGGAAGGAAGGAAGGAAGGAAGGAAGGAAGGAAGGAAGGAAGGAAGGAAGGAAGGAAGGAAGACACCTGAAGGCATTGTAGTGCTATGACCAAGCTGTGCCTCTTGGGGAGCATGTATGCAATGTTATGGCCCATATAGAAAAGGGGCTTGCATCAGTAACACTGTAGGCATCATTTTGACTCGTCCTTCTCCTTTGCTCCCCTGTGGTTGCAACTGGAAAGGAGGAAAACTCAAGTGCTGGGCAAAAGAGAAAGACCTATAAATGCTGAAAGTCTAAAATTTCACCGTAATATGGCTAAAAGAATGATAATCATGTAATTGAAACAACAGTACAGTACAAAGCTGATAACTATTTACATAGTCCACAAGCTCATTACTGATACAACACAAAATCCACAACAGCACTGAAAAAGCTTGGGATCCACATTCAAGAGTTTCAGAGCTAAAGATTCACAATGTCTTAAATTCCGTTAAAGCAGTGCTTTTCAAAAGTGTTTTGGAGAACCGCTGGATTTTTTCAGATGGTCAACAGTGGCAAAATCAAAACAAAGCAGTCCCACTCACAGTTGCTAATCTTGCTTTACAAAGTGGTATCTTCCAGATGTTTTAGGATCAAGACTCCTACCTTATCTTAAACCTAATCCCAACAGGGAATGCCAGATTAAGGCCACTATTCTTGGCTATGCAGGTTGAGAGTCTTAACCATGGTCCCATGTAAGCAGAGCGAGCACCTCAAAAGGCTTGCAACATGCAGATGGATTCCGTGGTGAACAAGGAGGATGTTTTGCAGAGTTTGAAAAAAAAACTGCATAAAGCCTGACTACTCTAAAGAAGAATTTAAATTCACCATCTGGTAACAGCAGTGAATGTAAAGGTATTTTTGATAACTCAATGAGGCATGATGTAGAAGCCAACACAAACGCAGAGATGTTAACAATGGTTTCTATAGCTAACTGTAAAATGTGTGATGGACACAATACGGGCATGATTTCTTTAGAGGAAGTTAACAAAAGAGTATGGAAAGCAAGATATGAATTATGCCCTTTTATATGCCCTTTCTTTTCTTTTAAACAAAAAAAAAGCATTGCATTCCAAAATTCTTTTGTTGGGCAATCCGTATACAACAGAAGGCACTGTTATCCATAGGACCCCTTCAATTTCACACGGCAAAAACCTGAGAAGTGCAATTCCATTCGGTTTCAAACAGCTGGTCCCCCCTTTCCTAAGGAGAAGAAGAGAAGACAGATGCTTTCTTTTCAGTCCAACAACTTATAAAAATACCCACAAGAATTTATACATTACAGCAGCTGGTTAGAAAGAATGTCTTAATGAGGGGGAAGAGGGTCAAATACGGCCTTTTCCAAAGGGGAAACTTGCAGACCTCTTGATTACCTTCCCTGTTCATAAGTCACATTTTTTAATAATGAAATGTTTTTGCAGTTCTTTAAGCTCCTTTCCCCTTCAGTTGCTTCCTGGAGCAGTGCCAAAGTTATATCCAGAGACCAGTCCTTTGTTATCGAATGGGAAGCCTGTTTGTTGTTCTATCCTCTTTGATTCTAAATTGAAAAGAAACAAATGAATATTAAGAGACAGGCTGCAAATCTATCATCATGCACTACCAATGATACTTTCAATCTCTTTTTAACAGATACATTAACGATATGTAATTTCTGAAGACCCTCTAAATATGAGGAAAAGAATCAGAACTCTTTTAAGAAGAAGAAACATACAGCTTTTTGGATTTTCCCTGTTGTTACCCCTTCTAGATCAATTATTCAACATATTTAACTTGCAGAAGTTTTGAAAAAAATCATGCAGGTAGAGAACTAAATACTACAGGTAGTCCTCGACTCACGACCACAATTGAGCCCCCAAATTCTGTTGTTAAGTGAGACAATTTGTTAAGTGAGTTTTGCCCCATTTTATGACCTTCCTTGCCACAGTTGTTAAGTGAATCACTGCAGTTGTTAAGCTAGTAACCCGGTTGTAAAGCGAATCTGGCTTCCCCATTGACTTTGCTCGTCAGAAGGCTGCAAAAGGTGATCCCATAACCTCGGGACACAGGAACAGTCATAAATATGAACCAGTTGCCAAGCGTCTGAATTTTGATCACATGATCACGGGGACGCTGCGAAGGTCGTTAACTGTGAAAAGCAGTCATAAATCACTTTTTTCAACGCCATTGTAGCTTTGGACGGTCACTAAATAAACTGTTGTAAGTCGAGGACTACCGATATTTCAACCTTCCCCAATCTGGGCATTCTTTAAAGGGGCAGACTGAGCATCCAGCGTTTCTCACTGACCACCACCACCACCACCACCATCGTTGGAAATTCTAGGAACTGAAAGGAGCATAAACACACTGGGGAATCTCAGACGGAGCACTGCACTAGTTGGGCACTGGGAGGAACATTTAAGTGAACCTGACATAAAGCATGCATGTCAAACTGCAATAAAGCAAGACATAAGGTTCCAAGTCAGACCCATTTTTTTCCATCCAGCCCTATTTCTCCCCCCCCACACACACACTGTTGACCAATGAGCTAATCCTTTTAACTTGCAATGCCAAAAAATGAACTTGGAAACTTCCATATATAGAGCACATGCTGTTATCATTGAACTGTAGCCCCCCCCCCAGAATGAATGTCTAATCTATGCTGAGAAGTAACTATGAGGCAAACACCCCCCCCACACACACACACATTTTTTAACAATTGAATACATGGAATGTTTAAACATGCTGTGCATTTAGATTCCCTGCATCTTTCTTTTGAAAATGGTGACAAAGGTAAGTAGTGAAAAAATGGGGTGGGAGGTTTAGGAAGAACATGTTTGCAGGCTCATCGGTAACAGTTTATTTCTTAGCTATTAGACAGGTCAGCTGTGTCTAAAGAAATTAATGTCCTGCTAGACTTGTAAGCATGTTACACTAACTTTCTGACATCCACCTCCACAATGTGGAACGACTCACTGGGGATTCATTATTTTTCTTCCCGAAGTATCTGCTCTTGTTCTCCTAAGAGGAGTAAAAATATGTGATGGGCCACCCCACACTACCCAAAACTTCTATATGAAACAAATCCAATATATAAAAACTTCTCATAATGGACAAACACAAAGAAAACTAACTTGGGACAGATTATTTTGCTTTACAGGGCTGCAATAACTGAGAGTTCCTTTTGATAGATTTTAGACTGTAAGCTTTCTACAAACATTCTTGCAACAGACCTGCAGAGTTTCTCCGGTGTTCAGCTAATGCACAGATTTCCTGCAGCTGAGTCTTCTGATCAGCGCTGAGTGGTGCAGTCAACAAATGGTACCAGCCAGCATCTCGGCTTTGTATCGCTGAAAACACAAAATATATTTCTTTCAAGAGACATACAACTTGCCAAATTCCCAGTCTACATCATTAAACCACCATTTTATCACGTGCAGAGACCTACTTTTAAAGTGAGTATACTGAGCCAAGGTTTCTGCTATATATGAGATAGACTGTTTTAATATTCTTAGTGATGGATCTCCAGTAACTGTTCAGTTGTTCCAACAGCTTTATTTCCAGAAACATGAACTCCTTTATCAACAGTATCATATCTTCCTGTTGCTCCTAAGTTCTCAAGGCAGTTAATTATAGCATAGTGAGATGGGGAGTGTATAAATGTAATAAATAAAATAAAAATAAATAAACTATGAAGGACAATTAAAAGTAGCAAGTTAGCTGAGAAGTAAGGACTTACTCTAAGCCAGCCTCTGAGATTCATAGCAAGATTTGAACTTGAGTTTCTAGTATGATTACCCTGCATATAACAGACTTCTCTCCATCTGGCTGATGACTGGCATTTAATGAAATGAGTTTAGTATATACAGAACTGCTTTCTATTGAACACTGATTAAAATTGGAATCCTCTAAATCAGGGGTAGGCAACCTTGGCTCAGGAATTCTGGGAGTTGAAGTCCACTAGTCATAAAAGAACCAAGGTTGCCTACCCCTGCTCTAGATGTTTCTGCCCTCCCACTGTCATCAGATAAAACTAACACTGTGGTTGTATTTCAATAATACTGGTAATGCTACAGGTTTTCCACCGCTGATGCAGGGGTTTATAAATTAAAATTCATTTTTCAAATCAGGTGGATTTTTGTTTAAAAAAAGTCTAAAGATAATAGTAATCTTAGAAAAAACAGAAGTGCTTTAATAAATGTCTATACCTAATAATGCTTGTGTGAAGAACTGATATTCGTCCACGCCATCTTCTAGATCAATAGGGGTGCTGAAGCCTTCTAAAGCAGTTTCTTCTAATGCTTCATCATCCCAGTCATCATCATCATCATCATCTTCATTATCGTCATCTCCTGTGTCACCACCACCCCCGGCGTGGTTTTCCTGCATGTCCTGATTTGCTTCATTCGCTTCCTCTTCGTCACTTGGAATCTCTTCTGCAAATATATATATTTTTTTAAAATCAAGAACAAAGAAGACAAAGAAGACAAAGATGTATCTTTTTAACCAAAAGCACCATTTCAAAATTAATGACTCCTCCCTATGAACAAACATTCTTTAAATTACAATCTTGGTAAAGGTTGATCATGAAAACAAATTGCGTTTTTTTAAATCGAGGAAGGCTAGTTTGTGGGAAAAGTCACTTCTGATTAATAGAGCTCTGAAATAAATAACCTTTTCTAGAGAAAACTCTTAATCTTAAGGAGTATATCAGGTGTGCAGTTATGGGGATAATACTGTATTTGTCCTTCAAAATAAGATTTTTGTCTCACAACTGAGGGAGTCTAATGATGTTGAAAGAATATCATTCTACCTTTAAGAGAGTTAAGAGAGTAACATCTTGGCTAGTCTGATCTAAAGTTTTTTTTCTAGGGAAAAAAATTATAAAAGTGCTTGGGAATATTCAGAAACATTTGGAAAATGCAAATCATCTCTCAAGCACAAACGAAATAAATTATAAGTATTTCGCTATTAATAAATGCTCATCACCACAGCCAGGAAACTTATATTTGCTTGTACCGTTATCTTCTGCGTCATTCTTTTCAGCTTTCCCATGCTCTTCATGTTCTGCATGTTGCCGGGTGGCGCACATTTGTTTTAGTCCCAGGAATAGGAGGAGAACCGATGGGACAAGCTGGGCAGCCACAGCATCTACTGCAGGCGGTCGAGATGGCAGTCCCATGAGGATGCTCAGTCCGATGATGCACATCTTCCTGTCATGAAGCCTGAAGGTGCACAATTCACTGATGAGAATCAATCTTCCCAACAGAACAGTTTTCTATAAGTTAGGTGAGGATTGTGAAAAATGAGATCAGAAACATGGATGGATACTCAGTTGAGAGGAGAATCCTGAATGGATGTCCCTTTCTTTAAAATCCACTTGGAAAATTCTATTCTAGGCTTTAGCTATATAAATAAGAACAACGAGGCCCTGGTCGCAGCTTTCTTAGTCACAATACCACAATATCAGAACACTCTTTTCCAGAGAGACCTACCATACTCAATTAGGATCTTTTTTTGCTAATTTTTTTGATTAAAAATATTTATTATCCTGTATTTGTTATCTTTTTTTATTTATTATATTTTTCTTGATGTTGCTTAAATGAAGTATGTGTGTGCAATATGAAAAGGTTTGCACAAGTCACTAAACCTAATTAAAAATTAATTATATAAGATGCACCTTTTTTAAAAAAAAAAGCATTAAAATGAGTTAATTTCAAATTCCTAGTACCTGGGGGGGGGGAAACAAAGCCAAAATACAGTATTCTAAAATTTTAATTTTTAATTTTACTCTAAGATGCTAAGGAAAAGATTATAGTTCTAACCCTGTAAAATTGCAAAGTCAGTTATTTTCAAGCATAGATTCCTGGGGATTACGAATAATATTTCGAAGGTATCTGTTGCCTAGCACAGACACAGTTAAGATAATACAGTAGTCCTCAACCTATGACCACAATTAAGCCCAAAATTTCTGTTGCTAAGTGAAACATTTGTTAAGTGAATTTTGCCCCATTTTGCGACCTTTCTTGCTACAGAAGTTAAGTGAATCACTCAGTTGTTAAGTTAGTAGCACGGTTGTTAAGTGAATCTGGCTTCCCCATTGACTTTGCTTGTCAAAAGGTCGTACAAGGTGATCACATGATCCCAAGACTCTGTCTTTCTCATTGACTTTGCTTGTCAGGCGATCACAGGACCACGGGACGGCAACCGTCATGAGTCAGATGCCAAGCATCCAAATTTTGATCATGTGACCCTGGGGATGTTTTATTTATTTATTTATTTATTTATTTATTTATTTATGAGACTTATATACCGCTTTAAGTGCAAGCACTCTCTAAGCGGTGTACACCAGTAAGCAATGTATATATATATTTACATTGCCCCCAACAATCTGGGTCCTCATTTTACCTACCCCAGAAGGATGGAAGGCTGAGTCAACCTTGAGCCGGTGAGATGTTGCAATGGTTATTAAATGTAAAAAACAGTCATATGTTATATATGTTTAAGGATTGGGGTGAGTGGGTGGAACTTATATTAAATGATTACGTAAATGCTAATAATTTTATAATGTGTTTTGGCAGAGGAGACAGCAAATAAAGAGAATTTCAGAAGCATATTATGATGAAGACAGATGTCCTTAGTCTGTCTCAGTGTTTTAGGACATTTTCTGGCATATCAGAGAAAATGCAAAGAACTATTTTCTCCAAATAACATGAACTGAGAACAGACTAGCTGATCCAACCACTGAATCATTTCTTATATGAACTGCCTATGAAAAGCGTCCAGAGAAACTTCAAACTGAGGCAGTCAAATTATTAATCAAAGCACTAAATGGGATCTCATCACTCCCTTTGTAAAAACAGTCCCAAGGAGTTTTGTTTCATTTTACAGGCATAATTCAGAGTTAGTCGTGATTTAAACTTCCTCCATAGGTGCAGAACGAGATATCTCAAGTACCATTTTACTCTAAAGTGAGCTTGACTCAGTATCAAGATACTCTAGAGAAGCTCTACTGTGCAACTCACCAACATCAGCATTCTGTTGCCAGGAAAAAGAAGGAGATTGTTCAGCAGCTGCTTGCAAGTTCTGGAATTCCCTCTTGAAAGTGGGTATCTTTGACCTCCTTATTTGCATAATACTCTTGCTACTCTTTATGAATATGAAAAGGGGTTCCTTTTTCAATTTTTGAAAAAGCCTATTTTGGAAGCTTTTTAGTCTGATGCTTTGTTGGGCTTCAATTGCCTTTTTTTATATCTATGTTATTAAAGATAATTAGGATACACAGGTACATATTTATACAAGTGAAATGAAACAAACTTTGCAGGCCTGATTGGTATCCTGACTCTCAACCAGCCACTGAGTCCTGTCGGAATCAGAGACCAGTCATAGCAGGATGCAAATATGTCTCTTTGCCTTATGCAGCGTTTATTGTTTTATACAGTTTTCCAAGCAGGAAAAGATAACAAACATAGCAACAGCACAGCAACGGCATTTTTATTGGTAGATTCTCCTTGTCAATCCTTAAGAATATTTCAGCCAGGGGCACCAACCAGGGGCAGTTTTCTGCTACATCCTGTTGGTATGAACAAGATGAGATCATGTGAACCAGGTGAAATCATGTACCAGCCTGGGGTAGTTTCCTACATCATCATGGCAATATGAACGGGGTGAGATCATGTATTTGAGCCGAGGCAGTATGCTGCACACGAACTTTACATGACCTCTATCCCTACAAGTCCAACTTCTCTCCACTCTCTAGAACAGGGATATCCAACTGTTTGGTAACTGGTTCATATTTATGTTAGTTGCAGCATCCTGGGATCACCTTTTGCAACCTTCTGACAAGCAAAGACAGTGAGAAAGCCAGATTCACTTAACAACTGTGTTACTATCTTCGCAGCTGTGGCAAGAAAGGTCATAAAATGGGGCAAAATTCACTTTAAAAATGTCTCGCTTAGCAACAGAAATTTTGGACTCAACTGAGATCATAGGTTGAGGGCTCCCTGTACAAAATAATTTCCTTTTTTATTTTTTAAAGAGAAAACATACATTTAATGTCACATACAATCAATAACAAGTGCCAATGACAAGTTGCCCAGTTAATGAAACTCAGCCAATTCTCTATAAAATACATGTATTAAACCAACTGTAAAAGTCTCATTTGAAATGTGCTATGGTTTTAAATATCTTGATTTAGCTAGATTACATGAATGTATGTGCTTTCCTTCTGAATTTGACATCACCGCTGACGTCACATTCAGGAGCTGAAGCTATAGCTCCATGCCCTGAATGCCACTTGGGGAAGGGGAAAACTAAAATCATCACTATTCGTACAAAGTAGGACTTGTGAGAAAAATCTTAGTCCGAAGAGAAGCATATCAATTCTATCTTTTCATGCTTGTTCCAAAGGTCACTATGTGGTATTTCATAATACAATAGCACACCTGAGGGCAGGTAGGAAAGCAAGACAATCCTGGCATTTCCTCTCAAATTAAGGTCTCCAAAACACCTGAAGGTGTTGAAAAAGAAAGCATCACAGACCTACCCAAGAAAACAGTCTGTATCGTTCATCCACTGGTTTATAAACTGCGCCGTGATAGGCTCTGGGTTATGAGGAAACCGGATATTCTCTAAAGTGTGCAAAAGAAGCTGGGGATTGTAGTAGAGAGCAGCAATGGCAACCTGGAGGCACATGGTGCGGAGCTCGCTGGTTTTAACTCCTCGCGTTAAGCGCTCAAGCACAGCTTCTACAAACAGAGGGATGCACTAAAGGAGAGACCAGAAATATGCAGAGAAGTACAAAGAAAAACAGGAAAAGAGAAACAAGTTGAAATATTTCAGATATTGACCCTACTTAAAAAAGGATTCAACCCTCCCCTTGTTGAAATCAGTTACAATTCTGTTTCAATTGTACACATTTCTTTGAATGACCTTGAGAGCTATGTATGTTTTGTAATAACTGGATGGGATACTGTCTGCAGAGTTCTGTTTGCTAAAAGAAATATCCAACTGTTTTTCCTCCCTCTCTCTCTCTCTCTCTCTCTCTCTCTCTCTCTCTCTTCTTTTAAAGCCACTGTGATAATTGCTGTTGGGATTTACTACAGGAAATACCAGAAGCAGGAGGAACTGTTGTGTAAGATTGTCAGAGGTCAGGAATTGAAGTATCACTCTCCTTTTTGCTCCACCCCATGGTTAGGAAATTATTTTAAAAAGAAAAAGAGGGGCACTAGGTAAAACAAACCAAACTCTTCTGGTTATGCAACCTTGATAAACATCTCTACACCTACACACACACACACACACACACACACACACACACAATTAATATTCATGTAATATAGGCCAAATCTGGCACTCCTTGTTTGGCAATCTCATGTTCTTTGTCCAGTATATAATCCTGGACAATATAATCCTCGTTCAATAATATGGATTCAGGATAGTAGCCACTGTATCCCAAAATGTCTGCAAGCCCTAAGTTCTGCTATGAACTATCTTTACTGTACCCATCAACCTCTCATTGCAGGAGTTGGCTTTCATTTTCAAAGCTTGAGCATCATCTGATGGGTGAATGCAGAAAATAATCCTTTCTCATCAAATGAAGAACAACTGGCGTGGGGAGGAAGCCTCCAACTTTTCCCGTCCTCAGTTCTTCTCCTGACTAGGTGACTAGTTGTTTCCCTTGTTTGTCCCACCACAGTCCTCCTTCGCACTTTCAACATCTTCTGAATCCCTCTGATTAGCTTTCAGGCATTTGTGGAACTTGTCAGTAACCTTTCCCACGCTCTTCAGATCTTTGTATTGCAGTGATGTTTAATTTTTCTATTGTGACTGAACTCTGACTGAGGAAAGACATGACGGAAAAATTTTAAACCAATCCCATTTTTCTGATGGCTCAAACAAGTGAGAAGGGAAGAATAAGGAACTGCTCTCAAGCCAAGCTGGATCCTAAATATGAGACAACCCCCATTTGTTGCAATTGCATCAAAAGGAAAAAATGTCTGTCTGCAAAAAGCAAGCTTTGCCTCTCCTAAATCCTTTTTCTTAAGCATACAAACCAGGCAAAGGAAAAGAATTCCAATCAATAATTACCTGATCAATACCCCTTCCTTTGCACTGCAGTATAATAATCTCTAAGAGCTTGGCTGCGTGGCACTCAGCATCTTCACCTGCATCACCACTTAGGACCTACCAAAATAATCAAAGACCATTTTAACCCTTCAGATTTGTTGAGAGACATTTTTTTCCCTTGGTGATAAAAAGAATGCTCCAACATAATCTTTAAAACCTTGTTTCGCTGAATTCATGTGATATTTGACACACCTTTTCTGAATAATCAGTGAGACATTTGAATGAGTTGCCTGACACATGAAATTAATAGAGAGGAAAAAAAATAGTACTGTAATACAGAAGTGCCAATTATGTGACTGATTTTGAAAACTAGGTAAGGTCATTTCCAATCAGTACTTGGGTAGGAAACAATCAATAATTCCAGGAGAGTTGGCTAGATTGGGAATTTGAAAAAAGGACATCCTGGAAAAAGGCAACAAAAACTCTTCCTATAAAAAAACATGAAGTCACCACAAGTAAAATTCAACTTCAAGGAATTTTTATGGTATATTAAAATAAGACACACAATTGTCCTGTCCAAGCATTTGGCCTTAATAATGTAAGTATTTACATTTACAAGCAGCAGCAATACACTGGCTATTTCGATTTCCAATATATTAAGTGAAAAGAAAATGTTGTCTAGTTTATTTGAATGTGACAAATTTCCAAGGCACTATACACTTGTTTTGCCTAAATGTCTAATCAGGATTAGAACACTGAGAATTGTTGATTTTAAGATGTTTCCACAATGGATGTGCTTATATTCCAACATTTTATTTATTTATACGACTTTTACTTATTCATCTTGAATACTGCCAGGTCCACATAGGTACATAGCAGTTTACAAAATAGTTAACAAAGACATCCATTAGCCATTAAAAAATGTCCACAGTAAATAATAAACAAAATGACTAATAACTAATCAAAATTGATTCTACTGTTAACAATACGTAACCTATATATCTTTTTTTCAACTAGGACCAGCATTTTCCAAATCAGATCAGATCTCTTTATAAGAACTGTTAAAAAAAAAAAGGTTCAACAGGAATCAATGAATGAAGTGAAGCAAGCAAAGCCACATTTTTCATTCTGTTCTCAGGTTCGATTTCTCAGATTTATAGAAGCCTAATGGAGCAAAAGTCCATTTAATCCAAAATCTGTGAGACAAAATCATCAATCCCTACACAGAGCAATCTACACTGCACAGAATAAATACTGGGCAGAGCCTCTCAGATGTAACAAATCAAGGCAGAGCCTTTTGCAGGAGAAGATAACCCAGCTATCCATATTTTCCTCAGCAGGAAGCAAGAAGAGAGCTCATATTAGTCAAAAGCAGCAAAAAAATATAAGCTTGTGAAACCAAAATTGACAAAAATATTCTTGTGAATGTACAATATGAATGCACTAAATGGCAAAATGAAAGAAACTAAAGCGCTAGAAAGGGTTCCTTCAAACGGAAGAGATTCCCCTAAAATTTTCAGAAAAATCCTGCTTAAAAAATATCCACTTCTAAATTGTTACATAAACAGTGCCTGCATACTGTCAGCAGAAAACAAGTGAACTCTTGGTTATAAAAATTGGAAATTTAACTGGAGAGACTTTTATTTGTTTCTGCCTTTACATAACTATATCAGAGCTGTGTTTTACCACTAATAAGTCTTAAATATAAGTTTTCTTACCCTAAACCAAAAACCTTAATCACTAAGCTGCATGTGCTAGACAGACTGGAGGTTTGAATAAGGTGAAATTAAAAACCGAATTATTACGAAAGCAAACCTAAGCATGTCTATTTAATGGACTTAAAGGGTATTCAACCATACTTTTCACTCACATTCTCGCATTCACCATGGAGAGCAGGATGATTAAAGTATGAGCAACTTCAAAAACTTACCTTTTTACACATAGCATAAATTATCTCCAAATTTTTGGAATTTGACAATAAAATATCAGTATCAACAGTGACGTAGTTGTGCAATAGGGGCATCATATCTAGAAAGAGAAAAGAGTTCATCCTGAGAACGAAATAAAATTAATTTACCCTATGGAATGGTCCTTGCTTTATTCTATAATCACTAAATTCATTCACTGATAATTCTTTAAAATTCTGTATTTAGTACATATACAAAGTCATGACATGTGAAACGTATTGTAAAAAATCTATTGCATTTATTTAGGCCCTCCTAAGAATTTAAGGAAAATGTACAAGACATGATCCCACATTATGCTCACAAAGACTCCAGATAACCTCTGTACCTCAACTGAGACTCAAAATCCCAACACAAACTTCCTACTCTCTTCATTACAACCTATATAATATAAAGCAAATATAGGCAAAAGGAAAAATGAAGGTAGCTAATATTTGGCTAACTTATACATAGCAGATCGTTTATTTACTCTTGGATAAACTTTCACTTTTATATCATTGTAGAGCTGTTGCTAAAAACTCCTTTTAAGAGAGGAACAACATTGGGTCAACATTGGGCATAGATAACAGGGAAAACATTTCTTCAGTCTAATCCTCCCTCTCCCTCAAGGGGAAGACCCATGGGAAATTTATTAGCAAGAGGATCTGAATGAATCTCTTCACCCAGGAGAGCTCTATCGCAGTGTTTCTCAACCTTGACCATTTTAAGGCACGTGGACTTCAACTCCCAGAATTCCACAGCCAGCATTGCTGGCTGTGGAATTCTGGGAGTTGAAGTCCACATGCCTTAAAATGGTCAAGGTTGAGAAACACTGCATGATCTGCATGATAGGGCAGCAGGCACATAAAACTACCATTCCTAGGACATGCCTGACACTGCTTTTCCTCCCTTTCAAAAACAGAAACCTTCAACAGGCACAAGAAAACAGCTAAGTCTTCATGAAACCCAATTTTCTGGTGAAAAATATAAAATGGAACTGGGTATATATAAAAATATAAAATGGGTCTGTCCTCAAATTAGAATTACGGTCATAAGTTGTGGTGGTTAATGAGCATTAAACCAATTCATTTTAGCCAATGAATTTTTTTGTAGGAAGCCAGAAGTAAATGCCAGAAGCCAGCAAAAAAATACAGTCATGTGATGTAGGATGCCACAAGCAGCTGTAAATGCGAGACAGTTGCCAGGTGCCCCAAATGCAATTGTATGACCCAGGGGGGAGGGGGGGTGTGCACAAATTTTGCGGCTGTTGAAACTCCAGAACTCGGTCGTAGGTACCTTTCTGGGGTTTATTGCAACTTCAAACAATCACTAAGCCACTGGTCGATATGCGACCAGTCATTAAATGAGGACAACCTATACCAGATTTAGCATCCTAAGAATCTTAGCTTTTTCCCTTGCTGTTTGTTATCTAAGGTTTCTCATCTTGTAAATGACATAAAGTAAAAAGGGATAACTCTTAAAAGTCATTGAATACATTTTGAATAGCTCAGCGGGCAAAACCTGAATACGTTTCTGATTTTCCCCACAACCAGCAAAATCTGATCCCAATATACCAATTTGGCCAACTTCGGCATTTTAAAGGCACACAACCCTACATTGGATACTTAAGAAAAACTAACCCTGAATTTATAGCACCGGGAGAACAAATCGATGTGCTTCCACGAAGACAAACTGACAATTGAAACACTCCATCACAACTTCTCAAACCACTACCAGCCAACGTTATTCTACACTCCATTTATTCCTGCTATTGATCCGTGCTCTTTCTGAGCCAACTGCAAAGCTCATTACCTGCAAAGTACTCAAAGCAATCCTGTTGAAACACTTCATATAAGACACCCAGGAGGTGCCACATTTGGGGTGAAATAAGATGGCACGTCAAGCTGTATGCCAGAGAGAGAATTTCTTCATAGAACTCTGAAAGGGAAAGGGGGAATCAAGCAAACAGACATAAGAGATATAGAAAGAATGCTGGCAAATGCCACCCAGGTATTAAAAGCTATTTTAAGTGAATTAGAAAAGATTCGTAACATATTCTGACAACATCGTTCCCAGGTTTGGTGTGGAGACTAGCACTGCATTTATTGGCATTGTACAGTTAAGCCTGGAATCAAAATATTGCATTTGCTAGATACCATCAAGGATATTTTAGTTAGTGGGACTAAAACAAAATTCCCCATGACTGCATGATATGCCTCTAAATTTCCTTTAACATGGAATAAATAATGCCTACAGGTTTAATTTCATTTTACTGATGTGCCTGATATTATATGCATGTTTACGTCTAATTAAAGCATATTTTTAGAAAGAAGGCAGGAACGATTTAGAATGCAATTAGGAAAACTTTTGAGAGACAGCTAGTTCTGAGGTAATATTATTTAAACTTAAACTAGTTTTCTTTCTCAATGCATCACTTAAATCCTAAAATCCACTCTGGAGGACTAAGTCACCACTGGAGCAAATTAGGAGAACCTGCAAACATGGTGGGAGAAGTGACCATAAATGGACACCTCTGCTACTCATAGACACTTAGAATGGGATTCTACCCTCAGTGATACAAGCAATATTTTCCCACTATTCTAGAAATACCCAAAGCCATCCAGATTCTAGAGAAGAATCTGAAATATAAGCAGTCAGCTTTAGGAACAGGCTATTTGGCAAAAGGTGACATCACCTTCCTCTAAATCTGCTACTTCAAAAATTATTCTCAACCTTTTTCCTACAGGAATGATATTTAATTATAGTCTCCCACAGCTGAAAAACTGAAGCTAAGAGATAACATCTTATCTAAAATCAATGAGCAGTGTTACAACATTTGCAGGGCTGCCCCAAAGAAGATGGGGTCAACCTATTTTCCAAAGGAACAGAAGGCAAGACAAGAAAAATGGATGGAAACTAATCTAGGAGAGAAGCAACCTGGAACTAAGGAGAAATTTCCTAACAGTGAGAACAATTAACCAGTGGAATGGCTTGCCTTCAGAAGCTGTGGGTGCTTCATCATTGGAGGTCTTTAAGAAGAATCTGGACAGTCATTTGTCTGAAATGGTATAGGGTCTTGAGCAGGAGTTGGACTAGAAGACCTCTAAGGTCCCTTCCAACTCTGTTATTCTGTTCTGTTCTGAAGAAGATTGTGAGTCCTGTGTAATTTGAACTGAAGTCCCAATGGCCAAGATCCACATTTTCAACTTTGATTCCATCATCCCTCCCCTCTCTCCAGCCAGAAATGAATTGGTTATAGAACATGGTATACTCTAATAATGAATGAACAATATAATATGACTTCATAGTAACTTTGGTTTAAGTCTAATCTAGATGGGGAAAAATGTGTAGGGAGCTGTATCACTTTTTACAGCAGGGTAGAGAATAACTTAACTCTCTGCCACATTAAATAAGAAAGCAAATATTGCCCGGATGGCTTTTCAATGTACCTATTACATGTTTCTGCAAGACAAGACCGATGATTTGCAGGCAAATGTTCTCCAGCTGTTGAGTTATCTGAAGAAAAGAAAGAAGCCACTTAAGTAAAGTAAAGAAAAAAGACATTTGTTTTCTTAAATAAGCAACTTCTCTAAAGCAAAGAGTTTTTCTAAAGTAAAGAGTCAAGCAAAAAGCCCTCCATATTTAAAATATTTTATATTATTACTAGGTGAAAATTGCATGCCAAAGTGTCATACAGCTGATAAGTCTACAGTGCCATCTCCTGGTTCGCACTGTTTACGTCATTTACTAAAAAAATTTCTGTATCCTATCTTATTGCAAAAACTCTTGAATCCAGTTTTCAAATGGTTGAGAAGATTCACCTCCTTGTGATCCTGCATGACAGTCAAAATTGTGTCAATTGTATGCAGGATCCCCATGGCCATAACAGTTTTATCCTCCATTTCTTCATATTCTTCACTTTGAAGAACTTTACCAAAAATCTCGGCCTAAAGAAATGAAATGCAGAACATCAGATAAACTGACAACATAAATCACAAAATCAGCTTCAAATTTGCATTTTTGAGGTGTTTTTTTAAATAATTAGAGGTTCCTTCTCTCCCCCCCCACACACACACACCATGAAACAACACAGGCTTGTTTATTACTTTTGCAGTTCACTAGCACATAAGCCATATTTATGTCATTTTGTGTTGCTTTCTGCTGCATTAAGCTTACTGTGCAACACTTAAAACAAGGAGAAAAGAAGGGAACCTATGTATATTTTGATACTATTGCTATTCTGGATAAAAATTCAGGTTAGGGAGTATTTACTAAGGAATTTGTGTAAGAGCGAGATTTAGCATGTATGGGATTAAACTGTCTGAAAAACAAGCATATGGCTAAAGAATCAAGTGAGGAAAAGAGGAGGATCCGGATGAGGTATTAAGAGAAATTTCAGATAATTTTTTTAAACCATTTTCATAATTAATACAGAAAATATTAACATTTGAAAATGATACTCCAAAACAAAGGCAGTGCTGATTACAACACATTTGCAGGATTCTGAAAATATTCCTGACCTGATTAGCTAGCCCCTCTTAAACCAAAGCACAACTTTCTTCCACTATGTTCAAACAGCAAAATGTTTATCTGCCTGTGTAGAATTTAACTGCTAACTTTCCATCTGTAATGGTATGTGGGAATAACCTTGGGAAAAGGGAGGGAGGAAAGAGATGCTGCCTAGAGCGGTGTTTCTCAACCTTGACAATTTTAAGGCATGTGGACTTCAACTCCCAGAATTCCACAGCCAGCAATGCTGGCTGTGGAATTCTGGGAGTTGAAGTCCACATGCCTTAAACTTGTCAAGGTTGAGAAACACTGACCTAGAGAATGATCACAGAAGGAGGGAGAGTCTGCAGCTGCGTAAGGTACAGAAAAGGAAACTCAGAATGGATTCTCCCTAACTTATCAGGGTGTGAAGGAGACAGCAGGAGATTTCTGCTTTCAGACTTGCAAGATTCTGTTAATGTAGCCTTACAATAAAGTAGAATTAGCTCATCTGGTTGCTTGGACTACATGGGAAGGATGACACTGTCAAGTCTTAAGTACAAATAAAATATTGTCTGGAACTTACTTGAAGAAGCCTCACTTCACTCTCATTCTGAAGACTTCAGGGACCGGGGCAGGTTTAACATGTTTGTTTTTTTCCTACTGCAAATGAATGACAATCTTTTCCTCCCCACAGGAATATTAAGTCTAGATTAATCTTCAGTAATCTAAATCAGAGGTCACCAACCTTTTCATGCTGGTGGCCTGGATGGAAAGGGAGCAGCTGGGCAATTTGTGTGCACGTGTGCGAACAGAGCCATGTGCAAACGGGGCTGCGCGCACCTGCATGGGGCCAGTGGCCCCATTTGCATAGGCACGCAGGCGGCAGCCACCGCTGCTAGCAACCACATGCATGCGCAAACAGGCTGCGCACCTGCTAACAGCCCCATTTGTGCAGGTGCTAGCCGCCAGCACTAGCCCCATGCACATGTACAAATGGATCCGCGACTGCTAGTGCAAGTGGGGGTGAGTGCATGCGCACACAGCCTGTTTGTGGGCTGCGGCCCATACGTTGGGGAGCCCTGATCTAAAGTGATAATTTGATCATTTCAGGATGACTGGTACACCTTCCTTTGTAAAAAGTATGTTTGTATAAGGGTACCAAAATAAGTTTTATCAGTAACCTTCATCCAAAAAGGAATCCATGCCCTCACTTACCAGATGCTGCGTCATTTCCACAGCAAATGTTGCTACTTCTTGGCTGTATTCACAAATCAGTTTCTGAATTACATTAGTCAGATCATCATTCTCGGTCTCTCGAACTACAAGCAGCAGCTCCTGCATAACAGACCTGATGTAGGGCTTAATGTATTCCTTTGCTAAAAAAAACCAAACATATATCCAAACATAACACAGGAAAAAAATTAAAACAGACACAGTTAGTCCTGGATTCATGACCACAATTGAGCCCAAATTTCTGTTGTTAAGTGAGACATTTGTTAAGTGAGTTTTGCCCCATTTTACAACCTTTCTTGCCACATTCGTTAAGTGAATCACTGCAGATGTTGTTAGTAGCATGGTTGTTAAGTGAATTTGGCTTCCCCATTGACTTTGCTTGTCAGAAGGTCGCAACAGGGGATCACACGATCCCAGGATGCTGTGACCATCATAAATACGAGTCAATTGCCAAGTGTCTGAATTTTGATCACCTGACTATGGAGATGCTGCAATGGTCATAAGTGTGAAAAATGGCTATAAGTCACTTTTTTCCAGTGCCGTTGTAACTTTGAATCGTCACTAAATGAACTCTTGTAAGTTGAGGACTACCTGTAAAATGGATTATGAGACAAATATCTGCTTGTCTGAGTGACCTCTTAGTTGCACTTGGTATCCCTCTTTCGTCTTTGGTAACAATGTTCTATATTTTTACCTGTTTATCTGCTTCTTCTTCACAAAAAATTGCATTAACAGGGAATGCTAGATTTGGAATCTAAAAAATCATCCTATAAGAAAGAGATGCAAATAACTTCCATGCCGTTGACCAAAAACCCTAAATTCGTAAATTTATGAAGTCACTAGGAGGATGTACTCTGATATAAATGCATTTATTATTTTTAAAACATCTTGAAACTAGTATCTTTGTATGTAGCAATCCCTGTCTTCAACCACATCTAAATGTATAATCAGTTAGACAAAAACTGAGACAAAAGGAAGAGTAAACATAGAAGCCAAAAGAATTTAATATGAACTTTTAAATATATGAAAAAAGAAAGGAAGAAACAGGATGATCCATTAACTAAGAAAGGTGATTGATAAGAAGAGAGGGAGGGAGGGAGGGAGGGAGGGAGGGAGGGAGGGAGGAAGGAAGGAAGGAAGGAAGGAAGGAAGGAAGGAAGGAAGGAAGGAAGGAAGGAAGGAAGGGCAAATGAATAGAGATAAGCAACAGAACATTAAAAGTGAGATTCATTGCATACAATAATTGCAGGGAAAGGAAACAAAAAAGATGGGACGTGAAAGTAGTCCATGAAGAGGAACTACAGTGGGCAATCAAGGAAAGTGAAAAATCAAACCTTGCTCCTGATGGCTTATCAAGGACTGAAGTGCAATGGCAGCTTCCACTTTGACAGGCATTTCTTTGTCTTCAATCAAGCTCTTTTTTGTTAGTTCAGCTGCATTCTTTAGATTGAACTCATTGTGAAATTTTAAGGTGCTGAATGAACGGAGGGTCCAACAGGACTGCAGCACAAGAAAAAAGCAAATCAGATGCTAATCAAGATCAGGTATTATTTTAGAGAAATCATTTTTGTGTTAACAGTTCTGAATTTATTACATTTTATCATTTTCAAGGCAGTCCTCTCTACAACACAATTGTTCAAGCAACCCAAAAGAATTCATAATACCGTAAAGCAGCATTGAAACCAAAGACCAAGATTCAAAGAAATCTTTCTTTGTGCTCAAGGCATTTCTATGTAGAATACTATCCTTCACTTTCTATATGTAATTTAGAGGAAACATGGGAGGATATAATAGTAATGAAGGAGTGGAAGTACCAGTTATGTTTTTTCCCGGGTAACAGCAAATAAAATAATGACAACAACATAAAATGAGATGATGTATGAAACAGCAACCAAGATACCATCTCATGTGGCATTCTGGGAATGCCTATTAAATTAAATGCCTATTAAAGCCTATTAAAATGTATAAATATATAGAATATTCTTTAGCCCAATCTTACAAAAGCTTATGCAGGGTTCTGCTTCTCAATAATTATGTTAAAGGGCATAGTGATTTTTGTTCCATTGTGCCAGACCTTCCAATCAAGCTTTACAGCATGAGAATGAGTAAGATGAATGTGTATTCTGTTAAACACATTACTGTATTAGCCCTTTTTACAATCAAACACCTAATTATCCCCAGGCACAAGCTGGTAAACCCAAATCATCATGGAAAAGACATATGTTCTAGTCACTTACTCTTGCTCTTAAATATCCAAGATTTGACATGAATAACGGAAAGACATGATTCTGCAGCATCAACTCCATCTGATCCTTAAACACGCTTTTCTAATAGGGGTAATAATTAACAGAAAAAGAAATGTCTTTGTCTCCATTTTTACATATAGTAATTCTCATGCAAATTCTTAAATGGTTACACCAGCTTCAAATTAATTTTTAGAAAACATCCTAATATCAGCAAAGAAAAAGATCGAAGCCAGAAAATAAAATCGAAACTACTCAAATAAAAGGATTTAAAATATCACACTACTTAGGTTATCTAACAAAATGCAGTGAGAAGCCTGTGATCAGCCCAACCAAGTGAGCCTGAAGAGGAATAATCTAATTGATTGAATAAACCAGGGGTAGGCAACCTTGGCTCGTTTATGACTCATGGACTTCAACTCCCAGAATTCCTGAGCCAGCATGGCTGGCTCAGGAATTCTGGGAGTTGAAGTCCACGAGTCATAAAAGAGCCAAGGTTGCCTACCCCGGGAATAGACGGATAGAATCCTACAGGGAACGAGTACTTGTAAAGGATTGTGACTTTGCCGCAACCAATTATCGACAATTCTACAAGGGTATACAATCACAGCATAACCCAAAGCTGAATTCCTAACATGAGAATTAGCTTGAGGAGATTTCAAAAGTTGCATAGTTTCAGCACATGCCATGCAGATTATGAACTAAGCATGTAAGAACCACTTTAAAATGAAGTTACAGACATGGACATTCACTACCAGCACTGATTCCTCTGGCAGAAATGAACTCAAACAATAAGAAAAACATCTTGTAGCAGGGAGCAGAATGCATTGTTCAACCAGTGGACAAACTCAACCTGCAATTTTTACAGAGGCTACAAAGCATCACTAGAGCCTTTTTTTTTTTTTTTTTTGGTTAAGTCCTGGATGTTAATGAAGAGGCTCAGTTCTTGCCCAGCCTGCTACAGAATCACTTCTGAAAACTTTTTAATCAAGGACACCCTTGTGCAGCTGGGCTCTTTTGTAAGGTTTCTAGAAGTATCACGAATCCCAGGTGTCAAATCTCTAGAGATAAGACCAAATGCATTTCATGTAACATCATTGTTTTACTTTTACCTTCAGCAAAATATCTGCTAGTGATCCAATTACATGTAATGCCCCATCTTTCTTTCTAGGGTCAATGTTGGGCTCAGTGAGAATCTGATAACAAAATGCCATCATTTTTGGTAGCACCTAAACAAAGAGCACATACACAAAGAAGTAAAGAAATGAAACTTCAAGCCAGTTCATTAGGAAAGTCAGCAACATTAAGATCAGTTTAAACTACTGTAGATGATTATTTCAGTAAAACACATTGTACAACATACATTTGAATTTACAGCCTGCAATTCTGAAAGCCAGGTACTTTTTCCATAAAAAAAATTATTACTTCTAGAATTGCCTTGGTGTCAAATAAACCATCAATTGTCTTAGAAATGTTTTTTTTACATTTAAACAAGACAGTCAAGAAACCTTAGCAGAAGTCAGGGGAAATATATTAATATCTCAATATTGGAGTGGAGAAGAAACACCACTGTTTTCTGTGAGTGTGCAAAATGCTCCATATATTTTCCCAGCTATTTGACCATTTAAAAAGCCAAATTTATGAGACATACCTCTTTTCGTTTTTTCGCTGCAGTGTACAGAAGAATCTGTGCTGCTATTGTAGGGGATGCATAATCCTCAAACGCATCTTGAAAAATTTTAAAAAGGATGTTATTACACAACCACTGACAATTTAACAAATCATTCTAAATGAGACAGAACATGGACAAGCTAGTATCTGGTTTTTCTGGATGCTCTTTTTGCTTTAGTATATAAAAAAAAGAAAGTAAAGGGGATAAAAAGAAAAATCAACAAAAGAAACATAAAGAACAAAAAACACAAAATCAAAAGAGTTTTAAAAGACCAAAAGCCTCCGTTACATTTTTAGGCCTATCTTTAAATGAATGGAATAAATACTGATCAGTTTTTCCCCAGCTTCAATAAACAGCCAATTCATAAACAGAAATATATATATCTCTCAATGCTATAAAATGGTAAATCTGGGATTGGTCTGGCACTCTGACAAACCAGCTATCAATAGACACATAGACACTGACAACATCTATAGAACTATGCAAAAGAGACAATCAACCAGCCCAAAAGAGAAAAGGACTCCAGCACCTCTCCACCAGTAATCAGCACTCAGATCAGCATAAATTAACTCCAAGGTCAACTTCAGACCAACAATCAAGTAAGCAATACCCCAATCAAGAAAGTAAACAGCCCAACCAAAAAATCCCTAAGACTGTCACCATCCACACAGACAGGCAAGACACCGGAATATAAACTGACTGCAAACAGCACTCCTTACTAGCACTGATGATGTTACCTAGTTAGGGTAATGAAACGTTTGCAAGAAAACAAGCAAGCTCAGAGAGCACCAAAGGCCCCTCATTTCAACTCTGAACTACAAATGTTCTCCTTCATTGGTCTTTCCATCCTTGAAGAATAAGACTTTCTTCTACTCTCACACTCAATAAATTAATTCTTAATATAGTGATGAACACCTACATTTTTATATTCAACATTGGAATGTAGTGAGAAAATAGCCATATGCAAACAGTATGTTATTAACAGAAAAGGTAAAAACTACACTGAACTCTTGTTGAAGAAATCTGATGTCAAATAAGATACGTTGGAATCAATTAACCCCAATAAAGTGTGATTCTCTTAAAGCTTTTAGTAGATTATCTTGAACTTCATAAAAGAAGTCTAAATCCTGACCAGCACTGGCCACACTGCCAAAGCCATTTTTCTATACATCAACCAAATACTTCACTTTTTCATTTTTCATCACATGTCCATGGCATTATCTTCAACTGAAACATTTTTATCATTATAATAATCATTATTGGGGATGAACTGCTCACAATCAATGTCTTATCTTTTTACTGCATCATTTTGCTTCTGCCAACTTCAGTCTCCACTTCTTATACAGTTTTCTCTACAATCATAGTTCATAAGGGTTAGGGAAAACATAAGGGTTAGGAATGGGGTGGGTAAGCAGTCAAATATACAGGTACTTTGCAGTACATGCTCTCCGATCTTGCGCAAACAAAAAGCACCAAGTGTTGGTTGACCTAAACCAGGGGTAGGCAACCTTGGCTCTTTTATGACTCGTGGACTTCAATTCCCAGAATTCCTGAGCCAGCAGAGTTGAAGTCCACGAGTCATAAAAGAGCCAAGGTTGCCTACCTCTGACCTAAACGCACAACAATATGTATCATCACCAGGAGTTTTCCAGGGGCAGATACCAGTGACAACTGACAAATAAAAATTACCAAATTTCATGCGGATGTATTCATATGGGTCCTCCTGCCAGAGTTCTTCATCTTCATCTTTATAACACATCAGAGAAAAGATGATGTCTTCACACAAAGTCTAATAAGGAAAGCAAAGAGGAGATCAAATGTAATGGAATATGTTTGCTATCCAACCTCCATACGGAGATTGGTAAGGACAGCCAAGAAGATCATAGGAAGCCCGCTTCCTGGTATTCAGGATGCTGCTTATAAGTGCTATGTGCTTAGAGCTCCAAGCATTGTTAGAGATCCCACATACCCACTTTACGGTCTGTTTCTGTTGCTCCCCTCTGGGAGGAGGTTTCAAAGTATTTCTAGCAGGACTACCCTATTCTGTAATAGCTTTGTTCCTTATGCCATCCGTCTGGTAAACTCACATGATTTGTTTTTCTCACCAAGCACACGTATACATAATCCAAACAAGACTGTTGTTTCTCTGTGTCATATAATATATGTGGGTATATGCATAATTCTGTATTTATTTATTTTTGTCATATTTATGTAGTGTATATTTGAGAGTTGTATGCAACAAAATTTCATTTTAATGTATGCTGATTAATGTACATTCGGAGTTATTATTCTATTTATTTTTGATCTATTCTATTTTCCCCACAGCTAGAACTCTATGAGGTGAGTTGAGCTAAGAGACAGCTAGTGACCCAAAGTCACCTAGCTTCCATGCTTAAGGGAAGATAATCATGATCTCCCGATTTCTAGCCCAGCATCTTAGCCACTCATGGTTTTCCCAGCTGTAATGTATGGCTGTGAAAGTTGGACCATAAGAAAGGCTGAGCGCAAAAGAATTGAGGCCTTTGAACTATGGTGCTGGAGAAGACTCCTGCGAGTCCCCTGGACTGCAAGGCGTTCAAACCGGTCAGTCCTAGAAGAGATCAACCCCAACTGCTCTTTAGAAGGCCAGATCCTGAAGTTGAAACTCAAATACTTTGGCCACCTAATGAGAAGGAAGGACTCACTGGAGAAGGGCCTAATGCTGGGGAAGATTGAGGGCAATAGAAGAAGGGGACGACAGAGAATGAGATGGCTGGATGGAGTCACTGAAGCAATAGGGGTGAACTTAAATGGACTCCAGAAGATGGTAGAGGACAGGAAGACCTGGAGAAACATTGTCCATGGGGTCGCGATGGGTCGGACACGACTTCGCAATTAACAACAACAATCTTAGCCACTACAACACTGATGCTCGTTTACTGTATCTTAAGAGTTAATAATCACACAGTTGTTCACCTTAAAAAAAAATTGTTCATAAAGCCGCAATATACAATGTATCATGTGACAAGCAGTGGAGATCCTCTTAAAGCCAGGAATATATTCCCCGGTTCAGAGTGGCTTTGCTTAAGTATTGCCCACATTTTGTTTGTTTGTATTCCAGCTTTATAATTTTTACAAATAACTCAAGGCAGCGACATATCCAACATACCTTTCACCTCCTATTTCCCCCCCCCACACACACAATCCTTTGATATGGATTGGGCTGAAAGAGAGTGACTGGCCCAAAGTCACCTCAGCTGGCTTTCATGATTAAGATGGGACTCTCCTGCTTTTTTAGTCTGGTGCCTTAACCACTAGACCAGGGGTTCTCAACCTTGGCAACTTTAAGACTTGTGGACTTCAACTCCCAGAATTCCTCAGCCAGCTTTGCTGGCTGAGGAATTCTGGGAATTGAACTTAAAGTTGCCAAGGTTGAGAACCCCTGCACTAGACCAAACTGATGAGCTCAAAGTTGACTCAGCCTTCCATTCTTGTGAAGTCAGTAAAACGAGGACAGATTGCTGGGGGCAAAATGCTGACTCTGCAAACTGCTTAGAGAGGGCTGTAAAACACTATAAAGTGGTATATGAGTCTAAGTGCTCTTGCTATGGCTAAACTAACTCTGGCATCAATTATTTTCTCCCCAGCTGAGATATAATTAAAGGCTACTTGTTCATTCAGTTTGATCATGGTTAGTTTTTCATTCCCAAAAGAGTTAGGCCCAAACCAAAGGTCTAAGAGGTGAGCGGCATCAAACTTTTTGTGTTTTACTTATGAGGAAACTAAGTGCATGTTATGGAGCCTTCAATTTGGGCCATATACATGATAGGGTCCTTGAGAAAAAAAAGACAATATATTGAATGGGATGCAATAGAATCTCCTGCCCATCAGAAAGAAATCTAAGGATTATCATTCTTACTGGAGAACTCTTAACAGAGAGGAAGAAGAAACAAGCTACTTTAAGACGTATCAATTTCCACTGCTAATAAAAAAAATAGAATAGGGATTCCATCATACACAATAAGCCCCAAAAGACCTTTTATGCTTTTAATATCATATTGTAAAGCCCCAATTCATCATTTATTCCCATTTTGCAGACGTAAATTGAGACTTTTGTCAACCCAAATATAACAGTTCCCTCAAAAGAACACTTTTAAAATTATGTATGCAGAGAAATATCATCTGTAAAGGATTTTAGGAAAGAGACAACATAAAAGTGAACATAGTAAGGCCATGCAGCACTCTGGAGCTGCACAAAACATACTGTGGAGCATCTCTCTGCATCTCCTTAATGCAACTGCTTCTTTTCCTTTTCTTATGCTCTATAATTCCACTTGATAAAATCTCAGGATTCAGAAATTAGTACTTTAGGACTTCAGATGAATCTTTACACTGGATGGAGGAGTTTTTAATGCTGGGGAGATTACATCCCACTCCATCTTTCCTTCTACAAAAGATCCTCCAGACAAGGATGCTCTATTCTCTACCCATTTAGAAACTAATGTGGAATACTAAAGCCAAATTGACTGTCCACCTTTGCACATTGTAACTGAAACTACAATAATAGTTCTAGCACAATTTGTACTATTTGTGGGAATTTGCACACCTTTTACATAATGACGTGGGGGGTAAATGGCAAAATAAAAGATTACCTTGGTAGTCTTACATTTGAGGCAATATCTTGTAGATTAAACATGACTATTTCTGGAAATTGATCTTATATAGGTACTGTGAAAGATAGAAATTCAGGCAAAGGAAACAACTGTGTAATTAACTGATTATCCAAGCCAGGTGAGGCAGTGGTTAGAATGCAGTATTGCAGGCTAACTCTGCCTACTTCCAGGAGTTCGATCCTGACCGACTCAAGGTTGTCTCAGACTTCCATCCTTCCGAGGTCGGTAAAATGAGGACCCAGATTGTTGGGGGCAACATGCTATGGTTGCTCCTGTGCCTGTGCTGCCATTACAGTTATAACTTACACAATTGTTACCACTATTTCAAAACTATAATAAAAGTTCTAACTCACGTTTTCAGAGTTTACCCACAGGTACAAATTACTACTCTTATACTGACCTGAATATGGGGTTTCATCTGCTTCCAGGTTATACAGTGATGGACTCCCTGGTTCAGATAGTTTAATGTTTGTTGAAGGACACGTGGAGTTACATAGTCTTTCTGCCTGTACTGATCCAAGATTTTTAGGAGTACCTAAAGGAAAGTTGAAAGCACTGTGACATAATTATGTACAATTCAACAATGACCCATCAAGTTTGAAGTACTGGAAAAAGAATCTGCACAATCATTTTAAGCCAAGGATAAAAGCTAATATATTTGTCACACCTAGATGATGTTTTAATTTTAGCTAATAGATTGATATGGAGAAAGATCTGACTAAAAAAAAGTAAAGATAGCAATCACATTTCCATAGAAAATGTACCCTGGACTTTCCTAGACTCCTAAGGATGGTATTGATCCATTAACAATTTCCTGAATGAAAATGATGAAAATGAAATCCTTTAAAGAAGATTCCTGTAATAATATCCAGCCTATCTATTAGGATCATCAGCTGGAAACTGTGGGCCAAATCCAATCCTCCAAACAGCCAACTAAACGATAACTCAGAGATGAGAGCTACAAACAATGCTTCCCTCAATAGAACTTTCTGATTAAGCAAAATGTAGGTAAAATTAGGGGCTTTAATGGGTTCGAAATACTAAAATTTAGGTTGTTTTAGCTAAGAGAACACAAGCCACTTCATTATCCATAACAGCTTATAAAAAGTTTTACAGGATGTGATCAATCATCTCCCATACCTCTTATCCAAGGCTTATCCAAGTGATGTAATCACCACTCTTTTACATAACAATAAATGTCAGTATATGCTACAAAAGGGTAAGTTAAAATGCTTGCTCCCAAGTTGTCATGTTATTTCACTAAATAAGACAAGCCTTTACCTGCTGGATTCCCACAGCATAGGTTTTCAAGAAGAATTCAGAAAATTCAAAATATTCTTTTGTTACATTTCCAGGACTACCGTACCTTTAAAAATTTAAACGCAAAAGAAGATAAAATACGTTACTTTATACAAAGATACTAAAATATACCTCATTATCATTAAGCATCCTATTAATTTCCACTCACGGAATTAAAAGCAATCTTTATGGCAAAAGGAATGTAAAAATTCCCCAAAAAATTGCCACATTTTTTGGGCTGATAAGAGCAATTTTTTGAAGATTTGCTGATACTTGAACCTGGGGCAATTTTGTTTTTAAACATTTACGATTTGGAAACATTATAAACGTGCCAAAACAGAATTTAGAAATGTCATTCTTTGTTATTAGCATAATAACCTTTCAAAAAGACGAGCAACAATCCGCAGAGCCCACTTCTTACATTTCCACCACACCAACTCTGGCCGATCATCTTCATCAACCTGCAGGGTTTCCTAACCAAAGGAAAGAGCTATCAGTCATCAACAGCCATGAGTGAGCAGTTAACATTAATGGAGCATGATAAGAAGAATGTACAGCCTTTGTAGCTTCTAGACACAATTTAGCAATAGCATTTAGACGTATACACCGCTTCACAGTACTTTACAGCACTCTCTAAGCAGTTTACACAGTCAGCATATTGCCCCCAACAATGTGGGCTCTCATTTTACTGACCTCAGAAGGATGGAAAGCTGAGTCAACCTTGAGAGGGTCAGGACTGAATTCCTGGCAATGGGATGCAGAATTAGCCTGCAATGCTGAATTCTAACCACTGCGCGACCACAGCTGTTAGAAAGAGACCTTCAAATTGTTGTGCTGACAATGGCCTACTGACAACAGGATCTTATCTTAGCATGTTCTCAAGGAGCATGCCATTCATATAAAGTGATCCACATGTTTTAAACTCAGTATGTCAGGGGTGAGTAGCAAGAACTTTTTTTAAAGCTGCAGGAAGCCATCCTGTGCTACAGTGATACTACCAGAAGGCATGCAGTTGAAATGGAGGGGTTTGGTTTTTGAGTGTTTAAATAGGAATGGTAGGCCAGCTGCTCACATACCCACTTTCAATCCTTCAAGCCCACTCCAAAACTTGCCCAAACAATTAGCCAGTTTGTTGCCATATTTCAGCAGCACAATCTGGAGACAGAGTCATAAAAGGTTTATGGGTTGCCCACTCCTATGTTCAACCAATAATATATGCTCTCATATAGGTAACAACTATATTCCCATCTACCAGCAGCAGGCACCTGCTCCCAGCATGGGAACCAGAGAAAGCATAGCCAAAGAGAAAAGTAGACTTGCATGATCCAGGCACTGCAGTGTTTAATAATCTTAGTCAGGACCACAATTTAACATAACTAGATTTCGAACTGCTTTGATTTTCATACATGATATCCTTGCTGAGCAAAAAGCAAGGGAGTTTGAGCAATGGCTCCACTTCCTCCTTACACCTTCTTTTAAAGCGCAAGAACACGGCAAAAGCAGAACAAGCCCTCCACATAGTTGAATAAGAATGTTCCTCAACCTAAACTTCCCTTTTTGCCAATGCACTAAAGGATATTAAAGTTGTCCAATAATGTAAACCTTACAGGAGGCACACTTCTGTCAATGACAGTCCGGAAAATCTCCATCCACTGAGTCATGGTTTGGTTATTCACCAGTTGAAGTGGCAAAGCATACTGAGGTTAAAAAAGAAGGAAAAAGAGAATATCAATATCATTACACAGGGACTGTATATCAGAAAATGTACAGACAATTTAGACCGGGGTAGTCAACCTTGGCTCTTTTATTACTCGTGGACTTCAACTCCCAGAATTCCTGAGCCAGCTGTTGACTACCACTGATTTAGACAATGTATTAACAGGAAGCTGCAATACTTTCTTTTAACCTCCAATGACCATGGACTATTTCTTGGTTGTCTTTGAAGCCTATGTACTATAATAGCCCACTAACTAGCCATTGGTAGCAGCCAGTTGTCACCTCAATTTTTTTTCTGTGCTGAAAAGTTGGGGATTTTCTTTTTGTAATGGCAGTGAGCTAATAGTTGCACAGTAATCATCAACAAGGGAAAAAAAACAACATTGCTCTTGTGGATGAGACCCTCCACCCCAGGACATTCTTTTGCTCTCAGTCAGAGCAAAATTAGAGCAGGAACTCCTTTCTTATGGAATGTCCAATGGCACAACACCCGTAATATTGAGAAAACATTTAAAATGCAAGTTTAAAATGAGTGTTTGCGAACTGAGGGACGAAAAACGTACCTTCATCTAATAAATTGTGATTCGTTGCAGTCAGATGTTTAGACTGGATCTGGCATTTTTATCTATTTACTGAGTCCTTTCTAAGGCAGCTTTTGTTGTACCATTTTAGACAATAGAAACTGAAGTTGCAATAATCTCCACAAAGTAAAACTTCAGTCCAAAAATAACATGAAAATATGTCGTCATGAAGACAACATTCAAGACTGGAAACAGCACATGGAACTATTGAAGTTACAACGGCACTGAAAAAAGGTTTTTCACAAGTATGATCACTGCAGCATCCCCATAGTTAGGGGTAGGCAACTGTGGCTCTTTTATGACTCATGGACTTCCACACCCAGAATTCTTGAGAAAGCATGGCTGGCTCAGGAATTCTGGGAGTTGAAGTCCACGAGTCATAAAAGAGCTAAGGTTGCCTACCCCTTCCCAATGTCATGTGGTCAAAAGATTTTCTTGCTATAACCTGCAGAACTTCCTTTGTCAAAATTCAGATGCTTGACAACTGACTTATTCTTATAATGGTTCCAGTGTCCTTCTGACAAACAAAGCCAATGGGGAAGCCAGATTCACTTAACAACCATGTTCCTAAATTCAGTAATTCACTTAACAAATGTTCAAGGAAGATTGTTAAAATGGGGTGAAATTCACTCAACAAATGTGTTGCTTAGCAACAGAAATTTTGGGCTCAATTGTGGTCATAAGTCTAGGACCACCTGTAGTTTTGCTTACTATTTTATTATTTGTTTAACTGTTAGCTGCCCCAAGTCATGTGTATGCAATGGGGGAGTATATATATTAATATATGTATTAATAATAAAACAAGCCTATTTCCAGGAAGCCCGTGAACAATTTCTATAACAGTTGTATGAAATCTGCTGTCTCTGATTTGCACAAAACCTCAACTTCACTAAAAATAGCAATATGGAATCTCTGTCACATATTCCCATTCTTCCCATTCTGTTCCAAAGCAAACTGTAAATGTATACTTGTATATTTCCTACGTATTTTCTTGGGTGCACAAATCCAAACTAAAAAAAGGTATTAATCCAAAAACACAAAGGAAGTTCCGCAGGTTATAGCAAGAAAATCTTTCCCTTAGACTCTGCTAGCAAATATCACTCAAGAGAGCATCCTTTCCTTCTGATGGAAAAACAGAAAAATGCTTAGGCAAATGGGACAAAATTCAATGTAAACAGCAAAGAAATGTTTATAAGACGTTTGTAAGAGAGCCAATTTGGTGTAATGGTGAAGGTCCTGGCCTGGAAATCAGGAGACTGAGTTTTAATCCTGCCTTAGCATGAAAGCCAGCTGGGTGACTTTTAGCCAGTCGCTCTCTCTCAGACCAACCCACCTCACAGGGTTTTGTTGTAGAGTAAAAGAGGAAGAGGAAGGAGTACTAGGTATGTTCACTGCCCTGAATTATTTAAGGCATGATAAAAAATCTAATAAGTAAGTAAATAAGATAACAGTCTCATTACTAAATTGTTTAATCAAATGCTGTATGCTTAAAAATTCAATACTTTCAAAAATTGAAAGTAGCTGTCTTGAAATCAATGAATGCATACTTCCAAATATGCATTTTTGGGTCACAACTCTAAAAAGGGGTTGTTGCTTTTGGAATTTTTCATCCTGTTGCTGCTTTTAGTATACAGGTTCATACCTGAACAAGTGCATAGAAAATTTTTAAGATCTGTTTCTGAAGGAGCACAGAATAATGGGAGTTGTCAGGAAGAAGCTGGATCATCTGCTGCTGAATTCGAGGCAAGAATATTTGCATTGCAGCAATGAGAGGATCTCGTTCCTCAGCTTTCTTATATCTATGGAAGGAATCAGAGCCAAACACAATTCAGGAGTAAAGTTTACTCTTGTTGCATTTTGCTTCATTTTGATTTACAAAAGATGAAACTGGTACATGTTGTAATCCTTCTCTCATCTCTGCAGGACAATATTATAAATCCAAATAAAGCAGAATGGAGAAGCTATTTTAATTTTCCTAGTGCAGCACACTAGAGTTACTTTTAACCAATTTTAGCACCCCAGATCAGTGGCGTTCTGGAACATAGCCTCATAGTAAATAAAATGGTATGAAATTGCAGGTACGATACAGAATCTTACAACTGAATCACCCATTTCACTTGATCTCTCATTATTTGGGTGATCAAACTTTCCCAAATTTACCTGGAGAAAAGCCATTGTAGATAGAAAGGGGAAAGTTTGTGTTTCCAAGAATTAGATTCTCATTCATACCTTATTTTACTTTGTGTGAGGAATTTTTCCTAACTTAAATGCTTTCCTCTGTATGAACAGCACCCTCCAGTCTCCATCTGTGTATCTTTACAGAATAAGAAAGCTAGTTTTGCAAGAAACTAGGAAGATGCACTCATGAACTAGGAGATTATTTCTAGATTTGGTCACCTTCTGTGGCTGCTAGGATAGACACTTACTCCTTGAGGAAGATCCACTTACTCATAGGTTTTTACCAATTGGTACAGGCACAGGAGACTTCCAAGCCAGCTTCCGCTATTCGACGACTGCAAGTAAAACCCAATCTTGTCTACCACTGCTGTCCAGTGACCTGGGAAGTCATGCTTAATAATAGCACGAAGGCACATTGTCAGCTGGGCTCTGGGGAAAAAAAGATTGGTAAAGGATAAAGTGAAGGAAAAAACAGAAAGAAGGTCTGATAAAAAAAAACTGCTTCATCAACTCCTGAATTACAAATACCAAAACAACGCATGCATTTTAAAAATCTAATAATAGCTATCAACAAATTCTTCTAAAAAAAAGAAATATCAAAACATTTTTTAAAGCAGCGGTGCCCAACCTTTCCGGCTTTGTGGACCAATGGGGGGGGGGGGAAGAGAGGGGATTGTTCTACATGGGTGGCAGGCAAGCATGGCACAGCTCCATTTGCATGAGCGGCAGGCACGCACACCCAGCACTTGTGCAAATGGAGCTGTGCACATGTGCACGTTCACCTGCTGCTTGTGCAAGTGGAACTGTATGCATGCCCGCATTCGCTCATCGCTTTCACGGCCCAGTTCCAAATGGGCCATGGGCCGGTAGTGAGCCGCAGCCCAGGAGTTGGGGGCCCCAAAAATAAGAAAGTTCAACATGGGATGTAATTGTCCAGAAAGGATCACTCCTTTCTTCTCTCTGGTCCCACTTATTAAATAACAAACAATATATTCAAATTAATATTCAGCAGACACAAAAGTCAAAATGTACATCTATAGATGGCCTTGGAAATAATGACAGTAAGGTTTGCCAGCTTTCAGACAATTTTCTCATTTAGACAATCCAAAAACAGATAAACTTTTCCAAATCTGGGATATTCTATGCTTGAAACTGAAGGTTTCATATATTGGCTGGATAATTATCTATCAGGGATGGTATAATAAACCCTGCAGGGTACATGGGGTTGGAATAGATGACCTCTTAGTTATTTCCAATTCTTGATTTTATGATATGTGTTGGATATATGATTCTGAAATTCTATGATTACAACTTTCTCTTAATTCCCTACCAATAAGAGGGGGCATAGAAATAATAATAATAATAATAATGATGATGATGATGATGAACTTGATAGGTAGACAAAATGCCAAATCCAGTCTGAACATCTGGCTGACTGTGCGATGACCCATAATAATAATAATAATGTTGGAAAGGACCTTGGAGGTCATCTAGTCCAACCCCACCATTTCAGACAAATGATTGTCCAGTCTCTTCTTAAAAACTTCCAGTGTTGGAGCATTCACCGCTTCTGGCTTGCATGATTCTATACCAGAAAAAAGTGAAGATCTTTAACTAGACCTTAGGGGCTGCTAGCCAACTAAAACAACCAAATAAGAATCCAGTTCCACATTCTATATTGGGTATAAGCCACACTATGTACAGTAATCATTGCCCTCTCATGGGGATTGCATTTATTTACTCAATTTGATATCCCCCAACTTTGATTGCATCGCACTTGTGTTGGAAGCACTTCCAGGTTGAAAGGATTAGCTGGTGATATCACTGTTGCCTGGGGACACTCAGCTGGGATCTCCTTTCATGTCCCCGCAGGAGCTGGAGCAAAGGATGGGAGCTCACCCTGGCCCACAGCAGCATTCGGGTCTCAAATGTGGGTTTGCTAACCTCCAACCCAGCATCCTAACTACGAGAGCCAATGTTCCTCCCCATTTTAATTCCAGTAATTCTCTAGCATGCAGAATAAGTTAAAGTCTTGAGGTATTTCCTGCTGAATTGTTTGCAGTATTTTGTGCAATAAGGTATTTTAAATTTCTACTCTTCTAGTTTTATCTGGAAAACAATTTTGCCCTGAGGTCATAAAAGGCATGAGGCATATTTTAAGAGCTATAATTATACTTTATCCTTTTTCTATCCCAGCAGATTTCTACAGAAATTGCTATGATCATCTTATTTAGAAAAAGTTCTGGAATACGTTTCCACATAAGAAGGATTTCAGAAGTGATTGATTTGACTCACTATATGCTTTTATAATATGAGATCCTTTCAAAATACTATTTCTCAAAGCAACACTATGCTGAATAAACATCTATTCAAGTTATTTAAATCTGCTCAATTTATTCTAAGAAGAAGCATCTGCTTTCCTTGGTATAAAATTCAGGACTTTCTGGGGCATGTCCCAGCCTGAACTTTGACATACCTCACTAAGTCTGGAGAACGAATAATTCCTTCTACAATATTATCCCGAATCTGCTGACGATCATTTTCATGAATATTGAATGGAAATATCACCTCTCCGGGAGGGGGCTCCCGGTCTGGCCAGTACTGTGTCACCATGTTCTTCAAGTAAATAGCAGCTGTATTTAAAAAATGAGGGAAAAGAGAGGAGAGAAAGAGACAGAAAGAAGGAGAGGGAGAGAGAAGTGTATAGAAAGGGCTGTTGATAAATCTCGTTTTAAACAAGAGTTAGGGCAATCTGTAAGGAGAATAACAATTCAAGACCAGTGGGCATACAAGAAACTAAGAACTAAAATCCTGGTAGTGAAATCCCCAAAATGTAGATGCCGTTTAGAAAGAGATAACCCGATACATAAAGTATAGATCTATCAATAGCAATAACCAAGAATGGCATTTGCATTTTCAGAAAATTTATTTCCCTAAAATAGGCTTTCTTTGTTGCACTGGACTGAGGTACCCCTTGAGATCAAGATGGCTCCCATGATATTGGCCTTCCAAAGGACCATAAAGACCTAGTTGTTTTCCCAGGCCCTGGACTAGGGTGGTTTCAGCCCCCTCTGCTGGATGTTAGATGTTGGTAGGATATTCTGGGGTTTCTACAGGGTTCCCCATCTTGTTCTTTTTTCCCTCCGCTTTTCTAGTTTGTGGTTTCTTATTTATATTATTTTTATTTTGTTTGGTACATTGAAAACTGCCTGAAGTCATTTGAAGTCAGGCAGCATAGATTGAATTAAATAAATAAATCATTTTTTTAAAAAAATATAGTTTCAATTTGTTTACTCAGTTCTAAAGATGATAAATAGGAGGCAAGCTGCAGAACTTCACCTACCTGCTTGCCTGACTGGAAATTCCACTTGATCAGAAACAATGATTTGTAGCAGACTGGGAGCAAAGTTTATTATCTTGTAGGACTGAAAAGGATATAAAAGGTTAATCAGCAAAGTATGGATAGCAGTACTAAGCACTCTTAGGTACTTCAGTTATTAACAGAGAAATAAGCATCACTCTCCTATTGAAAAATAATTGAGTTAGACTCAACAAAGACTGTTTGGTTTTAAGATTAAGAAGCAATTCTGCTATCTTTTGCTGTGAAGGTCTCCAAAGCAGGCCAGGAATTTAATAGCCAATCTGTTAATAACCACAACTCTCCTAATATCAAAACATTCACCTTATACAACAGGAATCAACACCCCAACTCTACATGTAGCCCTCACACATCCCAAGATAGTGCCACTGAAATTCAGCAGCAAAATGGTTTAATGGGTGAGGCACATGGCTGGTGTGCTGGTTCATTAATAAAGGAAGAAGCAAAAGAGAGAGGCTACTAGGAAGCAAACTACCATAATTCCCACTCTTAATTAATTCCCACTCTGATTCCCCCATTTCCAGTCCAATTTTTTTCTCATTTGAAGGATGGGGTTAGGAATGGTTCATCAGATCTTTTGTTGGACACAGATGTCTCGGAGTTGAATGCACAGCTGTTTCACTTTGTTGGCTGGTCCACCAGATGTGCTTTCTACAATCAATTACATTGAGCCAAATGCATTTTGCAAAGTCCCCCTTTGAAAGTTTTGCTTTAATGGTCACAAGAGGCCACTTTTGAAATGCATATAACCATAGAGAGGGGCAGAGGGAGTCATAAACTTAAAACTGCTATGGATTTAAAGTTTGTGTGTCTTCACTTATTTACTTTAGACAGCATGTAATTATGTATATGTAAGGGTTAACATGAAAATCTATGCTGACTTTATGTATTCAGATCCTAAGCCACTGAAGATGATCTTGGCTCAAAAACATCCAACAGAAATTCTGGATTGCCACCGTTCAGTAAAATATATTTTCTAACATTGCAAAAACCAGTCCATAAGTGATTTTTGCAAGTACAAACTAAGCTAACTTTTTCTAAATGAAAACAAATGTAGTATACTAAAATGCAGAACTGTGGAATATTAAAATCTCCTGTGTTTTAGGGGGTCTTCTGCCTTCCAATCAGTAGCAAATTCAAATGTTACTAGGTCTCTCACAGAATAGATTATCCACTTTTATTCTATTTTTTCTTCTTTAGTTTCTATTTTATTATTATATACTTTTGAAAGAATGCAACAAATAGATGGCACAAATAAATCAGGTAGAGGTAGTGATATATGGGGAAGAAATACTATCATGTGACAAAGAATTTAATTCTAATTGGAAACACTCCTGCACTACAATCCTATACCGTGGGATTCAAATATGTGAACAACCAGTCCACTGTGTGGATGCTGCTTCCAGAAGTCCATTCTGGGCCCAGGCAACAAAAAAATTAGCTACCAGTTCTGCCAAAGTGGTGTGAACTGGCTGAATCCCATCACTGATCTTATACATAGAATAGTATAACATCCAAATTTTAAATGTTAGCATTCATATGTTAATTTGATATATAATTTATAGCATTAATGGAATACATTATTTACTATCTCTAAGTTTCTATATCTATAAATGATTTAACTATGTCAACCAAGTTATTTTAGCTTAAAATTCAATAAGAAGTTGTGATTTTTAAGTGGAAAATGAACTTCTAACGATATATTATCAAATATAAGTTTTATATTTCAGTTTCAGTTTTAATTTATTCCTATGGGACTGAAGACCAATTTTATTGTAGAGGATATTTTACTATCTCATTCACCTTATCTTATTATAATCTAATTTTAGATGGATGTCATTTGATGCAATGTGCTTAACAAATTGTGTTTAGAATATCATATTATCTAATCAAGGCCCCTTTTTCCCAGAAGACAATGAGACTGGCATTTCTTGGAAATGTTCAGCTCAATTCTTCAGGTTGCCATCATGACAGTTATTCTGCAAAATGAAATTATACATAATGGAAACCTTTAAAAAGTGCCAATGCATCAGCACTAGGTTCTCCTGGACAGCACCCCAGACTACAAACTAAAGTCTTCTTTGAGTCAACCTTGACTCCTGCTGACTTCATGAACATGTCAGTGTCCCTGCAATTTTTATGACAACAATAGAAAAGTGATTGGCCACTATCTTTTTTTAGGGTTAAAACAAATTCTAGTCTAATCTACAGCCCTGGAATCATTCAAGAATCAACCAAGGCCTGATATTTTGATCTGAGATAAGGTCAGAGTAAAAGTATAGATATTACTCCCTGGGTTTATATGCCACATAATAAGATATCTGTAACTACATATGGAAAAGATGTTACTACAATTTTAATAAGAGGCCAAACTTAAGAAAAAGTGGGTTTGGGTCTAAAACAATACATTTTATTATTTAATTGATAAAACTAATTGAAGCTGTAACATACTAAGGACACATTTCAGTCCATGCAGATATCTATCACACCTTTATATTAATTTAATGCTTCTACAGCATTAAATATTCAGGACCACATACATTTGAGGATAAATGCAGTCCTGTTTTCAAAGCGCAACCAGAACGAAAAAAGAAAACCAAAAACCTTTTTTTTTTTAATTGAATTTTTTCAAAAATTTTACAGATAAACATCCACCCCCCCCAACCACCCCACCCTCCCCCCCCGACTTCCCAGAACTGAATATAGGATTATTTAACAAATTTTAAAAATAACGTTTACAATTTATAAGATAATTAATAATAATAATAAAAATCATGATCATAATATATATAATAATAATATACATAACATAAGCTTTAAAGTAAATAATATATACTAAAAAAAAAGAAAAAAAAAGAAAAAGAGGAAAAAAGGAAAAGAGAGAGAAAAAGAAAAAAAGAAAAAGGTAGACGGAAAATAGAACATATATAAAAAAGTATATGAATAATAATACATAAAGCATAAAAAAAATAGAAAAAAGAAGAAAGAAAAGAAAAAAAAAACAATCATTACAAGTTATAGAAAAGCTAAATAATATTTTTCCATATCCAAATTATGTTGTATAAAATTTATCCATTTTTCCCATACCGCAAAAAATTTCTCTTGAGATTGCTCCTTTAAAAAAGCCGAAATCTTTGCCATTTCTGCCAAATACGAAACTTTATAAAACCACTCTTGTAAAGTAGGCAAGGATTCCTTCTTCCAATATTGTCCTATTAACAGCCTAGCGGCTGTAATCAAATTTAACATCAATATAACCTCCTTAGCATCACAATCAATAACAATACCTAATAAAAATAGTTGCGGAGTAAATTTTACCCTCTTTCTAAAAATTCTTTGAATATTCCACCATATCTTAATCCAAAAAGCTTTTATATGTTTACACGTCCACCAGATATGATAATAAGTAGCATCCAAGTGTCCACATCTCCAGCATTTCGGCTGTAAATTAGGGTACATAATGGACATTTTCTTTGGATCAAGGTGCCATCTATAAAACATCTTATAAAAATTCTCTCTTAAATTTTGCGCTTGTGTGAATTTAACATTTCTTATCCAAATAAGTTCCCAAATATCCATTGAAATCGATTCACCAATATTCTGTGCCCATTTAATCATACAATCTTTAACTAATTCAGATTCTGAATCCAATTCCACTAAAACCCCATAAACTCTCTTTATATGAGTTGGCCTTTGATCTCTTACTTGTTTTAGAAGAATTTCATCTTCTCTGAGCCAACCCATTTTACAATCCATCTTCCATCTATCCGCTATTTGTCTATATTGGAACCATGAATAAATTAGATTTTCATGTGTTAATTCTTCCAAAGATTTTAACTGCCAGTCTTGGCCATCCCATCTAAGTAACTGTGCATAAGAGACCATATCCATATTAACCCCTTTCCTTATGCCTTCTATGGCATGCCGAGGTATAGCCCATAATGGTATTTTAAAATCACATTTATAATACTTCCTCCACACTCTAAGCAAAGAAATTCTTATAATATGAGACTTAAAAACCCAATCCACTTTTTTATTAAATATTAAATAGGCATGCCATCCAAAAAGTAAGTCCCAACCTTCCAAATGAAGTATTTCTATATTTGTTAAATTCACCCAATCGCTAATCAATGTTAATACTACAGCATCATAATACAATTTCATATTTGGTACCTTGAGTCCGCCTCTCTCACGAAAATCTTGCATTATTTTAAGTTTCACCCTTGGTTTTTTCCCTGCCCAAACAAATTTATTAATACCTTTTTGCCATTCATCTAAATTACGTTCACTCTTTAAAATAGGTAACATTTGAAACAAAAAAATAAACTTTGGCAGGCAAAAACCTTTTATCAATATCAAAAGGTACAAAACTGAGAAGCTTCAGTATCTAAAAATTCAAGAACAGTAAGGAGTAATTTTAGACAGGAAAAGTGGGAGAAACAAGGTGCAGGTTTAATATAAAAATCTAAATTTTATATTGTTTTATGAACTGTATGAATTGCTGTCCTCAGGTTGTTGTGACTACATATGAAATGAGGAACCTATAAATAAGTGATAGATGTTATACTTCAGAACTGGCTGGAAATTATACAAACGTATCAAAGCAACGGCCCCTGATCTTTTGGGCACCAAGAATTGGTTCCGTAGAGGGCAGTTTTTCCACAGTCCAGGGAATATGGTGTCATAGGCTGCCTGGATCTAGTGCATGCATGGATGTGGCTTTGCTCACTTGCGTGGACCAGTTCCTGGTAGGCCATGGACCAGTGACAATCTGTGGCCTAGGGATTGGGACCCCTGTGTCAGAGTCTAGAACTAAAAATATTTGTGTCCCAGAAAAAAAATAAGGAAGTTGTAAACACTATGACAAAGTTGAACCATTGTAAGGCTGGAGAAATTTAACAGGTGAAATATTAAACTATGAGTGTGCTCAGTTATGAAGTAGCTATGTGATATTTGATGTGCATATGAGGTAGCTATATCTGACAACAGAAAGGATGATGTTACAGTTCCCTTATACAGTGCAAAGACAAAGGTAACAAGAGTAAATGCAAAACTACCACATAATTAGTTTGTTAAGTATGCCTGGAAATAACTTTGCAAAATTCTGATTGAAAGTCCCCAAGAAATATCAATGAAAAAAATTTGAGAAATACAGTTTGGCTTTATATCAGGCTAAGCTTTTGGTTTTTTAGCAGGTCATATATATAAATATGAGGGGAATAATGATGATAAGGTAAATAGGTTCGAATTATGGAATGTTTTGCATGAATATGGACATGAAGATTGTTGAATGTAATAACGGCAATGTATCATGAAAATAAAACAATTCCTGAAAATAAATGAAATGATTAGTGGATGGTTTAGCTCTAAGCAGAGATAAAGATAAACAACCCCTTGGTTGTTTAATGTTTTTATAGATCAAGATAGTGGTTCTAACATATGCCAGTGAAACATGGACCCAAACCTCACAATAAAAAGCTACGAGTGATGCAAAGAGCCATGGAAAGATACATGCTGGGCATCACAAGACAAGACAGAAAGACGCGCAGATGGATTAGAGACAAATGAAAATATATATGATGCCATCGAAAGAGTAAAAGAATTGAAATGGAAATGGGCTGGTCACATAGCAAGAAAAAGTGATGGCAGTTGGACTAAGACAGTCATAGAATGGATTCCATTCACAAAAGAGACCTAAAAGAAGAGGGTGACGACATCAGCAAGTATTGTGGGCCCAACTAGCAAAGGAAAGCTCAAGACATTACTGGTGGGAAATATGTGGAAGAGGCCTTCATCCTGCCTTGGATAGAGAATGGCTAGAACAGGGGTTCTCAACCTTGGCAACTTTAAGACTTGTGGACTTCAACTCCCAGAGTTGAAGTCCACAAGTCTTAAAGTTGCCAAGGTTGAGAACCTCTGGGCTAGAATGATGATGATGAAGATGATAGATCAAGATGTAAGAGATACCTGTATAGTTTTGTAAACAGACCATATCAAAATGTTCGCTAAGAACATGAATGACTTACAGCATATCACAGATTGTATGCTGCAATATGGAGCTATGTATCAGTAGTTAAAAGACAAAGGTTTGAGAAAACAGAAAATGAATGACTGCAACATAAACAGCAATAAGCTAGAGTAAACACATGCAATTGTGTACCTTGGTAGAATGCTTAACAGAACTGGGAATGGTTTGAGAAATGTTAGGACATTTAAATAGTAGCAGAAAGATTACTATGTAATCTGCCGTGAGGAATGTTAAAACAAAACAAAACAGTTTGTCTCTATCCATTTTCTTATACAGAAATGAGAGTTGGGTAATCAGGAGAAAAAACCCTGAATATAATGGAAATACAGTGGGAACAGGAAGAAATGTATCTGGCAAAATGAGTAAATCATACGTAGATGAGCACTGAATAAATGAGAAATGAATACAGGAATGCATGACTAATATCATATGAGGCAGTTATAGAAAAGAGATGAACCCTGATTGAACTTAAGGAAGGAAAAAAGAAAGAAAGCTGGGATAGATGAAGCAGATAAAATCCCGAAAATGTGAAACATAAAAAGTTTAAAGAACAAAAGGCAACGTAAGAGGCATGGAGAAAGTGGGGGTGAATCAGATTTAGCTATGCATATTTTCTCTTTTTCTCATCTGGTGCCTTTATTTCTTCAACTTAGTGATTCTTAGTTCTTTTGTGCACTTTGCACAACGCTGCCTAGCCTCAAAGTGACAAGAACATGTGTACGTTCTGGATGTGCCTGAAACACGGAACCCTAAACTAACCTCGCGGGCTGGATTCACACAACAACCTGAGTGTAACGTACGGCTGTAGTTCGGGAATAATGCGGCCTTTCTCCTTCGAGGCTTCTGCAAGAAGCAATGACAGGCGCTCCGTCGGAAGGGAACGAGGCTGCCGGACGGGAAGGGGGCGGCGGACCTCGTCAGAGACCCTCGGGCGTCCCTTCCCCGGCCGAGGCCCAAGCCCATCGCGGACTTACCTGGTTGAGCTCATTCTCGGCCGCGAGGCGCAGCTTGGGGTCGATGGTGCCCTTGAGCGCCTGGATAATTCTGTTGGGATCCATGATCTCTCAGAGCCTCAACGGGAAGGGCAGCGGCCGCCGCGCACGCTCGCCGGCTCCCTCCTTCCCCCTTTGGCTACACAGAAGCCATTCACCGGTTTACGACAGCCGAACTGTCGCGAAGACGAAGCTTTGCGGCTTCAGCGCGCCGCGCCACCCCACCCCCGTTCGCCGTTCTCGCGGCGGCGGTACCTTGGGCGCCATATTGCTGTACGGAAAGAAACGGTGCGCGAACTGCTCGCTGCGGTAGAGGATCGAAGTTCCCTGCATGGAAACCAGAGACTTGCTTTCTGTCTCGTCTTTTCCTATGTTGGTAATCCTCGACTTACAACAGTTCATTTAATGACCGTTCAAAGTTATAAACGCACTGAAAAACGTACGTTATGACCGTTTTTCACTTACGACCTTTGTAGCAGCCCCATGATCATGTGATCAAAATGCAGCTGCTTGGCAACTCATACTTATGACTTGCTGTTCTAAGGTCATGTGATCACCTTTTGCAACCTTTTGACAAGCAAAATCAATGGGGAAGCCAGATTCACTTAACTGGGCTACTAACTTATCAACTCTGGTGATCCATTTAACTATGGCAAGAAAGGTCATAAAGTGGGGCAAATGTCTTACTTAACAGAAATGTTGTGCTCAATTGTTGTCGTAAGTCAAGGACTACCTGTATATTTCTATCAGATTAGAAAAACGGAACAAAAACTGCTTAAGAAGAAAAACTACTTATGAATCCCTCTTATATAGTAGTAACTAGATCAGCCTGCCTGGGAATTTCTCCCTTTCTGTTCAGAGGATGCACATATTTTGTTTATTCCAATTAACAATAATCAGACATTTCATTTTTCAATGGGAGCGTTTTGTAAATTTGCTAAATGGAAATCCACTTCCTTCAAAAAAAATCCCGTATGTTTATTCTACGTTGGTTGAATGGCTGGTGTATGTTAGAAGCCACAGTTGGCTTGAAAATTATGAGTTCTCTGTAACTCATTGAACTGGATCAAGTGGGACGCTGGCCCAGCACACTTTAACATTTTCATTCATTCCCTGAAGAGGCGGAGGAATATCTTAGTTTGCAGCTGATGGAAAACAAGAGAGGGTAGCTAATATTCAAAAACATAAAATTAATAACTTACCAAATACTAAATGTAACAAGACAAATGCAAAATTCTTTTAAGAAATTGGAAACAAATTCAGGTGCAGGATGGGGAACCACAATAGCACTTTTGTTGTGTAGAGGACTAATTTTCTCCTTTATCTAAGGTGGCTAAGACCTAAATTACAACAGATTCTTGAATTGTTTACATGCTATGTAACAGATACACAGCTTTCATATTACTTACTACTGAATATAAACACGATGAGACACTTATTGAAATGATTTTAAGCATTTTTCAGCATTTAATTCTAACACTGAAATCTGCACAAAAAAACTATATGTTCTGCATAAAATACCAGGTCCCAGTGCATTCAGCATCTACACATACAAGTAGCAATCATGGTCAGTGACATATCCCTGACATGAGTTTGATTTTTTTCAGTATTCTGTAGAGATATCAAGAAGCCTCTTTATGTCCACTATATGCACATATCATTCAGTTAAAAAATATTTACCTTTGGGTGTTCTCAATTTTTTTTAGCTCAGATCACGTTTCACTTAGCTTAGCTTGTATCAGAGCTACAGATCCTACTGATATATTGTCTAAATCAGACATGTCAAACTCGCGATGTCACTTGACATCACACGATGTATCGGGACTGTTTTGCCATTGCTAGCAATGGGGTGGGCATGGCTTCTGCGTGATGCGTCCAGACCACGGGCCAGCAGTTTGACACCCCTGGTCTAAATGAACAAAGAACACCAAAGTTTGGTGCTTGTTTCCTTTATTTCATAAACAAACCAATCAGTGTGTAACAGGATGAGAAAATCATGCCATCAAATAAAGAGCATAATTACGGCTAATGATCACTGATGTTCAAACCACAAAAATTCTAAGGCACATATCTCTCAGCTCAAAATAAATTTTCGAAGACATCTGTAAAATATTGTTGATACCATTTGCCTGATACCATTACCATTCTAATCCTCTGAAACTTCACCAGAGACAGCCTTGCAACTAAGATCAATTGAAATAATTGTACATTCAAAAAAAAAAAAAGGTGGCTCTCATCACATCAGAATATAGGATAGAACTAGCTAGGACACAGGTCGGCAACCTGCGGCTCCGGAGCCGCATGTGGCTCTTTGAGCCTCCCCCCATGGCTCCCAGCTTCCTTTGCCTTTGCAGAGAGAGACAGAGACAGAGAGAGGCAATTGCGCTTCCCTGCTTTTCTCTCTCTCTGTGTGTGTGTTTAAAAGAGAGTGCACTCACAGTGTTCTCCGAGGAGTTGAAAAGCTTACTGGGCGGAGCTCCTCCCTTTGCTGCGTCTCTGCAGGAAGCAGGAAGGGCAGGAGAAAGCTAGCTAGCCCAGCTAGGCTGACTCAGGAATTCTGGGAGTTGAAGTCCATGAGTCATAAAAGAGACGAGGTTGCTTACCCCTGAGCTTGTTGGACAACAGCTTGAAGCTTGCCAGGTGAGCAGCAGATAGGAGGGGGGGAGAAAGAGAGAAAGGGAGGGAGGGAGGGAGGGAGGGAGGGAGAGGGGGGGAAGAGGACTGGCAGACCAAGGGCAGATAGAAAGGGAGGGAGAGGGAGGGAGAGAGAGAGAGACCCTTTTGACATCTAAAATGAAGATAACACTGTATATATCCTTTTTTTACCTCTGTGTGTATGTAATTTTATTCTCTTAAAGCATTCTCTTGGTGATCATTGTTTTAATAGTATGGATATTCCCAAGTCATATTTTTACTTTTATTTTTAATGTCTGTGTGTGTGTATGTGTATATGTGTGTGTGTATACACACGCACACACACACACACACACACACACACCTATAATAAAGGTAAAAAAGGATATATGCAGTGTTATCTTCATTTTAGATATCAAAAGGGTTTTGCAGCTCCCGATATTTTGTTTTTGGTGGGAAACGGGTCCAAGTGGCTCTTTGAGTGTTTTGGGTTGCCTACCCCTGAGCTAGGAAGTCACAAAAAAACCCAGAATGTCATCCAAGGATCTGGGCAAATTTTGACTGTACCATTAGAAAAGCACTGTACAAAACAGAGTAGCAAGAAAACCATAGATATTCAAATTTAGTCAAACAGCTGGATGAATCTCCAGACTCCTTGAGAAATGTTCTATGGACAAATAAATCAAAAGGTGGAACTTTTCAAGTTACACAAGTTCAGTTAGGACTGGTGGAAGCCAAACACTGCATTCCACAATAAGAACCTCATACCGATGATCAAACATAGAAATGGATAGTGCCATAATACTTTGCTGCTTCAACCTCTGGATGACTTGATATCACTGAATAAACAAAACATGAATTCTACTTTTAATAATTCCTCAGAACAGTATCAGGCCATCTTTCTGACATCTAAAGTTGAAGTGAAGTGGGTCATGCAGCAACAGAACGATCCCAAACATATAAGCAAATCTGCAAGAGAATGGATAAAGAAAAACAAACTCAGTGTTCTTCAGTTGCTAAATCAAAATTCAGGCCTAAATGCCATTGAACTATGGAAGTTCCACTAAAAGCTACTGAATTAAAACAATACACCATGAAGGAATTGACCAAAATTCCTACATAGCAATGTGAGGTTGATCTCCAATTATAGGAAGTATTTATTAAAAGTTATTGTAGTTAAATGTGATGCAACAAGTTTACTGAAGGAAGCCAACCACATTTTCAACCACAGGCTGCAGATTGGATGACTTTGAGAAGTAAATGAAACAAGTACTTAACTTTTATATTTCTTCATTCACTTTCAGATGGATCCATGTGAAGCTCTGATCATATTCAATTGCAAAGGAAAGCAAATATTCAGAACATCCAAAAAGGGCCAGATACATTTCCATACAGCTACAATTCAGGAATAACTTTTGTGGATAATTCAGGAATACCTTTTGTAGATTTGTTTGTTACAAATGAAACAATCCACAACAGTAAGATTTTATCAATAGGATTACTAATAACAAAACTGTTTGCAAGAAACAGTTACTGTACCAAAAAAAACACCATTTAAAAATCTGCATAGTAAATAGACAAGTTTCAGATGTGTTCCTTTTTATTTTCAGTCACACAAACATAGCTTTAATATTTATTAACCTGTTCATTGTTTTTAAAAAAGGGTAATACAAAAAGCAAGTTTAAAATGTTTTATTACCTCACCATACTGAGATGTTTGCAAGCTTTTCAATACCGCACATTCACAAAAAGATCTGGAGCTGCCTTCAGGACATAGTAAGCCAACTGAATCCTTTGATGAAGAGAGAGAAAAAGCTAGAGGTTGTGATGAAAGCTTCACAAATAGTTTAGCTAACATAATTGTCATTTGGAAAAATAGGAGGGCCTTTTAGAATTTATAAAATGCTGAGTCAAATTAATTGGGAACTTTAAAAAAAAGAGAGGGGGGAGGGGAGGGCACTTTTTAAATGTTTAGTAGTTGTTCTTGGACACCAATACCAGGAATGTAAAATAAAACAGAACCAAAGTTGTAGAGGAAACTTGAATGGAGAATGCAGAGGAGAATTTACCATCTCTGCTTACGGGTATTCTTCCAATCTGCTCTTCAGGTAGTTTCAAATAAAGTCCTCAATTGTGACTATCTCCAGAGTGGTTCCACGGTGATGCTATAATGCAGATCTTGAAGCCTTTAGTCTTCAGATGTCCAAGGTCAACAGTTCCTAGTAAACACCTTGAGTGACAGCCACTCATTTCCAACAACACAAGAGTTTTATAACAAAGGTGTAAAATCTGAAGCAAAGTGACCAACAATACTAGTGGTTAATAAAATAAGATGTAACAATCCTGCTTGTATAGAGGTTTATCATCTCTCCATTTACATAATTACTTGTAGGTTATTTTTCTGCTGCAGCATTCGCATTAAAACTGGTATGGACAGTGACTATAATAAAAACAGGATTTCCAACTTTTGGGCTTAGGGACACATTTAGAACTTGAGAAACATCTGATGTTCTTACACCATGGTTGCTATGGCCAGTCACAGTGCCCAATTACTGTACATGGTAACTTGCCCAATTTCTGCCACCTTACCTTTTTTTTTCCCCAGGCAGGAAAGTATAGCTCTTAAGCATTGAACTATTGCCAGGTAAATACAAGGCACAAGCAGTTTTAGAAACGGTGATGCTTACAGCTGATGTTTTGCTATGTTGGGTGCTAGTTTCCCAATCCTGGGAATTGAGAGAGGTTCCTGCAGCTGCTGTGTTGAGAACTCAAATTGTACATAATTACATAAACAGGAAATGAATCTTAGTCTCAATATTCCACTTGCTTTCAACATTTAAAAAATAAAAATGATGTATAATGTTGTGTTACAGATTGGGGAATGATCCATCTAATTTTTAGTAGTAGTAATTCTCCAGGGAACTCCGTCATCTATTTCTTCTACCAGATTTGTGGAATTGAATCTGCAACTTTTCACATGCAAGGAGCATATTTCATAACTGTGTGTGGATATGTTTTCTTTCTCCAGTGCAATCTTATTTTATTTATTTATAAATTTATATGGCCACCTATCTTATAGCGATAACCCTAAGGCAGCTCAAAATAACATTCAATAAAAACAATGAAATCTGGTCAACTGAACCTCATCACCACCACATAGCTCAATTACAGCACCATCCCACTAACTCTAAATTCACACTTGTATTTGTTCACTTCTATCCTAGCATCATGCCTGGATAAACAAGCCAAGTCTTCACAGCCCTCCAGAAAATTAATGGGGTGATAATATGACTCAAGAGTTATTACAGTAGCACAAACATTGATACTAAGGCATATTTTTTTTATTTAGGCACAAGGCGTTGCGAATAACCTAGACTTGAGGCAAATTTGAGTAGCATAGTAAGCTGATAAATTACAGTTTAAGAGTAAGTGCAAACATAACATTCAGAGCTTCACTATCAAGGCTACATCACAACTGATAAAGTGCCACATCAGTGCTGATCCAACTTCAACTCTTTGCAAAACAGACCACCGTATATCCCACTTTAGAATGGTGTGTTTAAGTATTCAGTATGCAGTGTGAAAGTAGCCCACCAGTTTTCACCTTCCTTCACCAAACCGTTGCAGCAGCTTAATGTTCAGTCTTGATACAGGAGATATCCTGAGAAGGTAGAATATTTCCAACTACTTCCGTAAATAGCTCCTCTATGAAGACGTAGCCAAATCTGGTCTCCTTGAAAGAGCTGGAGGACTGCATGGTTGCTTGCAGTCTCGTGATCTGGAGCACCATCATTGGCATACGCAGAGACTAGAACCTCTTCATTTTTCATGAGGTTCACATATAATGGTACATTAACAGCTAGCTTCAGCATATGGAATATGAATACATAAGTACCATTAACAGGACAATTGAACCTACCAAGTTGTATATCAAAGGTTTCGCCAAGATTGTTTAACAAGAGGTCAAACACGATGGGTTGATCTAAAGTTCCAGGAGCCAAGTTAGAAGTTCTAGCAGCAGAAAAGGCAACTCTCATCTGCTGTGGAAGGGGATAGACGTGTACAGGTAGTATGGTGGCTGCTTGGCTCGTCACAGGCATATCAACAGGAGTGATGCTGCGGGAATCGCCCTGCCCAGTGTCCCCACTGTTAAACATCTCATTGTCACATTCTGGACTGCTCACCTGAGAAGAATCGTTCCATCCTGCTGTTAGAGATCATGAGCAATTGTTAGTTCTGATGTAACTATTAAGAAATCCATTTTTAGAAGTTCAGTTTGCCAAGATTTATAGAGTAGATCGGCCTTCCCCAGCTGAGCATTTCCAATTCTGTTGGAGCTACAATTCCCCATATTAGCCAGAGTCATAATATGGATGGCATCATGTATGAGAAGGCTGATCTAGACAAGTGCCAGTTACTGGTTTGTCCCTAGTTTTTAGAAATTTGTTCTTCAAATTGTGAAAAGAGGACATATGGTTTCACAAATAATTTATGTAGGGGTTTTAAGGCTAAAAGACATAATACTGTGTTTACCTTTGGCTTCAACAGTTAATTAACAAGTATAACCATGACTTGAAAATATCCCATACTTTACCAGGTTGTTTTATTTTCTCTGACTTCCAATTTTGACCATGCTTCTCTGCCCCAGTATTTGTTCAGATTTGTTACTTTACTTAATCCTTTGCAGATCCAGGCTCTCAGATTAGTATTATTTCATTAAAAACAACTCAATTAACCATGCTCCAATCCAGCAAGTTTAAGCTAGAAACAGGTTTTTCATCCTTCACTCTCTAAAACCTGAGTAGAGGCGATATATGCATTGAACATACTTCTGCAATGAGTTCAGGGTTGAAATAATTTAAATCTATCTTAGACACCAGAGACTTAAATACATCTGCAGTATCTTTAATACCATGGTGAGAAATATAAATTTACCATTTTTTTTTGCATAGTTATCAAAACTATATTATTTTCCTCAAACTGTTGACCTATAAGTGTTTGGGGAATTCTGAAAGTTACTATCCAAAACATACTTGGAGGATTCCAGGTTGGAGACAGCTAGGATATTATGAATTATAAAATACCTAATTTGATTTCCAGAACTACTTCATGCTATATGATGCTCTTCAAATTAAATCTAAATTCTCACAGCTTCTGACCATAAAAACAAAAAATTGTTTAGTCCAAATTACTACACCCCATTGACTTACATAACAGAATGCCTAAAAACCCATTAATAGAATTTTAAACTTATATGTATTTATATTTTATCATGAATGCATAGTGGCTGCTTACTCATAGCTGCTTTAATATTATATTATATAATAGGAAATATATTTTGCAAGGATGCATTGCTCTTACTTCCAAGAAAAGACGCATCTTTAAAAATATGTTTTTATTTAGTGTAGAAAACCAAGTTACCAATCTGTCAACTATATTGTTAATCAGTACTAACTGAATTGGTGCATTTTGGCAACTACAAGATTATTTTCAGACTCTGCTTCTTTCTCATTTTTCTCAGTTTTTCTCAATTCCCTTCTTCTGAAGTATTTTTTACCACGTGTTCTACCTCGAGCGCTACCTGCTGAGCAGTTTTCTTCCTGTCTGTTTTCTTGCCTGTAACCTAAAACACAGAAGCTTTAAGGATTTTATATTTTATATAAAGCTGATATGGCTAAACTGGAATCAAATATTTTCTTCAATTGCCTGAAAAAAAAAATATTCTTTTATAGTCTCCAATACTATGGGCAAAATGTTCTGTGCATGGAACAGCCTATTCAGGTTGTCTGAATCCAAGTGGATACCTTTAAATATTTGCATTCAAACGCTGAGTAAAATTGCTCTATTTGTTCCAGGCATAGACCAAAATGTAGATGTTCTAGACAGTAAGTGGTTCAAAGGAAGAGGAGAGCAGAAAGTTAAGAACCTCAGTCATCCCTGTTGAGGAAAAGGTGGGGATGGACATTTTCTTCCCTGCTCTATAATGAAAAGAACCTTTGCAAAAGTTTTTAATTCCTAGCAGTTATTAACTGTTCAAAATTAGCATTTAAGTATGCAAGTACTGTATATTGTTAACAGCACTGAATGGGTACTGATTCCTTCAAAAGCAGCCTCAGATTCCTTTCCAGGCATATATCAGGCAAAGTGCCTAAGAACATGGAGTCTGTACTTGACTGTTTAGGCAACAATACACATAATCCATAGTGTGCTGGAATGGTTAATCATAGTGTAATGAAACCTGAGTACTGCAGTATGACTTAAAAGAGACTTCCATTTTAAATCATGTTAAAAGTAAACTTACCTCTTGAATTAGTTCGACCGCTATTAATACCTCCTCGCTTATAGTTTGGTTGGTAATTCATATCCTAGAACAGAAACATTTGCCTCAATTTAGTAAAGGGCAACAACATCGTTCTTATAGTCACTTGATTTTTTTTGTTACAATTAGTGAGATAGCAGAGTGGGAGGGAACTGTGCTATGTCCTGCATCAAAAGTTTGTTGCTACCTGGCAAATATCTGCAGTCCAATATCCTTGATTAGCACTAGTTTAATTAGGATAAATCATATGCCTGTAAATGTTAAACTACAGCCAATTCTTGTTCTAATTTTCCAGCATGCTTAATTGATGGTTATTTTCAAATATATTATTCATAAGAAAGACTGATATCAAATAGGCAAAGTGAATAAAGTTCAGAGATATAAACCCCAAATTAAAATTAAAATTCATCAATGGGATACAAAATATACAAAACAGGTGTGAACTATGATATATAATCCATTAATTATTTATACTCAATTTATTTGCTCTAGGAGGTAGCACTATTAGTCATATTAAATTATTAGCCACAGCAAGCTATCAGGTTTTATAAAACATCCGTTATGTCAAGTGAATGCTTGATTTTGACTTTTGCACAGAACAGAGGATGCCAAACCATTCTAAAGCATACTTGGTCTCAACAAAGCTTGTCAAGTCATTACCCTCTGAGAATACTGCACTGAAGAGTAATCTCTGCCAGGAAGTTGTAATTGGCTATAGGTTCCATTAGGGATTGAAGATGGTCCTCTGTAAGCTTCAAAACCTGCTGGAATAAAGTGTTGTTTGGTGTGAAACACTTCATATTTCCATTAAATACTAAAAATGGGTGGCCATAATTCAAATATTCTTTGCAGTATAAAACAGCATCCAAGTATCTTATACCTTTTTTTGCTGTATCCTTCTTCTGAGATGGGTGGCCATATACAATAGAGAGAAAAAGAGAGATTGGGAGGGGGGGAGAGATATGATAGACAGGTGATAGATGGTTGCAAGATTGATGGATTAGATAGACAGACAGAAAGATAAATACCATTAAAAGGATCAGTTGTAATGGAATGTGCACCTGGAAGGGGGGGGGAGTTTTGGCAACACAGAGCTTTCCCAAACAGAGGTCTAAATTAAGGGACTGTGCAATCCTGAGTTGGACTGGGGCAGGAGGAAGGTTCAGGGCAGTTGCACCCTAGAATCTTTCAGGATATTTCTAGTAGATTAGAAGGTTATCGTTTTAGTTTTGTCCATTAAGTGCAAGCAAATAAAGGATTGGATTTTGCTGTGTTATCCTTCAGCTTGTACCTGACACCAGGGGAGAGACTCTTGTAAGTTCAACCATTGTTAAGTTGAAAAATTGCTAAAAAGGTGGTTACTAAGCAAGGACCATATGTACAGGCCAAAAGCTTACTAGAATAGTACAGACTTTTAAGTAAGGTTTGGAGACACCCATAGTTCTGGGAGGTAAGACTAGGTCCATCACTAAGCATCTCTGTCACTTGGATTATACCCAGTGAATTCAGATCTACAGAGATGCATAATCTGCAGCCAATTATAGTGCAGCCTGCAATATTCCCCCATATCTATTGCTTGTCAGCAAGGAATTCCAAACCATCACTACCTCCTCTACTTAGGGATTCTCATATATGTATGCTTGCTGTGGAAGATAAAAGTCTCAATATACGGGGAGAACATTAGTGCATGGGAGAATGATTTGTTACTCGCACATTTACTGAACTATTTTAAATCTAAGCATCAGTGCAGACGCATGAGAAGACAGTTGCTCTTAACTGCCAAATAATTGTGGTGAAGCAGTATTTATATGTAATGTAATTTAAGTCTATGTATCATCCTGCCCCTTCTGCAGTGTGCCCTTGACATGCTATTCAGAATGGCATGGATCTTGGTCCAATAAGAGTTGTATTCCAGATACTACAGTGTAATTCCACAGAATCTGAACTACAATTAATTATCATTCTTTCAGGATTCACTTCTGAACGGCAATAGAAATAGGTCAAACCATGCATCAATATTTTCATAAAACTGGATCTTACCTTTATATCCACCAGGGGAACGATAAGAATTGGCCACTGATCTTACACCCCTGAGAGAACCTCTGATAGATCCACGGTTTGCAATAAAAGGCTGAGATGGTCTAGGGAAAGTGGCTGTCTGTGCTGCATAAAAAGTGAGGGTACCATTGCTGACAGGAACAGCTCCCTCAGTCTGGCAAGTACCTGCTTAAGATGAGAAGCGCACATCTTACATATTCCTGTAAGCTACTACAAAGGAAAAGGATGTGATTCCTGATCTTTTTCCTCAACCTTTATTAATTGCACTATTGCTTGTAACACACAGGAATATATTACCTTGTTATTGTTAATAACTGTTTAAAAATAAACAAATTTGTTGAATTTAAAACTTCATTTAAGTAGTTGGAATTAATATAAACTAGCCAGACTGGAGGCTTGTCAATGTTAAGACAGACAATGATGAGTTTAAATGTACTTAACACTTCCTGCTACAAAAAAACCCAGTAGCTTAAAAATATATGAACTGTCTATGGCAGGACTTTTCAACCAGTGGTACGGGTATCACCTGTAGTACATTGGCACCTGGCAGGTGGTATGCAACCATCCTAGAAAAGTGGTAGCAGGGGAGGGGAATGAGCTGAACCAGTGGCAGCAACACACAAGCCTGAGCGAGAGATGGCTGGAGCTGCAGGGCTGTCAGAGCTCAGCGGAAGCGCCAGGATCAGCGCCAGACTCCAGCTGGAGCTCGGCGCTGATCCTGGTGCTTCTGCTGAGCCCAGAAGCGCCGATCACCTGGAATGTTGCAGCATCTCCAGGGTCTTGTGATTTACATTCAGATGCTTGGCAATTGATTCATATTTATGACGGTCACAGTGTCCCAGGGTCATGTGAAGTGACCAAAACCTGCTGCAACCACCCAGCAGATTGGGGGAATAAAAACCAAACGCCCCCCACCCCACCCCCACTGCCAATCCTCAACTGAAATGCTCACAACAATGAAAACTTCAGACAGGAAGAAGAGCGCAGCCGGGCGGGTAGGCAGGTGTCTTGCTCGGCTGCGCCTTGTGGGGCACTTTTTTCAGTGCCATTGTAACTTCGAACAATTACTAAGCGAACTGTTGTAAGTCGAGGACTACCTGTACTTCATCACTTTTTCCCTTTTTTTTTTTGGTCATCAAGTTTTTGACACCTTGGAGGACATAAGGAAGGACTGAAAAAATCATGAAGGTCTGGCCAGGTTGGATGATTCAGTGAGAAATAAACCTCCTTCAAGAAGTCAAATCAAATTAAAACAATTAAAGTTCTATAATAGAAATGCTTCCAATTTCCAGTGGCTGTTATGTTTATTCTTGACTTATTATTAAAATGCATTTGCCTTTACAATTACTTTTCTTTTTATGATATATTCTCTTCTTAGATGATTATGGGACTTTCCAGCATTGGGGTAAAAAACATATGGCCAGCTTAAAATTTAATGTTCATTCTGGTCACATCAGACTGCACTCTCTTCTCAAAGGATGACTCCGCAAGTAAAAGGTTTTCTAGTAGAACTAAAAAACCAAATATGAACACTTAAGTTTTTCTGTCATTTTTAAAGTAATGTGTATTATAAAATGTTCAAAATGAGTTTAGAATCATGGCCATCTCTTGCATCATCAGTTCAGTTACTGAAATTCTTACCATTTGAAAGGGACTCTTGTGAAAAAGTTATTTGTTCTGCATTCTGAGTAGATAGTAATTTACACGGAGGCGGCGTCTGTGTGCTTGCTGTTGAAAAATTCTGATTGTATCCCGTAGAATGCAGAGAATTCTCTTTTGCATCCTGCTCCCTACGAGGTGGCAAAGGTGCATTCACTTTGAACACCTACAAAAAACATAATGTTATGAACTATATCAGCCTCATATAAACCCCAAGCAGCAGCTTTTAGTGCCCCAGATATCATTCATTGGGGAAACTGAAATGTTAATAATTTACATTGCAGAAATGAAGAAGAGATTCTATAACTTCCAGGAAATCTCCTGTCTAACTTGCACACTTCTGATTAATTTCATCTAGGGTTATATGCTGGGACTTCTAATTTACTAAAGTTCTAATTTCTGAAATGAAACATTGTGAGAAATTGATTACGGGTAGTTCCCGACTTATGATCATAATTTAGCCCAAAATTATGGTTGTATATTGCAGCAGACATTAAGCAGGTTACCATACAACCGTAACTGATTTTACCTTTTTTCTGGTAGTTATTTAAATGAATATGGTCATTAAACAAATCTATTATACCCAATCAGCGGTTTTTGCCAGAAATTGGAAGTAATAACTGAAACTGCAAAAGAAATTGCCAAAAATCAGTCATGTGACTGTAAGATGCTGCAAATGGCTATAAATGCAAGCCAGTTGCTAAGCATGCAAAAGGCAATCACATGACTGCAGTGTGTGTGTGTGTGTGTGTGTGTGTGTGTGTGTGTGTATACAGTCATCAGAACTCTGGAACCAAGTCAAAAGTATCTTTTGAGGGGAGCCATCATAACTTTGAATGGCTGTTAAGCGAAGATTATCTGAAATGTCTATTCAACAAAATGTGGTTTTGTTGTCCTATATCTTATATGAAAGCCATCTGTTCTTTGTACAGAAGCTGCCAAAACCAAAAATTTTGACCAATATTTTGTTGTGTTGTCTAACATCTAATTATATTGTACTTACAGTCTGCATAGCCTGAAAAGGAGGTGCTTTTACATTAACAGCACTGCTACTTGATGGAGGAGATTGAAAAACTTTCCCTTGATGTTCTGGCGACACGCTAGTTCTTGAGGGTGTCAGTGGTGTCTGTGATTCACTTGAAACTGGAGTAGGAACCTTGAAGAGAAGCATAATAATGAAACAGATATTCTAGCAACAAACAACTTAGGTTGTTAAAACTAAAAATTATCAAACATCAGCAGTTTCTGCAAGCCAACAGTTATATTTATCTTTAATAACCTACATTATTATAAATATTTGAAAAGGTTCTCTGAAACAAAGATATGTAAAAGTAAAAAGAGCAAAAAAGAGCAGTTTTTTAACTCAGTTCCTATTCTTAATATATTATTTTTAAACCGAATAACTATGGCCTTTTATGACATAAACTGCTCAGTAATTTCTTGAGTTATGTTACACAAAGGTCACAAGTAGTCCTCGACTTACAACCATTTGTTCAGTGAAGTTACAACAGAACTGAAAAAAATGGATTTACAACTAATATTCCTGACACTTATGACTATCACAGCATCCTCACAGCTATATGATCGAAGTTTGGCCACTTGGCAACTAGCATGTTATAATGGTTGCAGCACCCCGGCGTCATGTAATCATCTGCAACCTTCCCAGCCAGCTTCTGACAATCAATGGAGGAAGCTGAATTCATTTAAAGATGATGTGATTCACTTAATGGTTGTAAAAGAGATAGTAAAATTGGGCGCAACTCATTTAACAACCACCTTGCCTAGTAATGGAAATTTTGGTCCCAGTTGTGGACATAAGTTGAGGACTGCCTGCATGGGAAATTGAAATTCTGAAGTCCTTGAGAATGTGGAACAGAAGTCTGGAGAAGCCATTCCAAAGGTATTAAGTTGAACTCAGTGGCCTAGCTAAATATGATATTTCTTAAGAGACTGGTGGAGGTAGAGAAGGCTCATTTCAAGAGATAACCGATAGAACTGTGTATAGTCTCCATATGGTTCCTCTGAGGTAAGGTGAAAGAAATCCAAAAAGATTCTGTTCTTGCATTGTGCTCTGCTATAATAATCACTAGCTTTTTCCTTCTGTTACAATCTAAATTTTAGAACTCTACCACAGAGATCCCCAACCTTTTGGGTACCAGGGACCGGTTCCGTGGAGAGAGGTTTTTCCGCAGACCAGAGGGGGCGTGGTTTCGTGTGTTGCCTGCATCCCGCGGATGGGGCTTTGCTTGTTTGTGCAGACCGGTTGCTGGCATGCTGTGGCCTGGTACTGGTCCACGGACCGGGGTTGGGGACCCCTGCTCTACCATTCACAATAAGTAAAGTCAAAGCAAATATATAAAAGAATTCCACATTGTTTCAACCATAGACCAAACTGTTAAATATCCACACTATTGTAGCATAAAAAACTACAGTAACACAGAAAAATCAGATAGCTTAAGTATGCAGACAGAATTTACTTTATGTACAGTTTTTGAGAAACTTGTCTAAAAATCAAGACATCTAAAATTCATAGCTTAGTCTTCTACAAACTAGTATTCTTAAAACAGGCAATGAACATTCTGACTACACATACAGAAATAAGATCAATAAAGGAGAATATAGCTCAGGGTTGAAATGAGGGGTCCTTGATGGTCTCTCAGCTTGGTTATTTTCTTGCAGATATTTCATTAACCAAACTAGGTCACATCATCAGTGTACCAAACTCCAAGAACACCAAGAACCCCTCAGAAATAAGATCAAATTAATAAATAGCTAAGCTTCTTAATCAACCATTCATTGAATAATACAACAGAATCCTATTTAGTACTACTTCTAGTAAGAACATTTTATAACTGAAAAAAAGCAAAGAATGGGAAAAAAAGGCAGAGTTCTGTTTGGTTTAGTGAACTGTTTTTTATTTGTTTTTTAAATTACAGATGATAGATATTCTGAGGGCTTCTGTAAGGGCAAAAAGAACCACAAAAAGGATTTTCATTTACTTCTCTTAGAAACCCCCCCATTCTCTTTAATTATATGGGCTGGGAACTCTGGAAACTCTAATCAGATCATATTCAGGAAACAGGAAATTTGCAGAACTCATACCAAGAAACCAGTGCAGCCAAAAATTATCCTTTCTAACAAATGAGGTCAATATTTAAAGAAAAGATCATTAATATTGTATTGGGGACATCATGCTTCTAACTCTCAGAGTATATTTTACAGTAGAGATAGAATATGAATGGGGCTCTGCAAAAGAGGTACAGGGTGCTTCCATACTTGACTGTTTCTTGTTTTCCTGGCAAAGGTGTATTGATACTACCAAACATTAACCTGGCCCCTCCACATCACCTAGCCATTACTGGCATAAGGCCACATACTTCTTTCTCAAAAGCTATTACAGATTGATAGAGATCTGCAAAAGTAATCTCTCATTAAAGGTGGGAAATACATAAATTAGGATCAAGAGAGGCAAAAACAAGAGAGGAATTAGTAAAGTTGTCTTACTTGTGGTGAATGAAGTTCAGTTTCTGATCCAGATAATGTGTTATCAGAAACTAAGGAAGTGTTTGATCCATGCAAGGTCATGGGAGAAGAAGCACTCTGACAATAAAAGTTGACACAATGCCATTAAAGGAGATCTTTAAAAGTATAATTTGAAATACATTATGAAATTTGCTTCATCATTAAACGTTCACTTAGACATTATTCTATGGATTTTTTTAAAAAAATTAAATGTTGTAAGCCACCTGGAATCACCTATGTGTGAGTTGGGTGGCTATATAAATTTGTCTAATAATAATAATAATAAATCAACATCTGACCATCCCAGGTCCTTGGAAAGGACTTGATAGCTGGATAAAAATGCCAATTCCAGTTTGAACATCTGGTTGACTATGCAATGAACCATAATAGTAATGATAACTGAAGATCTTGGGTTTCAGCATAGATTTATATTTTATCACAGTGAGAAGCTAGACAAGGATAAACTTGGCTGCCTGTTGAACACTGTTATGCAAGCCATCCTTTCTTCCTCTGTCAATGTTATCCTCAATTATGTATAAGATGGTGGATAACTGAAGGCAAGTTTTTTGGAAAGAATGACTTTTGCTCTGCCTAATCATGGAAAACATTCCATCACTGATAACTAAATTAAATGAAGAAAGAATTAAAAAATGACTACCGTAATTGTCCATCTTCCCAATGGAATGCTGGAGGCTTAATTTAGTTTCTCCCTGGTGTGCTATATTATAAATAGAATTAAACAGGAAAAGGTGTTTTGGGGGGAAAAATTTGAATTCCATTTATTCAGGCCTCTTTTGGAATCAGACTAGTTTAGACGACTAGACATTTTTCACAGGAGGACAAACCCTAATTCTAATCTGAGAAAATACAGATAGTCCTCAACTTACAACTACAATTGAATCCAAAATTTCAGTTGCTAAGTGAGACATTTGTTAAACAAGGACACATTTGGTTCAGTATAGTGTTCTGATAGCCATTATACTGAAGCCCACAAATAAAACATGATGGAATGTAATCTTTCTACTCATGTTCTCCCAACAATTGGGAGTCAGGCATACTGTCTCTGATAGCACAGATAATATAAGGAGACTTTGGTAGTGACCGCCCAGCTATGCAGATGGGTAGATACAAATCCCTATATCTGAAGTTGGCTCTAGGGAGAAGCTGGAGGTACTAGTTATTATACAACTAGTCCTCAACTTATGACCACAATCGAGCCCAAAATTTCTGTTGCTAAGCGAGACAGTTGTTAAGTGAGTTTTGCTCCATTTTACAATCTTTGTTGCCATAGTTTATAAGTGAATCGCTTCAGTTGTTAAGTTAGTAACACACTGTTAAGTGAATCTGGCTTCCCTGTTGACTGTTTGTCAGAAGGTTGCAAAAGGGGATCACGTGACCCCGGGACACTGCAACTGTCCTAAGTATGAGTCAGCTGCCAAGTGTCTGAATTTTGATCATGTGATCCTGGGGATGCTGCAATGGTCATAAGTGTGAAAAATGGTCATAAGTCACTTTTTTCAGTGCCGCTGTAACTCTGAATGGTCAACTAAACAAACTGCTGTAAGTTAAGGACTACCTGTAACAAGGATCCAGATAAAGCAAGTTTTTCCCCCTATTGTCCTTCAAAGGAGTATTACTTTTTCCTGACACAGAAGGGTAATTTTAGCCCTGGCACACAACAGAGAAGTAGAAATAAATCTTGAATCAAATAAACTATATAATAATATATTTAAAAGTTGACATCTTTCTTCACAAATGACAACTTTCAATTTTACCTGCACTGATTGTTCAGAGAAGTCATTTTGGCTTGAAAGTTGTTCATTAGAAGCTAAAAAATAAGAATATGATTATCACTATTTCAAATAAATTAAGAAAGCATTCAGTTGGATAATCCTGCATTAGGTAATACAGTATTACCATTTTTAGATTTAAAAGACTGACAGCTATATTTATATTTAACATGATTGATTTGCACCTCAATAGCTAGTTGGGACAAGGATGGAGTTTTAAAATCTTTTAATTTGAAATCAAAATTAGAGATAACGCCAAATGTTTCATTAAATAAATAAAAAATACTATAGTATTTTTACATACATTATTTCTTCAATATGTTGATATAATTTTAATACAGCTTTGATACATTCTTCATTGCAATTAATGTTGAAATAGAAATTTTGGACAAAAATTCAAAATTAAGTTTTCATACAAATTCTTTTTATTCACCAAAAGTCAAATAAAATATCTTTGTTTGCCATAAAAATAATCAAATATTTAAAATTAGAATATAAATACAAAGCAACTCTTTTATGTTAGTTCTTATTTTATTTTATTGTTTTACCTCCTTACATGTATTTTTATTTATTTAAATTTATTAAATAGAATTACCAGAAGAATCAACAGAAGAGGCTTGTGATGAACAGCCAGCACTTTGTGAAGGTTTATCAAAATCCAGAAGTGATTCCTTAAAGACAAGTGTTACTCTTTTGAATATACATGTGTGTATTTATATATTTATATACACAACTAAAAGACCCAAGCAGCAAAATACAAATATAATCTAAAAATGTAGCATTAGTTTAACAAAATAGATAAATATTATATAAAACATTTAAGATTAATGTCTATTGCACACATTGTTTTTATGCTCTTGACTTTAAAATAGGCCAAATAACATCCTGCCAAAAATTCACAATGCAAAAAAATATAATCCACCTTTTCAAGGTCATTGACATTGCAGGGCCAATCTCTTTGAGTGATGGAAAAATTTACAATCTACCTTTTTGTATATTTGATATATTCAGATAGATATGGCCTCAAAAGTTTATTACTGAAGTCATTCTTCCCTTATATCTTTCCAGGTTCATGATCAATTCCCAGTAGTTCCAATGCTATTATATTAACCAATAAATCTACCTGCATGAAGTTATAAGTCCCCTGAATTTGAGTTATCAAATCTTGCAATTTTTCCCTTCTGAGTACTGGATCCTTTGGAAGGCTAGAAGTAGAGCAAAACTCTGCAGCTGTTTGGTGCACAGGCTTAGCTACCTAATACGACAGAAAAAGGCAAGCAGGGAGGAAGAGCATATAATTGCACAGAGCACTTGGCTCTTTTCAGATTGCTGAAATCAGACTTTCTAAACTCTTTGCCATTACATTCCCTTTAGTGTAATCTAAACCATCCTAAAAATCCAAACAAGCAAATCTGAGCCATTTTATCTGTTAGATACCTAGAACAGCCCTCACAATGACTCAGTCCTTAGGCCCGTGATGGCGAACCTATGGCACAGGTGCCAGAGGCGGCACTCAGAGCCCTCTCTGTGGGCATGCGCACTGTCGCCCCAGTCCTAGGCCTTCAGCTGGGTTTTATAAAACCTTTTCGCTTTAGGCCTCCGCCGCCGTGTGCAAAAAAAAAAAAAGGTTCAATCAATCAATTTCAACTTCTCACAGGGAAAAAAAAGATCTCGCAAAGTTGGAACTGATTGATTGAACTTTTTAGTCCCACTCAGTCTACTGTTACCACCGCAGTCACGCCCACCCAATTGGGCACGCTCACCCAATGGGCCACACCCACCCAATGGGCCACGCCCACCTGGCACCCGACAACAGGTAAGTGGGCTTTGGGTTGCAGTTTGGGCACTCGGTCTCTAAAAGGTTCACCATCATCTTCCTTATCTAGGAGGAAGCTGACCACCCAAAAAAGGGCCACTGGCCAGCTACCATAGATGCAATGAGTGTAGAAAAGAAAAACCATTTTGCTGCTCTTACTCTACAAGTCAAGTCAAGTCCTAATATAGGCTATTACTGAGTTCACACAATTAATATAGGCTATTACCAGAGTTCATACAGTAATAGTCAAAGCAAAACAAACCAGATTAAGGCTCAGCATAATATATGAAGCTAACCACTGTTTACTCTTTTAAAATGAGTTTTTAAAAGTTCTTCAGTGTCTGTCTAGTTGAGCTCATATCTCAAAATTCTCAAGAACTAGGAATAATATGCATAACTAAAGTTGTTTCAGAAGCAATAAGTTAATTGATACAACAATTTTTATCTTGTCAACTACTTGAGCCTGGAGTATATAATTATTTAAAGGCTCTGACCCTCCTGACCTTCTGGAAGAGCCTGAAGACCTGGCTCTGCCAGTTAGTTTGAGGCTACAATGTGGGGAGTATCACTGTAAAGTTGGTTCTCTCTCTATGACACTGGCAACTTTCTTAAAAAGGCTAAAGCAAAATTTGGTATTTTATGCAGAAATATAGCATATACTCATAGAAATATTTAAAATATTCCAAAATATTGTAATAATCTGGATAGCACACCTGCATGATGTTTTGGATATTCTTTGGTAATTTACATGATTCTCCAACTGACTGAAAGCTTCCTTTTTTCTTTGATGCATCAATGCTGTGTTCATTTACTCCACCCGTCTTTCCATTCTATGAAAGCCAATAAAATAAAATAATTTATTAGTACCCAATTCAGCAACACATTTTGAAAGCCAAGATTTCCTTCTGCTAAAAATTGATGTATATCAAGTGCTTGTATTATTTTGTGAACCTCAATATTTTTGTTTTTACATAGGGTGCCTAGGCATCGTTTTATTTCTACATAACAATGTTATGGACACTGTGCAAGATTAGTTTACTTTTACAAACTCCATCACCATATATTTTTACTTTACCCATTTTTTTCACATCTGATTCAAGCTTTGATCTGCATTCTTGTCTCTAAATTTAAAAGCATGCAAAAATATTTGACCAAACGTATAAAGATAGTCCTCAAGTTACAAAAGTAATGGAGCCTGCCCATTCCATTCGAAACTCGAGGATTCGGAGTGAATCTTGTATTCGCCCACGCATTCACTAATTTAATGTATGGGCTAATGTGCGGCTCGTTAAGTTAACATCTGGTATCTCAGGGTGGGGAAGGCCATTGGGGGCCTAGTTATGGAATAACCCATCTTCAGATCACCCAATGCCTCCCGACCCACTGAAATACCTCCCCTGGGAGCTCACAATTGCCCTGGGGGCCTAAAGAGCCCCACTGAAACGTTCCCTCGGCGTCCTTTTCAGGTGGCAGCAGCCCAGAAAAGGCCTCTGAGGCCCAGAACGGGCCTACGGAGCCCCACTGAAGCGTCCCCCACTGCAGTCGTACGTATAAGGGTGAACAACTACCATGATGTGGCAACATTCATAATTTCAGGACTTTTTCATAAAAACCAGGGGGAGCTTATCATGTAACTTTGTTCGCTAAGGGAACGCTCATAACTCAGGGATTACTTCTAACTGAGTAAAAGTTCTAATTTCAACACATATCAACAGACATAAAATTAGCTTATTTTGATTTTGCTGTTACATTTAAAATAAAAATAATATTCAAGGCAGCTTGAATTAGTATTAGGGGCATTGGAAGATTAATATAGTATGAAATGTCAAGGTTCCTTCATTTTAGCTAGAATCTACATAGAAAAACCACTGAATTATCAATAGTATATTGATCATTATTCAACTGATACTGGTAATAGTTGTAGAAGCAATTACTTTTCAGTAAGCAAAATAATATGAGCAAAGCGCACTAATTTGGATGCTCTCATTTATATCAACTCACTTCTTTCAGTTCCACATCAAGCTTCTTTAGCTCAGTCTGGTCCTTTGGTACAAGATTCCCAACTCCCCAGATCTTAGGAGCATTTTGTAATGGCTGCTGGGCCACTTGCTGTGAGCTCTCAGAAGTTTCCCAAACTTTTGGAGGCTGAGATTTTTGGTCAGCCTCTTCTCTTATATGCCCCACCCATGGCTTTTCAGGTTGCTGTTTCTTCTGTTCCATCTCCTCTCGGACACGTGCATCCCAAGGCTTCATGGGTTCTGTTTTTTTCAAAGTTTCCCTATTAGTTTGAGACACCCATATTTTTGGCTTTTCCTGGTTTTGTTCCAATCCTCTAGTTATCCAAGTCTTGGGACCTTCTTGCTTTGGTTCCTGCTCTTCTTTCGCTTTTGTTACCCAGGGTTTGGAAGAGGCCTGCTCTTCCCTAACGGGGGCCACCCAAGACTTTGGAGCATCCTGCTTATGATCATCAACTTCTTGAAGAGGAGATTCCCATGGCTGTGAAAGTTCCAGCTTCTTCTTCCCTTCCTGGTTTACAGATTCCAATGATTTCATGGATTCTGTATTTTGTCTTTTCTGTTTCTCGTCCTCAACATCAACCAGCATTTCCCAGGATTTGGGGGGATCACTTGTTGCAGCATGTTCTATTTCCCAGTGTTTGGATCCTTCAGGCTTGACAGCATAGTCTGCTTCAGGCAAATAGCGCCTATTAAGAAACTATGTAGAATAGACCAAAATAAAAACAAAACACTTCAGGAGAAAAGCATAAAATTTAGCATAATCTCGATTAATATGCACAGTAGCTGTCATCAGAGAGGCCAATAAACATCAACCAAAATTGCTAAAGCAACTAGTAAAGATGACAGAATCTCTAGTTTATGAATTAGAATAAGGGCATGTCTTTGGGCCAATGAGGACATTTTCAAATTTTAGAGCACATGGTATTGGTATAAAATGGCAGTCATTGCAGGAACACGTAGTGACTTATTCATCCCAAAGTGGATACTGTATATCCAGTCAAACATATCCACTTACCAGGAGACAAACTGAAGAGGCTGCTGTCAATCACCCAAACTTCTCCCTCCCTCCAAAATATACTGCCTTCCACTTTTGCATTTGGAGGAACAGTAAGCAAAGCAACACACTATAGTCACACATACATTTTTCCAAAAATGCCTATAAAGATGTTAAAAACTAACACTTCGCAGCAAATTGGCTTCCCCTTTAATTTTTTAAATTAAAAAATATATAATAAAGGGGGGTGGCAGGAAGCTATCAAGGGAGGTGTCTGAAAACATTGGTAACTATGGAAACAGTATTCTTTCCAGTCCAAAATTAAGCTGTTCTAATTCTAGCATGTGTAGAAACCCACCTAAGAACCAGCTGTTTTGGGTTCAGCAGAAGATAAAAATCTAATAAATCTACAGATTAACAATTTGCCTCTTAAGCAAACCATCTACTTGCAAGTCATTGGTATCTAAAACTGCCATAATCCTGCAGTGTCTCAATCCCATATGATAGTATTATTAGGACTACTCACAATAAATTGTTATAACAAATTGCAGTTGAAGAAATGAACTAAGCAGCATATATAGACAAGTGAAGAATGCATTACTAAATGTATGTATATTGGTACAGCATCAGTCAGATGTTTATCTCATTCTTACAAACTACACTGAGGTTATTATTTAACATTATGCATTTGATAGTGTATAACACACATTTTACAAATAGTATTGGGAGTTTTGCTTTTATATTTTTTTGTTTAAATATATCATGTTTTGAATAGGAAAATGACAATCAACTGGACAACTGTTTAGCAACTAAAAGGAGAAACAAGTATCAAAGGATCAAATCATGTAACAATACACCTAAATCAGATGTTCTTAATCATATTTCCCCAATCTAGTCTGGGAGGATTCTTTCAAGGAAAAAACGTTATGCAGGACTTCACCCTTTCTGTACTCTAGTTGTATTTCAATCCCCTCGTATAATTATTTGTCCCTACCACTTCCCCAAAGCCCACTTCTGATATAACCTCCCAAATGATAAAGAGGAAGTATCCATATTGACCCAAGGAGTGGCCCATCTGCAAAAGGAAACATATATAGCAAGTATGCCCTTAGTATATTTGTTCAGCCCTTCAGCTGTTCCTTATTAAAAATCTAAAATTAATGGTATAAGGAAATGGAGGTTCAGAAAATGCCTGGTCTCCAATTTGTGAGCCAAAGTCAGGCTTGCCAGGCCAAGTCATGCAGACTTCAGTTGGGCCCCCACTTTTCAAATGTCGTTATCTTGCAACTGGTCTAACCCTTTGCCTTTTTCGCTGGCAAAGGTGATAGACAGATGAAACTGGAAGGAGGGGAAATAAATAACACCTTACTTCAAGAATTTCCCAACTCTCTGAAGCAGCGCCTACCTGTAGACTGTGTTTATTAATGAATGGGATTTTAATTCCATCACCATGATTTGATTCATGAGAAGTGGCCAACTAACAAGCTTGTTTTTCAGACTGGCTTGTTTCCCACCCCACCATAATTGTATCTCTAACAATTGCATCGCTAAATTTAAATATCTGCTCAGAGTCGCTGCCTTCATAAATTAAGCTCAGACTTACATTCCTATTTTTGGCAATTTAGATTCCCTCTTCCGCATAAAGTTAAAAAAACTGATCAATGCTTTAAAACATTCAAGGAAACATATGAAAGAAGTAAAACATGTTTCCTTTATAACATCTTTATTTATTTATATCCTGCCTTTATTATTTTTACAAATAACTCAAGGTGGCGAACATATCCAGCATACTTGCCTCCAGAAGTTGTGAATGCTCTGACACTGGAAGTTTTTAAGAAGAGATTGGACAACCATTTGTCTGAAATGGCATAGGGTTTTCTGCCTAACCAGGGGGTTGGACTAAAACAGAGGTCCCCAACCTTTTGGGCACCAGGGACCGGTTCCGTGGAGAGGTTTTTCCGTGGACCGGAGGGTGCGTGGTTTTGTGTGCTGCCTGCATTTCACGGATGGGGCTGCTTGTTTGTGCGGACCGGTTGCTGGCATGCCGCCGCCCAGTACTGGTCCACAGATCGGGGGTTGGGGACCCCTGGATTAGAAGACTTCCAAGATCCTTTCCAACTCTGTTATTCTATTATGTTCTGTTCTGTTCTATTCTATATCTTCCTCCTTCTATTTTCCCCACAACAACTCTGTGAGATGGGTTGGGCTGAGTGTGGCTGGCCAAAAGTCAACCAGTTTGCTTTCCTGGCTAAAGTGGGATATGAAGTCATGGTCTTCTGCTTTCTAGCCTGGTGCCTTAACCACTTTATTTACAAACCTTCCTTTTGGTCAGCTCAAAAATTATAAATTTAATGTAGTTTATCACAATGATATAAAAGCTTAATTCCTGCTTAGTTTATATACTGAGAAGATAAATAAAACCAAGTCACTTGTTTGGCCAGTTTTTATAGTCAATTTCCAGTCCAGTTATCGCATACGGCAAGTGTAATGGATATTAATCTGAAATATTGTACTTTCAGAACTACTGAGCTGGATTCCTCCGACTATTGGTTATTTTTTTCTTTTACTGATTACAGTCAAATCATGTACTTGAACAAACTAAGACTGAATTGTCTGCTTTAGCTTCTTAAATAACGTATGCATGTTTCTTTTAATTAGGATCAGTTAAAACCAACATTTGATCAATAATTTAGAATACGTACAGTGCTGTATTAACAGATTTTTCAGCATATCCTAGAAGCCTAGGATATGACCTATGACCCGGGGCAGGCAGGTTTTTCTGTTAAATCAGAATTCACAACAACTGACCTGTTTCCTAAAACTTTTATCCAGTAAGAAAACCCAAGATGGCAGTTAACATAGAAGTAAATGTGACTCTTCTCACCCCCAGTTAAATAACAAAGGAAAAGGTTTGTTTGAAAAAATGTATTTGAATTTTCCCAGAAGTGGTAGTTAGCTATGAGGAAAAATATAAACACACTGTAAGACCTGAGCAGGAATCCAAGCCTCACAGATGTAATTAAGTAATTTAGAGCAGATCAGAACTTTGATTTTATATTGTACTCTACTTTCATTAGACCTTGCTTTATGGCTCATTTGAGGGTTTTTTTACTGGTATGGATTTCTAATAAGTATTATTTTACAGACATTTTTGGTGCCAGTTTATGTCATGGACAATTGTAATCTTGTGATGTGCCTCAGAAAAACTTAGGATTCTTCAGAATTACCAAATACTGACTTATGATGCCCTAGTACTTTTTCAAATAATAGAAATAGACATTTTCCATCTTTGACCTTGCTCCTAGAAGTCTACAGGAAGGCAGGAAGGAAACACAAGTTGAAGTGAATAATTAAAAATTCTTCAAGATCTCTTTTGAAGAGATCTTGTATTACGCAAACCTTGCAAAAGTGTAATAGATAATATGGTAGACTTACTTCTTGAGGTTGTATTTCAGATTGAACATGCTGCCTTTGAGATTCTGGAAAGGAAAAAAAGCAACTTTAATTAAGTACTTGCACAAGCAAGTACTGTAATTGTGCGAAGTTAATTAACACAATATATTATAGTTTGTTAACAATAATTTGATGAAGACACATTTGGCTCAGTTAACACAATGTATTAAACTAAAATCGATACATTACAGATTAGGACAAGATATGAACCCAGACTCAAATTTTGGACTGAATGGCTTCAACCACGATTCTATTTCCTACTCCAAGTTAGCCACGTGTAATATTTCATTTATCTCAGTACAAAGCACACACATTGTTACCATTGTAGACATAGGTTTGGGGCAACCTTGGTCAAAATGCATGTTTCAGTAAACTTCTAATAGAGCAAAAGTTGACAAAATAAGTTCTGCAGATTTGAACACAGTGTTTTCCCCAAAATAAGACCCGGTCTTATGTTTTTTTTTGCCTCCAAATTCAGAGGATGTCTTATTTTTCCACACACATACACCTCATGGCGGCAGCCCACATGTCAGTCGTCCCACTTGTTCTGGGCAGCTTTCGCCCACTCGCAGCAGGATGATGCCGCTGCCATGAGGCTTGGCAGAGGAGGGGGGATCTGCCCCATGCACCCTGCTTACCATACTGCAGGATCCCATAGCCAGACCTCCCATGCCGCCTTACTTGTACTTCTGTCACTTTCGGCCACTCACGGCAGGATGCCCTGTCACGCATCATGTGTACCAATGCTGCTGCCATGAGGCTTGGCAGATTCCCCCCAATCTGCACCACATGCCACCTGTTTTCCAACTCCGTCGCATTTGTCCACCACCGCAGAGCTGGAGAGTTTGCCACATCACTGCCCAGATGCTCTCGCTTCCCCCAAGCATTTCTTTGCTAACCTGATTTCCAGCTCCGTCAAATTTCTCCATGGCGCTTCTATGCCGCTGCAGGCAGGGAAACAAAAGAAGTTTGTGGGACTAAAAAAAAAAAACTCAATCAGACCTTCCAACTTTGTACGATCTTCTTTTTTTTTTGCAAGAAGTTGGAAGGTCTGATTGAACTTTTTTTTTTTTAGTCCCACAAACTTCTTTTGTTACCCTGCATGCAGTGGCGGAGAAACGTGACGGAGCTGGAAAGCAGATGGCAAGGCAAAGTCCCCAAGGGCACCAGGTTACTGAAATGGACCCATCTCTCTCCAGCAGCTGCCCAGGCCCGCCGAAGGAAAGGCTGGCATCTACTGAAACATAGCGGCATTCCGACACCGGCGAGGAAGGGGCAGCCAAGCATTGGCGCTGCAGGCAGGATGCCCACTTGCTTCAGCACCCTCCCTCGACTCCACCTGCCGTTCGGTGGCTTTGTGGGCAGAGCTGTGAAGGGGGCTAAGTGGCCAAAAGAGCCAGCAGCCTGACTCGGAAGGAGAGTGAAAGGAAAGAGGCGGACAGGTCGATGGGATATAATCTAGGGCATGGGTAGACAACCTTGGCTCTTTTATGACTCATGGACTTCAGTTCCCAGAATTCCTGAGCCAGCCATGGCTGGAGTAGGAATTCTAGGAGTTGAAGTCCACGAGTCATAAAAGAGCCAAGGTTCCCCACCCCTGATCTAGGGCTTATTTAGGGGGTGGGGCTTATATTAGGCCCACCCCAAAAAATCAAGTTAGGGCTTATTTTCAGGGTAGGTCTTATTTTCGGGGAAGCACGGTAGGCTTATTGTTTTTGTGCAGATTCCTACCAACATTTTGTGACTGCTAGGTTCCTCACAAATCCAAAAATAAATAATCATAGGTAAACAATGCAATCATTATTAAATTCTGACCATATTCTATCCATAGGAATTGACAACAATTTCCACAACTTTTCCTCCTTCAATTTCATCCTAACATGTAACTTGTAACTGGCCTAAAATTATTCTGTGTGCTTTTGTTGCTTAAAACACTTAAACGTGTGTTTTCCCATGCCATAACAGACCACACATCTGTGAAGCTTATATCCCCATCTTACAATTCATCTTTATTGAATGAAAACGTTATTACGCAGACAGGAGATAGATTTTTTCAGATTAATTAATTACTGTCAAAACCAGTCAGCATTGAAAAGATGTGCTAACCCAACTTAAGTAGGACAGATACTTTAAGAACTTTTTTATTTAAACAGTTTAGTAATGGTTTGCTGTATCTTCTATTTTGGACGCATATGGGAAACAAAGTACTAATTCTAGTTTTTAAAAAAGTTATTTATTAAAAAAATCCCCATTTATTATGGTCACTGAAGAAAAAAAATATAATTATGTAATAGAATTTATACATTAATTTATTAATTGGAATACATTAAAATCTAGTTAGGAAGAAAAATAAATGGAATAATAAAATACAAGTATTAGAGTGCTTAAAAAGGAAATGTATGTATGTATGTATATAATGGTTACAATAGTATTAGATTTTTATTTGATGAATTGTTTTAACTCAATAGACAGAATCCAGCAAGCATTAGAGTACATTTGATATGGTACACTGGAAATAGGTCTTGACTCATTCTCTAAAGTTTTACATTTTCGATCAACATACTGTGTAATTTCTAAATATATATTTTCTCCTTTATATTATAAATAAAGCCTTATTTCTCCTTTTTTTAATTTGGTTCTAGAAATAGTCTGTGCTATTAAAAATTCTATTAAAACTGTTGCAGTGAATCCTACCATACACAGATGGGCTTTTCAAAGAACAAGATCCTAATTTCCTTACTCCAAGACTTCTGCATTGTTAATTAATTACTTATAGTTATTAATTATGTACCTAACTGGAAAAATAAATCAAACTGCATGATCAACAGGCCGAGCAGTTTTAGTCACAAATACTTTATAGCAGTAGCAAAAGTAGCAGTGACTCATCTGTCACAAATTTGTTTCAAGAAGCAAGCTCTCAGTTGAAAAGTAAATAAAATCATGCTATTATCATTATGGTTTGTGGCACGGTTGCCAGATGTTTAGACTTATTATTATCCACCAATTGAGTCCTGCCCAAAGAGCTGATATCCTAGGGATAAACTGGCAAATGTTTGATGGTTTTAAAGGTATTATTGCAGGATGTATTATTATTATTAATTAGGGGCCACATGACACACTTACTAGCTTACCTTACAAAATAAAAATGGAAAGAAATCATGAAAAAATCCTGATCATTCCTGCTGCACAGTAGTCGTGGGACTTTCTATCAATCTAGGGAAATTAAGCTCTGCATGGCTGAAAAGTACTGATAAACCAGAAGATATTTGCTAATAATAATGGGAAGAAAAATAACATTTGAAAATTAACATAAACTAATCTAACATTTTCTGGGGTATTTGCAACCCTAGGCGCCTAAAATTTATCATGTACATTTCTAGCTTTACAAGAGCTTTTGAAGATTTAAAAATCCTCAAAGCACCAATTTACGCCAAAAAGTTACAGACCACATTGGCCTAGTTTGGATGGTTGCTAAGTTATTTCAAGAAATATGTTAGCACTTTTACCTGGAAATGTAGCCTATCTGCCTGCAAATGGCCAAATCAGAAACCTTTATTAGCTAAGAAACTAAGTTACCAGCCTCAAAATAATTAAACCAATTTTAACTTGAAATTTAGTACAAACTAAATGAATATAGTATGGTTAAAGCTCTTTAATTTGAATTGCAAATGTATTATGTGCACAGGATAGACTCCAACCTATATCTCTGTTTCTATTAACAAAGACATACTCCTGCAAGTGTCCCTCATATGAATTTTTACAAAAGTGGTGTCTCCTTTAAGTCAAATGGGACTCATGATGACTTCACAAATATCACGTCTTGGGAATTCTGTTCGGACAAGATCAATCATGTAATTTAAGATTTAAATGTATACATTACCAATTTCATTGACAGACTCTGGTTTTGATAACTGTCTGGTTTTTTCAGGCTTTTCCTCTTTCAATTCCTCTTTCTCTGGTTTGTTGCAAGGGTCAGGAATGTTTTCAAAATATCCAGAATCTATCAATTTTGATAACAAATCCTTCAGATGCTTATCTAAAAGGAAAGGTATTCAATATTGAGTGATATTCCTAAAGAATTCTGAAACTGTGACTAGCAGAAGCCACTCATTTTAAAAAAATAATATTTTATGCTAGTGACAAGTATTTTGCATTACCTAAAGCAGTATTTCCCCGGTAGCAGTATACCCATTACTGGAAACTCTCACACCCTATACAGACAATTCTAAGTCAGGATTTCAAATCATGCTTTGCTGAATAAGCCATAATGACTGTTTCCAATAATGGGTAGATTGCCACATGCTGAGCAAAAAGCAAATAAATCATATTATAGCTTGACAAAATGTGGAATTTAGTGTTAAGCCAAATGAGAACACAAATTAATGAAGAAGACCCTTATATATCCCATGACCATGTTCTCAAGAAAATATACCTTAAGGGTATTAAGCAAATTGCTTCACAAATTAATTGTCCTATCTACCATACACAAAGTATAGATGTTAAAACTGATATAAACTAATGATACTATACCACTGAATCCCACAATTCTAATGCAGTCCTCTCTTTTATGTCTGATTAAAAACCTTGCCCTAGTGACCAACATTTTTAAGTCTGGAAACATTCAATTTCAGAGCAACGGAAAGAGCAAGCAGTGCAGAAATACCTTAAGGGCTGGAATAATAGTTATCTCAGTTTTGCCTTTTACCTTAAATCAGACATGTCAAACTTGTGACGTCACGCAATGTATTGGGACTGTTTTGCCATTGCCGGCAATGGGGTGGGCGCGGCTTCCATAAATAGTTACAGCTCTAAAACCAGATCCCATTATAACAACACAGCCTCTTTTTATTAATAGCTACTCACAGGTTGTCCCAACTATTACTTTTTCACTGCCTTCTAGCAGATCCCAGAAACAAAGTGATGATTGCTCCATTTGGTCTTCAATGCTTAAAGCAAAAAAGAAACAAAGTTTTCAAAAAATTAGTTCACAAGTAAGTTTTAACTATTAGGTTGGCTTAATTTTTATTGCAAATTATGTTAGCTGGCTTTTTCTTAGTAAAGCTCGAACTAAGGAGGCAATTGAAAAAATTTCCATATACTTCATACCAGCTAAATACACCAATCCAATTTCCTGATTTTAGTAAGTTTGCTGCCACCTCAGTAAGAACGGATACTAAACTAAGTTCCATTTTTTCAGAATACTTAGAAATAATACATCTTTGCCTGAAATTCCGGTTTTGTATTTGATGGCAATATGATAAAAAAAATCATTTATATATTCCAATCTAAGAATTTCATTGAGCCTAAAATGCTACATTTTAAGGAATATCTTCAAAATACATTTTAATAGGAAAATCACGCTCATATTTCTGTAAAACTAGGCACATCAATCTGAATTTCTTGAATATGAATGTGATTGAAAAATGTTATATCACATAGTTCTAGACTGAATAGGTTAAAATAGCATCTAAGAGTAACAAACTAGTCATAATAGACCACATATTATTAAAATAAATTTGTTTAATTTGGTACTATATGAAATTTCCTTGTCAAGGCAACTGAGTGCATATGGGCACCCTATATAGTGTTAAGGTATGTATTATACCAGAATTATGCAGATTGTCCTCATACAGGTTTGAAAGGTTAAGTTAATCAAAAACCACTGCCCACTAAAATCTACCTGTTGCTCAAGGTGATGCTGTTATACTCCAAGCATGGCAAGCTAAGAGCAAATAACCACTTTTCTTGATTGATGCAGTTATGTCACACAGAAGGAGAAGTGAGGCAAAAAATACACAAAGGAAACATTTCATTTTTCTTTGACAAGGAAACAAACTATGTCATGGACTACATCCTGAAGGAGTTCCCCAAAACTGAATCTAGCAACAAGACAAACCACCAATAGTTTAAAACCGAATTTTCAACATGCTATTTGCAAGATTTATTTGATTTAAAGGTAAAGTAAGAAAAGTTACCTAACAGTTTCATTTCTTCCTGAACATGTCAATTTTGCAAACTTAATGAGGTAGTCTAATTCTTTAGAAGGCAAGTATATTGCACCATTCAAGCCACTTCTGAAGTCTTTCTGCACATGCTCTTGAGTGAAATTCTGCAGCACATACTGGACCTGCAGTATTGTACGGAGCTTTTTCTTCTCTGCTTCAAGCTTCATTAAAGTTTCCCTTCGTTGCGCTTTCCGCTGTGCTTTTAATAACTGTATCAATGTGAGGAAGAGATTGGCGGTGGGTTCACAAATGGTCTAAACAATGGACAGACTGAAGCTCAGAAAAATACCTTCAGTCAATGATTATTTTAATCACATTTATGAGGACCTTCCCAAGTTCCACATTGCAAGCTTTTACAAACACCAATGCCTAAAATGCAAGAAATTTAATTATCAGAATAATATATTATATCAAAGCGATATGGGCCATATCATGTATGTTTCTTTTGACTGTTTGTAGATAAAGGTAGTCCTTGACTTACGACCACAATTGAACCCCAAATTTTTGTTAAGCGAGACATTTGCTAAGTGAGTTTTACCCCATTTTACAGTTGTCATCATTGTAAAGTGAATCACTGTAGTTGATAAATTAGTAACACAGTTGTTAAGTGAATCTGGCATCCCCATTGACTTTGCTTGTCAGGAGGTCAGGAGGACACAATATTGGTCATAAATATGAACCAGCTGCAAAGCATCTGAATTTTGAGCACATGATCATGGGGATGCTGCAAAGACTGTAACTGTGAAAAATGGACATAAGTCACATTTTTCAATGCCATTGTAACTTTGAATGATCACTAAATGAACCATTGTAAGCTACCTGCACAGTAAGACAACCTACATATATGACTGGTCAGAAGCAGCTTCTCTGCCATGGAAGAGGCATAATTCAAGTCTATGGATATCTTAGCAATGGGAAAAAATTCTATTCAATTCCTCACACATTTTCTAATGAATCAACTTAATTATCTATTTCTACACAATTATATGGTCTCTTTACTCACTTCTTGACTTAGTCCAGAAAATGTCTTCTGAAGTTCTTTAGCAAACTCCAAGTTATGTATGACTTCTTCATATTTTTCAACAGCTTCCTGCAATTAGTCATAATTTTTATTCATTTAAAAATGCATTTAGGTTTACTGAGATGAGTCTTGAGGCACCTCAAATAAATGTATGGTATGCTTTGGGTGGATTAAAACACTAACCTGATTTTACTATGCAAAGTGCAGATATTAAAACAAAATGTTTTCTGTCCCAGACTTACACTCAAAGTGAAACACATGAAAAATCAACAAATATTAAGATATTTGGTCAGGATTTATTTGCTTTTACAGCATTCTGGCTAATTTTAAACAAGCATTCTATTTTTCATACTGATCAGAATAATCAATAATACTGATCTTCACATTTTGATTTGGGCAAGATTTATATTTTAAAACATGAATTTTTTTCATCAATAAAGTTTCCACATCATGTTAAAGTGTTGAAAACCCCCTCCCCAGCAGTTATCACATTTTTAACTTGAAAGATGACTTTGGCTTACTTTTATAAAAATAAACTTAAATAAGCAATAATCATTAAGTCTTAATGAGGTTTAACCAACATTTTAAGAATTATTGACATTTGTGACTATTTAAATAAAAAAGAAATTGTTGAGAGATACTCACATGAACATAGATTTGTTGTAAACACACATTAAGAGTATACATCACATATAAAATTTATAGATAACTTTATAATAAAATTTTGCTAAGTGAAACAAAGAAGTATTAAAAATTAACTGCCATCTTTTCAATGGACTATAATGCAGTGTAAAACATCATCATCATCATTATTATTAATAATAATATTTGTAGAGTGGTAGATATTTCGAAGAAGTCCCCTTAAATGCATCAGAGTATGACAATAATTGATTTCCTCCATTTTTTATATTGAACACATGATTATTACCGCAGCAATTCTAATTTATTTCTTTATTCCTCCTTATCCATTATAACTTTTCTGTGTTTTTATTTACCAATTTCTACATTGCCTCATAGTGGCTTAAAATAGAAGATATTTAAATATTTAATTTAATAATAGTAATTTCCACAACAGGAACCTGGAATAATGCAAATTGGTTTGCATGTCTAAATTGGATCCTTGCTATTAAAATATGCTTTTGTAATTTTAGCAATAAGCAAATACAATACCAAGAAATACTAACCCAAACTTTCTAATTCATCTTTATACCTCAGTTCTAGATCAGCCACAACTCTTCTTTATGCCACAGTACATGAAACAAAACTTTAAATTATTCAATCTCTTTGTTTTTGCCAATATCACTATTATGAATTCAAAACAGACTTTGCATGGCCTAGTTGGAATCAAGTTCCAACTATTTAAACCGAACCCTTGTAAAAGAAGAATTAAACTCTAAAGCATGTTGTCCAATATTTTGGCTAGGCCATATTGACTGAAGATTGTTTTGGATCACATATAAAATGTATAACATAATTAATATAAATAACAACATTTCCTTTTTTATATTATCTTGTGGGGCTACATTACTAGTTGTCCAAGACCACATGCAAGTAGGATACCCCTGCATGTAAACAATTAAGAAAATATCAACTATATAATATTTTTAAGACAATATACTATAAAATATCATAGTGTTTTATTTTCACGAATTACATGAGCAAGTATGATCTACCATATCGTTCATTCCTTGTAAAATCATTTAAAGTACTTCAAATGCCACTCAGAAAACCTTTAGCACAAGTTTCCTCTTACCAAACGTTAATTCTGTCCCACAAGGAATCCTCCAAATGTCATCACATTTGATTACTTTTTGCTGTTCTATCTGAGGAACTTTAGGAGCCGTGGTCCCAATACAACTGAAGGCTCCCAGATTGTAACAGTCTGCATTATGGTACTATTCAAAAGATCATGGCAATTGATTTTGCTAATGCATACAGATTAACCAAATTTGTTCAAGTATCTTAAATTTTGAAATCTCTTAAAACACCCAGAAACATATTATTTGGTTATACTGCAAGGTACTCAGACAATGCTGCAGGAAATAAAGAGCAGATGAGACAGATCCATTCTACTTACAATGTCCACAGCTCTTGTGTTTAAGTGGTTTAAGTTATGGTTTGCACAAACATGTTAAGTTAAAATGTTGTTGGCTAGTTTGTTGTTTAGCATATTGTTTGAACCCAGTACCACTACTTTATACCTTTATCAACTAGAATACAACAAGCCAAGGTTAAGTAAATTATAGGTTATCAATGGGGTGGGGAACTTGAAACATGCAGACTTTCACTGAAAGCAGCATGTTTCATTTCTTGGAAGCCTTTCATTCCCATTAGTGTCAAACTTGATTTCATTTTATCATAACCTATATTTTCTGTTAAGTCTTTAAAAAAATTCCTCAAGAATTTTCTTATATACACTCAGTTTCTAAAGTTAAGCAGGAATTTAGTCTAGCTAGCTAGATATATGCACATGTGGCATTCCCACCAAGTGCCATTTAACTGATCAAGAGTGGATATAAAAAATGTTTATAAAACTGTAAAAATCAGAGATAAAAACAGAAATCTTACCAACTGATCTTGATTAAGGACTTCCCCCCTTTTCAGGCGATCCCTATAGTCTTCTAATTTGAACTGCAAACACAAGTCAAACAAGTATGAACAAGTTTTTTCTTCAGACACAGGCCAAACTTGAACCACACAATCATTAATTGCAACCTTCATTGCTACTATATATCAATATAAAATCTTAATATACCAGATATTTAAGCACACTGCATTAGGCATCAATGAAACAATCAATCAAAAAATACCCTTTATAATTCATTGTTGCAGTCCAAGCTCTATAAAGGTGATTGCAAACAGAGCTAATACGACCTAACATTTCTGTAAACACAGTATTTTAGGGCTGTTCATGAATAAAAATGTTAGAACATCAAAAGCACCGTGATTAGAGATAATATATATTTATAATTAAAAACTATACCCTTTTAACATATTTAAACTCAAATGTCTTGCAGCTGTATTGTAAAGCCATCTTTCAATAGAAGGAAAGGCACTAATGAAGCATGAAGTTATTTCCAGTGGGGCAGGTTTCATTATACTGACAGCACAAAAATTACACAGTAATTCAATGTAGCAACTTATACTTTTTTATTACAAGGGACAGTTGTGTAATAAAGGACACAGTAAATAAATATGTATGCCATATCTACTTAAAAGCCATTCCTCTGTAGCCACAAAGCTATCCTAAAATTGAATGTTAAGCCCACTGAGATTGTTGGGGGCAATGTAAATATATATATATACATTGCTTACTGGTGTACACCGCTTAGAGAGTGCTTGCACTTAAAGCGGTATATAAGTCTCATAAAATAAAAATAAATAAATAAAAAATAAATATCTAAAGAAAAGTAACTACCCATACACTTATTTGGGACCAATAGAGCAAATTATTGTTTTATAAGCAGTAAATATAGATTACTTCCCCTGAGCACTTTGCTTTACAAATCTATAAAAAGTGATAGTCGTAAGCAAAGGCAGCTTATATAGTAAAAGCTATTATGGTCTTACAGTATTATTTCTTGCACTCTGTTAGTTTAGAAAATATACCTACCTTCTTTTTCTCAATATTCCTGATTTTGTGTTTCAAGCAGATAAGTCCATTATCAATGTAAGTCTCGTATGCCTGAGAAGCTGTAGCTGCAGAATTCAAAGCTGCCTGCAGGGGGCTCATGGGAGGCTGGTTATCCCCTGGAGGACCTTGGGTCACCTGCTGCTTATCTGGTTTCATGCTCTTCTCTTCCCCTTCCTCAGAGTGGCATGAAGGTGAAGGGCGGCGAAGTGGAGACTGTGAAAGCTGCACCATTGAAACGGCTAGGGCTGCAAAGAAACCGGTACTGATTAGCTGCTCCCTCCTCACAACCTCTTTAAAGCAGCTGCATAAATATGTGAGTGCAATTGAGGGAGTAGATCTGCTGTATATACTGCAATGCTAAAGATGTTTCCAGAACCACAGAACTTTCAACACAAAAACTATTTTCTCCTTTAAATATGGAATGCAGGCATCATTTAGAATTCTCAAGGATACTAACTACAGTATTTCAATGTTAAGGAATTGCAGACTTTATAGCTTCTTAATCAGAGTCCTAGAAGAACCAACATTCCTCACTTTTAAATTTCTCCTGACTTGCTATTATTGCCCTAGTATAGTGCTAACAGCCATATCCACATTTCCCACCAAGCCCAAAATACAAGATTGTTTCATATACAGAATTCCAAATGCTTCTTTAAAACTCCAAAGAGATATTTAAGAAGCCTCTTGTAACATGCACTAAAAAAACAGGATCTGGAATGAAATGTTAGCAGCAACCTATAGAGCAGTGGTTCTCAACCTTTTTAATGCCGTGATCCCAACCGGTCGCAAGTCAAGGACTACTCAACCGGTCGTAAGTCAAGGACTACTCAACTGGTGCAGCACCATTTGCAGAATGGGACTTTTGGCGGGCTCAGCAGGGCAGAGACAGCCTGGACAATTCCTATTGGCTTTTGAAAGCCAATAGAATTAGACTCTATTCAAGAGAGTTTATTCTATTGGCTTTCAAAAGCCAATAGAAGAAAAGGGAGTAGCACAGCTAAGGAAAAGGGGGAAAAAATGGCGGACTGCGTTGTTTGGCGACCCCCGTGAAATGGTCATTCGACCCCAAATGGGGTCCTGACCCATAGGTTGAAAACCACTGCTATAGAGAGACAAAGGGGAGAGAAAGCAGCAAAATCTCTGCCCTTCCTTTCTTCTGATGACCAGGGAAGCACAGAATAATTACTATTGGCTATGCTAATTACTAATGATGACAGTTAACACATAAAGTAGAACAAGGCTACACTGCACCAGCATCCCTTGAAATAAAATACAAACTTCCAAAGGGATAGAAGCCCTCCCATGCAGAAGAAACAGATCTTGGAGTACCTTTGTAGGCATGTGTGTGCATGCTTCTGGTATATGTGTATACACACACATAACAGAGTTTTGTAAGTGTGTGTGCTTTTGAAGATTATACATTTTACAAATGTTATTTCAACATCCAGTGGAATGATGACAGGAGGAGTAAAAGGTAAAGAAATCAGTATTTTTTCCTCTTTCCAAAGAGAAACAAGCACTCCCTTTACTCTAAGGTAATTAAAGGATTGCAGCCCCACAACCCCATTCAAAGCCTACTAGGGACTCCCAAAGCCATTCCTAAGTAACCTCTCCAAAGGAGCAGCAGCAGCAGTCCAATTCCCAGGAAAAACGGGTGGAGACACAATTCGCAGCCCACCTCCCATGTTTTTGAAAGCAGGTAAGGGCAAAAGAGAAGCCAGTAAAGTTCCTTCTCTGTCAGAGTCAAAAAAAGAAGGATCTCCCCTCAGTGCCCGCAGCCAGCTTGGCTTGGACTAGTGACGAGGCAGCGCTGGGTCATCCTCCGCTCTAAGCCCTCCATGTTGGCGGACCGAAGCTCCCGAGACATCCTTCGTAGAATTGCGACCGTGACAGGGCTTGTCTCGCTTTCCCTCAACATCCTTCGGTCACCAGGATCAAGGCTCCGCGCTCCATCGGCACCACATCCAGAGCTGTCCCTCATACCCGGCGTCCCGTCCCGGCGTCCCGTCCCGCCCCTCCCCTCCCCGCCCCACCCCCTCCCCATCAACTCACCTCAGCAGCCAAAGCAGCTCAAGCCCGCCCGCCCGCTCGCATCCCCGCTTATAAACCTTACGCCCCCGGAGCTACGAAAAGGGCGGGGCCTCCGCGGAAGGTCAGCCGACGACTCTCCAATCACCACCCGGCTTCGCCCTCCCTGTCCCACCCCGGCAACCGCATGGCCTACTTCTCCGGCATTCGGGGCTTCGCCACGTGACTGGCCGGACCGTTAACCGGGGGGGGAGGGGGGAGCGAAGGAATGCCGGGTTCTAATCACGCTGAGGGCAATTCGGCGCTGCGGTTCTTAATGGGTCCGGTACGGTTTTACTCGAAGAAAGGAGAGGTTGTAAAGCGAGACAGACCCGCTCCCACCAACTTAGGTTAGGGAAACCATCGCTGGCTGGGTCGGCGCAACCCAGCGAACAGCGGTTTGCAAAACAGAGCGGCGTGCAGAAGCGATGAGCCAGCAGACCATAGTTTAGCTTCTGCTCGTCCGGATGTGTTACGCGTGGAAGCCGGCAACGTCATTTGCCTCGCGTCTCATTGAGAGGAAAGGAAGCCAGCCACATTCAGGGGTGCGCCAAAAAAAAAAAAAAAAAAAAAGCAGTTTTGGGCGAATTGAATTGGGCTTGCACTATGAATAAGCTCATTTGTATCTGAGAGCTCAAAAAAACCCAAACCATTCCTTTATAGCATTATAGTTGGTATTGTACAATGCTTAATTTTTTCCCCCACATAAGGAACCTTGAGGGGCAAATTTTTTTCTTCAGAGAACCTGCTCTAAAAGAATTGTAACGTGTTCTTGCCAAGGAACAAGCTGGCAAATATGCTCTGATATTCATATTCGTACAAACAGAAAAGCAATATAAATAGTCACTAGAAAGAATATTTGAAAATACAAGGATTAAGTCTTTAATTTAGATGTGTCTCGTGCATTCTCCCCAAATACTATTTTCCAGGAGTCATGAATACTTTTCTTACATTTTATAATTACATTTAATTAAAATTAAATTTTTATTTTTATATTTTTAAGAATTACTAGTTCACAATTTCAGAGGTACAGTTTCTACCAATATTAAATGTAACGAGAAATTAAAAAGCATTAAAATGTGACAATTGTCTCATTTCAATATTTTTATGGAATTTAATTTATTTTTTAATTCCTATCCCAGATAAACATTCCAATTGTTGTAGAAAGGCTATATTCTAATTCTCCTTGAAAAAGCCTGTGGTACTTCAGTTTGTACATAACAGCCCATTCCCAGAAACAAATACTTACCCAAGAGCCATGAAGTAGTGTTCCAGATGAGAGATGCCAGGTTTTCAGCAAAATATAAAAGTAGAAAGCCAGGTAGAATTGCTTCTAACTGGCTTCTACCTACCTGCCAAGCCTACATGGTTTTTACTTCTTTGGGAGCAAGGAGGAAAATAAATGGAGAAACCAGCTGAGAGGAGGAGTTAATAAAAGATTAGGGGAGGAAGGGAGGGGTTTTCATGATAAGGTCTCTACTGAAAAGAAGCCCATTTCCTTGTTTCTACTGAAAAGAAGCCCAATTCCTTGTGGTTGCTAATCTGCATCTACTTATTCCCCAAAAAACTAAGATTTTTCAGAAGCTGAAACTGATTAGAGACTGAATATTTGTGATAACCTAAAATCTTGGCTGGCTAATTACTGCTTTTTGATTGTAAATCTTTATAAGGAATACTTACAATATTTACAAAGTCTAGGTTCTGCCTGGTTCAGTAAAATGCAGTTGTTTGCTTTATGATATGAACCTCATATGATTTCCCTCACATTTAATAAAATTATCCCTTGTTACTTTTAAAAATATGTCTGGCTAGAAATTGCAGTTACTTTTTATTATAAAAGCTTAGTATGGCTATCATATAAGTTAACCGTTTTTAATATTGATGAGAAAATCACACTAAAGCTATAATCATATATTATGGTTCTTGAAAATAAATTGTTAATCATGGTTGTTTTTTTGTTTGTTTAAAGTAAACATGAATATATTGTGTGTGAATATTCATAACTAGGCAGCCATTTGGTTAAGAGAGTTACGAGTTTGAATACTATAATTGAACTAAAATGATTATAAATTTATTTTCTGCATCAGGTATTAATGTAGTCATAACAGAATTTAAGGCCAATAATAGAGAAAATTATGCTAATTTGTCTGTTGACCGTCTTTCTAAACAGCTTACAAATTGCTAATCTATATGGATAGTCACTTTTGTTACTGGGATTACAATGAATTTGAACTTTCGCCCTCTGTATAATTATCACCATTATTTGAATATGTAGAAGTGAAGTAAGAATTCTGTACTTTTGTGGGGTGGTAAAACATGTTTTTTTTCCTAATTGTTGCACTTTCTTTAATTATTCATTATTTTCAAAGAAACTGCAAACCATATGATTTACCACTTCACAAAAGTAGCAAATTCTCTTTGCTCAAAAACTTGTTTTGTCAACATAAAAATGCAATAAGCAATGAGGCAGGCTTTACCATTATATCTAATTTTGTCAAAAAATGAAGAAGTGCAGGCATTTTGCTTTTTTTATTTAAATAACGGTACTTAGTGCTGCAACATGTTCACCTATTTGTAGCCTATCTTGTGTTCTGTTAAACTTGAAAATATTAAACTTTAATTCCTGTATTCGAATGCTGGATGGGAAGTAAAAAAGCTGCCATCCACTAGCTCTAAAGAGTAGAATTAATTAGGCACCGCCAGTCTAGCATTTTAAGAAGGCTAATACCAAAACATCTGCATCCTTTTGTTTAAAATGACACTATCTTGAAAAGATCTGCCATGCATTCACAAATTATAGTCAGAACTTTGGCTGAAATTTCCATGGTAGTTTATTAAAGGACAAAATCTTCACATTTCCACTTTTTTTTTAAAAAAAAAAATCAGGACTACTTTTTAATCATTCGTTTGATCAAGGAATTATATTTTCCATTTTAATTATTCTGTGACATCCACATTCAAACAGCAATGAATGCTATATATTGCTTTATAAATGAGTTGTAAGAGAAGAGAATTATCAGTCTGATGTACCTTTGTCAAATAGTACCGGTAAAAAAAAGTTCTACATGCCTTATATTTGTAGGAGCTATTTTCCTATTTTGCTGTATAATGGAGGCCTGCCAAAAGAGAATGCTGCTGCATTTGCAAAACTGTCCAGCACTTATTCAGAACAAGCGTGACAGAGGCCTACATTGTCAGGGGTACAAAAAACAGCTTGAACATCATTATATTGTTTTTCCAGGAGGAATTAGAAAATACAACTGTGAGTTTCCCTTTGTTAATCTTCTCGGTCTTTGCCTTACAAAAGTTCTAGTTGCCATTCAGTTCTGGGTCAGCATCTCGAACTAGTCCTACAAAGCTTAATCCTAACTTGTAAAGTGACAATATAAAGATCTTTCCAATGGCATTTATGTATATGCTCAGTATTATTTAGCAGTAAAATACTTTTTTTAGTCATTATTCTTCAGTGTAAATAATAAAAAGTGGAGTGAATTTGATGAATGTCTGAATATAAGATAGCTATGATGCAATTGCAAAACAAGGAAATACACCCCTAGACTGCATCAACTGAAGTATAGAATGTAGGATATGGACAAACTGGAACATGTTCAGAGGAAAGCAATCAACCACAAAAAAACTGGAAGGAAAAAATTATGAGGAATTTCCTAACTGTAAATGCTGTTCAGTAATGGAACAGACTGCCTCAGGAGGCAAGGTACTTCTTTATTATACATATTTAAGCAACAATTGGATATCCATGTGTCAGAAATAATTACCGTAAATGCCGGCGTATAAGGCGACTTCCGCGAGCGCTGAAATCGGCGCCAAAGACGGGTCGTCTTATACGCCGAGTCATCTTATACGCCGGAAATACTGGTAGTTTCTGGCGTATAAGACGACGTTCTAGGAATGCGGCCCGGCTATAAAGACGGGGGTCGTCTTATACGCCGGGTCGCCTTGTACGCCGGCATTTACGGGGTCAGTAAAAAAATCCTGCCTGAGCAGTATGTTAATCGAGATGGTCTCCGAGGTCCTTTCCAATCTTTATCTTCTATGATTCTATGAAAACCAAGTAAATTATACTTCCCGTTAGTGCAATAAGTAAATTCAGCAAGTATGGTTTCTTCAACGAACTATAGATAAGGAAGCCATGTTTATTATCCAGTATCTTTTTGGGGAGTTAAAAAATAATTACATGTCTATGCCACCTTTCTTTTAGAAGGTTAAATATGTGCAAGATAATTTATTTCTCGCTCTCCCCCAACCATCTTGCAAATACTTATTCTCACTTTTTCTTAATTTTAGAAATGTGTAAAATTCTTCACATCCACTCATCCCTGCCTTTGGTAATTGTATACCTACGCAGAAGAATGAATTTCAAAGAGTGCCCTACAGCTTTGGAACTCATGTCTGTCTAGCCCATCCATCCCTAATATGGTACATTCTGGACATGTTGGACTTCAGCCCTTAACGATTCTGTTTGCTGCTCTGGCTGACAATAATGACAGCTAAAATCTAACCTTTCTGGACTACATTCAGTTGACAAATTTAGCTCTTCCATCGCCCTTTTACTATTCTCTGTTGAAATACATATTTATTGGCACAATGTTTAAGATTTAGGATTTTACTAGCTTTTAGTTGCTCTTTTTTACTTCCCATCTTTTTATGGTATTACTGTTTAATAGTTTTTACTGGATACATTTCTTAATCGTTTAATATGGATTCTATGTGTTGCAAAGATGATGAAGCTACCTTGAGAACATTTGCCAAAAAGATAGTAATCTTCTTGTTGAAAGAGGGGGCGGGAATTGATGGTGACACTTTTTTTAGCTTTTTAGAATTGGTTCCAAATTTCCCCAGAAGTTCTTCCACTTTGAACCAAGCACGAATATGCAATCATTGGGTTTTCTTTTGTTAAATAATACTTAATAAGTAACTAGCAACCGCTTAATTGATCCAGTTTATGTATTTGAAACACACACACCCCAGAGAGCAGCAAAGACTTATTTCAATATATGACTTTTTTTTCCGTCTTTGCTTGTGAATACAATGGCCAGTTTGTCTTGTTTGTGGTGAGACAAGCCAAGACAGAGAAAAAGGAAATATTTCATTCTCTGTCACCTAAACATAGAAGGATCTTTTGAAAGGAGAATGTACCACACTGGCTGTTCATTAGCAGCAGAAGATGCCTTTTGCTGCAACCTTCAAATTGGAGCATTACCTAGAAATGATAACTTAATGAAAATACTAAGAATGTTCTGAAAATAAAATATTTGTCCTTGAAATGATTTCATGGAATTGTTTTATGACAGTATTATCTCTTCTTTTTCTGAATGTCTTTTAAAGTGTTACTAGACAACCTGTGACCCATTTACCCATCGATTCAGAGATATTTCTTTATCCGATTCCTCAATGTCTTCATAATGACAGAGTTTGTAATGTATTGTTTCCACTGGAAAATTTGTGATCCATTCAGAGATTTATCTGCCTTGAAAATAGCCCATGCTGAACTGTATAGTACAATGAAACATCAGCATAGGAAATGTCTTACGATAATTTGTATTTTGTCATAAACTGTTTTATAACTTTTATATTATAATTTTTTTTATAAAATGTGCCAAATTCTACAGGGATCATACCATTGTCTAAATTAGCGCACTTGAAGTATTTTGGTTTCAAAAATGTTGCCCTATGGTGCACCATTTCATCCAGTTAAAGGTTTCAATAATCAACAGTTTTAGTAAGTATATAGATTTAAGGAGAGGTTACATTGGCTTTTTGGTTGCCAAGTGTCCACTCAGTGGATCTAAAACTTTGCTCTTTAAGGTCTTTAGAGAAACCAAGGGTTCACAGGATAGTTACCTGTCTGAATTCTCAAAATGGACATAAATATGTTCCTACCTCTTTGAAAATTAAATGAAAGGCAGATGTTCTAATCCAGAGAATGTATTATAATCCAGTTGGTTATAAGTTATAATCCAAAGAGCCCTAAAATAAATTGTCCCAATAATGCCTATATTTGCCTCAGCAAGGCATTATTAGGAAGATGGAGAAAACCATCTTCCATAACTGGCCCTTTCTTAAGCACTAATATGCCTCTCGCTTTATCTCTGACAATGCAATTTCTTAGCTATTAGATGAAAAACATTTTGCGTGGAATTGGTTTTAGCACCCTAATGGCAGAGAGACAGAGTGCAATACTGTTGATATTTTTTTCTCAATTTTATTTTATTCAGAAGATTAAAATACAAAATCCAAAAGAAAAAAAATTAATAAAGTCAAAATTAGACAATAACACTAAAATGTGTATTAAAAAAAACAAAAAAACTCATATTATCCCCCTAGTTGAACATTGACAAATCTATTGCCACAATAATAGCTTTTCCGCCTTGCAAAGCAGGTTCAAAATTTATAAGATACTGTGTCTATTTGCAACCCAATTGACCTGTATACATTACATATGTGAAAGAAAAATAGTTAATAGGTTAAAAAACAGCACTGATAAAGTTCAAGGCAATTTGTTAACAGTCTGTTATTGTGATTTATTTGTAGAAAGCCTGCATGGTTTCTTATTTACCCACAAATCATCCCGATCATTACAGTATCTCTTGATTTGTTCAGGATGAAATACCCTCAATTGGCTCTTAATAATGATACCTTTCCTTAGGTTTTTAATTGGGAACTTTCCCAACAATTGTATCTCATTTCCAAAATTTATAAATCTCTCTTGTAAATATCTCTGCAACATCCATCATTGAAAAATTCTCCTTAAATCACAGCATTCCTCTTACAAGAAAGTTCAGTCCATCCTTCATCAATTTCATTACTTCAGAATTTCTTTTATTCATATTCTTTTCGATCTTTTCTGGCAGATCCATATTTTTTTCACATCAGACAGCAAAAATCAGGTTCCAATTCATCAAGTTGAAAACCAAGTTATTTTCTGCTTTTGGATATCTTGAGTTTGCACAACTGCTATTGACTCCTCAATTTTTTTTTTACATTTTTAAATAAAACCAGTTACATTCTTTTTTCAAATGCTTTCCATAAAATTTTATCTCCTTTAAAAACAGTTGAGAATCACACTATTCTTCCTTCAAGAAGAGAAACAGATAAACCAGGGGTTAAAGAAAGGGAAATTTTCCCATCAAAAATTTAAAAAATAAATATCAACGCTCTTTTCAAAAAAACTAGAAAAAATGCAATATAATCCTACATAAATGTAAGTCCAATTGGATGATTTCACTGCCATAAGAAATATATTAACCTTATGGCTAAAGTGAAAATAATTTAGAATTTAACAGTAAACAGTAAAAGAGCAGAAAAAGTGTTGTAAAAGTCCAGCAAGGAGTTATAAAAGAGGCCAGAAGCCAATTAGTCATAAATCAAGAGAGAGTAAAGCTTCAAAAGATGCAATTAAAATCCAGATGTGATTAAAACGCACACACACACACGCACGCACACACAAATAACTGAAGGAAATGTTGGCAAGAGGTTAGACCTTCCCATCTGAGCTCCTTACCAAGAACTGTGGCCATCAAGACCCCCCCCCTCTTCTCCAGGGGGCACGATCATCTGAAGATTGTCTTGTGTCCTTCCTAGTCTCTCCTTAAAAACCAGGGAGCAGACCCACCAAATAGCTTAGGTGGCAAAATCAGCTCTTCATCAACAGGAGAAAAAGAATTGCCCGTCATTTAGCACGCCATCGTAGGGGAGGAGTTCCCTGTTAATATTTTTTGATCTTTTGGCAACTTTTGATAGCATTAACCATGGTACAATGGAACTATTGTAGAAATAAGGGAAATGATTAAATATATGATCAGAGAGTAATCATATACATTGCATTTATTTTAATTATGTAATTAAATAATGGGCAGGGTGGCTCAGCAGTCAAAGACACTGAGTTTATCTGCTGGAAATCTGACAGTATGGGTTCAAGACCTGAGCGCTGCATAAGTAAGCTTCCATTATTTGCCCCAGCTCTTGCCCACCTAGCAGTTTGAAAGCATGCAAATGCAAGTAGATAAATAGGTACCACTTTGGTGGGATGGTTAACAGCATTCTTTACACCTCAGTAACCATGGAAATGTCTTTGGCTAAGAAATGGAGATGAGCACCACCCGCTAGAATCAGGCACACCTGGAAAGGGGAAACCTTTACCTTTAATTAAATAACACCATTGTTTTTATAATTTACCTTATTTGGATTGACAGCTGTATGTCAAGTGCTATGCAGTTGTTTGATTGCAACAGATTTAATGTGGATTTAAAGGGTGGGGATATTTAAGGAATATTGCATTTATTTTATATAGAACTTCATAAACCATAAGGACTAAGCACATACAAATTATGGAATTTACTTCAGAGTGTTTGCTAAGAGAATTACATCTATTTTTTTAGCACAAAAGATGCTTTTATTTCAGGTTGCAGGTCTTCAAATGGCTTGTCAGGGTTAGGGTTAGTGAAGCCAGGTAAAATGCTTCAATTTAATTTTAAATGTAATTAAGCACAAATACACTGGATATTAGGAGTCCTTGGTGCACTCTGAACTTAGTTGTTTTCTTGCAAACATTTCATTATCCAATTAAGCAACATTATCAGTACTAGTGGCTGATGATGTTACCTGGTTTAGGTAATGAAATGTCTGCAAAAAAAAAAAAAATCGAGCTGAGAGAGTACCAGGGACCCCTCATTTCAATCCTGAGTTATGAATATTATCCTGATACGCTGAATATTAGTTTCCATGTTTTCTCTTTGTATGATAACAATACTGATACAGTGGGAATTTCTTAATGTAAACTGCTCCACCTGGTGGTTCTTGAAAATCATCTGATTCCAAATCATATTAAAAACATCAATGTAGTATCAACTCCTGTCTAGCCTGCATTGTCTTCCATCCAACTATGAATTAGGGCTGAACAGTTATCACTACCTCATTGGTACATGCATAGTTATATAATCTTCTGGCTGCGAACCAGATGAATACAGATGTATTTCTCAATTTTGACAACTTTAAGATGGACTTCAATTCCCAAAATTCCTCAGCTAGCAAAACTGGGGAGTTGAAATCCAACCATCCTAAAATCGCCAAGGTTGAGAAAACTGAAGTACGAATCTACTAGTTTATACTTCTTCACATCTGAAAAACATTGATGGATAAATTAACTGATATTGAAGATTAAGCTCTGAATTGAAATAATTATGAATAGGTAGTTTTAGGAAATAACAGCAGTTATATATGACAGGGCTAAATATTTCAATCTGTTTGTTCTGTGAGCTACTTTAAGTTTGGCATATCTTGCTAGCTATGCAAGCAACAACTATGTACTTAGAGAAGCATGGCACGTTTTGAAAATGCAGCATGTGAATTGATAGCCCTTATTAGACTTGTCTCTTGTTCTGAAAAATCTTAGTCACTTAGACTTCATAGGAAAAACAGCAAGGGTATGCATGGAAAGTGAAATAAAGCAATAAAGCTTAGCAGCTAGATCAGAACTATTCCAGTTTTATTAAAAGAAAGATATCTCCAGACAACAGTACTCATAGTCTTGACAGTTCTGCCATTGCAACTTACAACCATTTTTCACAGCACTGATTTTTGGTAGTTTCAGTATTTCTTGAGGGAACAAATTCAGGATTGAGAAATTTGTGATACATATATCACACAAATACATTACACTGTTGGCAGAGATTGCTTGCAATCTTTGTATGTGGTAGAAACAGCATCCTTTACTGTTTTCCTCCTTAAACATCTAAGGAAGCAAGCAATTCAAGTTCTGAATCAATGTTTTAGCACTTCACTAGATAAGGAAGACAGACAGAAGTGTGATCCTTATATGCCATAGATATTCCTGCTCAGTCAAAACGTGAAATAAATAATAAATTGGTTCAATTTCTATTAATAAAAATGAAAATTGAGATCAGGAACATTTAACAAGAACTTTGCTCAAGAACAGTCCCTCCCCAGTCTTTGCCATGATCTGAGAAGATGGACTGCAAACCTAGCTTCATTTCAAAATCAGAGCAAAAATGCTTTCCATGTCCATCTTTGATAAAAAAAAAAATGTTCTAATAATAATAGCAATTTGAATACCAAAACTGGTGGCCACATCTGTATTGGATTTATTCATACAGAAGTTGTATAGATACTTGTCAAAGATGTTTTAATTTCAATTCCTGTACTGAGCAAGGCTGAAGTGTCCCTTACATTCTTGAGATTCCTCATTGATAATCTTATAGCACAGTGGTGGCAAACCTATGGCACGGGTGCCAGAGGCGGCACTCAGAGCCCTCTCTGTGGGCACGCGCGCCATCGCCCCAGTCCTAGGCCTTCAGCTGGGTTTTATAAAACCTTTTCACTTTAGGCCTCCGCTGCCGTGTATATAAAAAAAAAAGGTTCAATCAATCAATTTCAACTTCTTACAGGGAAAAAAAAGATCTTGCAAAATTGGAATAGATTGAACTTTTTAGTCCCACCCAGTCTGCTGTTACCACCGCAGCCACGCCCACCCAATGGGCCACACCCACCCAGCACCCGACGATGCATAAGTGGGTTTTGGGTTGCACTTTGGGCACTCGGTCTCTAAAAGGTTCACCATCACTGTTGTAGCATATAATCATATTGATTATACGATTTCCAAGTGGTTGATTGATACTACTCCTAAATAGCATTTCTTTATATATGCAAAATGATTGCCAACTACTTCAGCGAACAGGATTCTCCACAAAATATTATAAAGGCAAATGAGATCATGAGTAATCTTTTGGATTCTTATTTGGCCAGTAAGACTATCTGTTCCAACACTAAGAGTTCCGGGGAACAGATGCATTCAGGAACCCTCTTCTTTTCTTGCCACATTTGTTAAGTGAATCACTGCAGTTGTTAAATTAGTATCAAGGTTGTTAAGTGAATCTGGCTTCCACATTGACTTTGCTTGTCAGAAGATTGCAAAAGGTGTTCACATGAACCCAGGACACTGCAACTTCATGAATATGAACCATTGTTAAGCACACAGATGTAAATCACATGACCATGGGGATGTTGCAACGGTCATTAAGTGTGAAAAATGGTCATAAGTCACTTCTTCGGTGCCATTGTACTGAAAAGTCACTAAACAAACTTGTATGTTAAGGGCTACTTGCACTGTAAATAGCCATCAAAACGGTTAATGAATTGTCTACCATTTCTTAAGTATTTCTTGGAAAATTCTGAGACCCCCCACAACTTTGGTTTTTTTGTATCACAAATATTCAGTCCTCCACTCTATGAATTAATACATAGAATCGGAGTATTAAATTGAACAAGCTTAATCATAACTCTCCTGTGCCTTCTACTCGCTTTTCAAAATAGCTGACACCCATGAGATCACTAAAGTCAACAGCAAGAAAGAATACACTTTTTCTCCCTAGATAAATCTATTTATTAATTTATTTGCTTGTTACCCTAGTTAAAAAAAAGGCTGGATTACAAGTATATGAACAATATAAAAAGTATAAAAACAGATTCCATAGATTTCTACTACATTGATAAAAGTGCATAACTACATACAATTCATCTTGCATTACTACTTGAGGAAGAGGGAAAGGGAGGAACAGTCTGCTGTAGTAGTAATAAATAAATAAATACAGAAGAAGAGATGATCCATATTATAGTTACATATAATTCATACTGTAATTGTAAATGCACAGAAATGTTGACCAATATTGATTAGAATTCTAAAGTATCAGCCAAGAAACCAAAGATAATCAAGATGCCTACATGCATCCTTCACTGTTTACCAACTCAGCAAAACTGCCAAGGCATTAGGTCAGTCTGGGGGGAAAAAAACTATTTTATCCTCCCTTTAGAATAAGTCTCCTATTTACAATAGGGGATAGGGACAGAAGAAAGGCAATTAAGGGTACCCTATAAAAGTAGGAAGACAGTGTTTTATAGTCATATTTGTCTGACATAGCACAACTAAGATTTCATTGTTCAGTTAAAAAAATCCCAGGCACATTCATAACAGTGCACTGCAGAATCAAGTCGAAATTCTCATGCTATTCAAATGAAGTAAAACAAAAATCGAAAGCAGCAGAACCCTTGCAAGGAAGCCATTATTTTGATCCCCAAAAGCAGGCAATCACCTATTAGCCACGTTTAACAGAAAGCTGTTCCTGGTAATCAAGAGTTTCAGTAAAAAAACAAAAACAAAAAAAAACCAAACCAGGAATCATAATGCTTTAGTTTACCTTATTTCTGAAGCAATTCTGGCATAAGGCAAGAGCCTTACTGAATTTCACAATAATTAACTACAGTGACATTGCCTAAAAGCAGTGGTGGGATGTGTAGGGACTTGGGAGTCACTAAAGGGACTAGAAAACTTGTTTTTCAAGTTTTTGAGACATGAGATATTGATATCAAATTAGGGGTAATCATTAGGGATGTTAACTAGCTTTCTTTTGGGAGGGGCAAAGGAAGAGCTATAACAGCTGGAGGCACTTTTGGATAAGGAGAGGCAAATGAAATTTCCAGGAGGGGTAGCAGCTGGGACAAAGATTCAACAATGATGAGTAACATTTACTATGGCTAGGTTGCATGAATCTGTATGTAGGTCTCTCTGCAGGCATTCAGTAAATCTGTGAAATGTTTTAAAAGAATATATTACATAATTCAATTTCTTCAAGGCTGGTGTATGGGCTCCTGTCATATCTAGCAAGTCTGGTCAATGGTTTTCCAACCAATAGTCAGGCTGAACTACTGGTGTGGAAATAAGAATGCCATCAGTTGCTATAAACACATTTATGGAGGATATAATTCAAAATATATAGAGAGAAGGGAATGAAAAGAACTAAACCTGAATTTTGTCAACATGGTTTTCCTTTGAAGTTTTCAAACAAAAGGAAAAGCTTACTAAAATATGTGGTATAGTTCTAATCCCATAGGCCAATTGAAGAACTAGTATTATGAATGGATAATAGACAGCTGTTCCCACTCTGAAAAAGTAGACATAGCTTTATATCTGTAAGGTACTGTAGCATCATACCAAGGGAAACCTATTTGGTAATTAAAGAAGGTTTTGTCATTATAGCACTGTGTTTACTTCATATTACTGTTCAATCCCTATGCAAATAGGATACATTTCTACTATGGCTTTTCTGTTGGAAAAATAATATATGGATCTCCAGATGTTGTTGAGCTCCTACTGCAGTCAACTGCATCTAATCTGCCCAACAGTTAAGGATGGTGGGAACTGCAATCTAACAGTTGAAGAACCACCTGTTGCCCACCCTAAAATACTATGAAGAAACTGTTTCCTTGCACAAATTACCGGCAATCTTATTTGTGGGGGAAATTATGATTTAAGTTAGTGGTACCACCCCTTGGTCTGATCCACCTTGACACTTGCTACTTTTGCCTGTCAAATGCAACTTGTCTACTCACACATACATTCTTACTATCCAGAAAGACTAGATCAAGTTAAACATCTTTATCATTGCTGAAGCATCAGTAGTAAGAATTAAGAACTCCACAAACTTTACATCATGTACATGGTAGAGAAGTCTTATATAAGCTTCAGTATCCAAATTCATGCCATGGTTCTGCCTTACTAACATGGCCACCCTCTGGAAATACAAGCCTTTCAACTCCAGAATTCCCAACTATATAAAGCACGGGTGTCAAACTAGATCATGTCATATGACATATCATGTTTTTTGCCTTTGCGGAGCTGGGGTGGGCGTGGCCTGTGCGAGACACATCCGGTCCGCGGGCCGCCAGTTTGATACCCCTGATATAAAAGCTCCAAATACTGAGAATTGGAAGAGCAGAATAGATGAAGGACACTACACTGGGGAAGACTACCTTAGAGTCATCATTATGTTTCCCCTCCACATAGACAGAAAAAATGGCTACCTAAAATTTATCATGCCAGGCAGGAACACTGCTTATGACAAAAATACATACTCCATATCAGGGGTGTCTGCAGAGTATGATTTAAAAAAAGTCAAGATGGCAACCCTACTAATGCAATGGAAGACACTTCTCCCTTTTTTATCAATGTCACACATAAAAAGAGGCAGAGCTTTGATTGTGCTACTGTGGCCACCATCTCTTTTTTTAACCATACGCTGCAATCACCCCTGCTCCACATGGTCAACAGCCTTCCAGCCATTCACTCCGAGACAAACAGGGTGGGAACAAGGCTGAACAAAGATGACACACAGCAGCTTTCAGCTTCATTATGTGGTCTAGCCCATTTGCAATATTCCTTAGTCTTTTTCTGAAAAGATATCAAGGGACTCTGAATTAGTAGAACTGATGCAGTAAAAAAAATAAATCTTCAGACAGTTCAAAGGGAAAAAAAATTAAGTCTTTTGGCAGCATAGCAGGTCTCCAAAGTAAAAAGAAGGCCACTTCAACAGATGGCAGAAGAGGTGTCATCTGTCCCCCTCTGCACCTCTTTAAGGAAGTCACCACTCTTCTTGATTGGTAATGGTGGAGGATGGAGGAACTGGCGGTGGAGACTTCTCGGCTGCAGGCTGCTTATTACGACAGCAGGGCTTGAAGAGATGGGTGTCTATAAGGACTTCTCCAAAGCGGCCTTTGTAAATAATTCCACAGCAAACCTTTTGCCTTCCAGGGGGAAAACAAACTGTTACTACACATATAATTTATTAAACTTGTATCTTGTCAGACTCTGGATGGCTCACAGCAATCCAATAAAGAAATTGGAATAAAATCAATAAGGCATAAAAGGTAAAGATTAAAAATGGCAAGCACGATGAACTGAGGGGGTCTTGATCACCCTGGCAAAAGAACCAGATCTTCATGATTCTTCTAAACAACAGCTGATTAGGGGCCATATTTTAAAGATAATTTAAAAGTAATTTATATGTAGTTATTGGACTGTTCTCACTGATGGACATGTGTGCCTTTTCACATTTGCCTAGTTTTTACAATATTTGTTTGTTTATTCATATTCGTGTGGCTGCCCAATTTGCAAAATCAACTCTGGGTGAGAAATGTGGCTAAAAGCATCAATGCAAAATGAAAATAAATGATACACACAACAATGGTGCATGTATGCTATATCAAGGGGGGGGGTTATTAGCCAGCTTCTCACAAAGCCTGAGTCTCATTAAAGCTTAAAAGGGCCCAAGGTCACCCAGCTGGTTCCCTGGTAAGTACACACTAAAACACTCCTCCCAGTCCAGCATCTTAATTATCACACAATGCTGTTTTCCTGCTCAAGTCATGATTAGACAAGTATAAAACACTCTACTTGGAGATCCTGTGTGTTTATGGCACTCCTAATAAAACAAAAGGCTGTATCAGTATCATGTTGTTTTTTTTAAATCAAAGGCAACAACTCTTAACTTTTAGCAAAATGATTACTCTGTGGACCGTCTCCTGATCTAAAAGCACTACTTAATTCAACCATAAAGAGCACTGCCAATGCCATCCATCCCCCAAGGTTTGATGGAATGAAGTACAATTTTTTTCTTTATTTTAAAACTGTGCCAAGCTTATTTAGGCCTATACTACATTTTTTGTGTCTCCCTATTGGGGGGCATGCCAGCAACCGGTCTGCACAAACAAGCAAAGCCCCATCTGTGGGATGCAGGCAGTACGCAAAACCACACCCCCTCTGGTTTGCAGAAAAACCTTTCTCCATGGCACTGGTCCCCAGTGCCCAAAAGGCTGGGGATCTCTGCTATAGGGTCCAAGAGATTACGGTACTATCCTGGGTCTAAGATAGTTCCCATCAACATACAGGTAATCCTCAACTTACGACCACAATTGAGCTCAAAATTTCTGTTCCTAAGTGAGACATTTGTTAAGTGAGTTTTGTTCCATTTTATGTCCTTGCCACTGTTGTTAAGTGAATCTGACTTCCCCACTGATGTTGCCAAGCATCTGAATTTTGATCACGTGACCCAAGGTTATAAGTGTGAAAAATGGTCATAAGTTACTTTTTTCAGTGCCGTTGTAACTTTGGACGGCCACTGAATGAATTGTTGTAAATTGAGGACTACCTGTATCTTGCAGCAAGAAAATCCATGTATTTCTGATATCTTCCTAATCCCCAACTCTTTTTACAGAGAACTTGTCCTTGCTAGACTTAGCAAGCATTTCCGCTGACATGAGTATGCAACACTAGCTAATCTTAAAGCATGAAGGAGATTTGCAGATCAATACACCTGCTGGCTGTTGTCACAGCATCCATCACTCCTGTCCAAGAAAGGATTAATACTGAAAAGGGAAAAAAAGTAGCCTGAAGACTAGAGTTTTGCTCTTAAGACAACAACAGGCCTTGTGACCCAATTCATGCTCTGCATGATATCCAGTTACTTTTACCCACTTGCCTAAACAGCAGGTTGAGTCATCAGCTGTCTGCAAATGCTGCCTAATTGCTGAGGGAACGGAAGCAACAGAGCCTTGTAATTAAGATTATATTTTATGCAATTATCTCCATTTCTAACTTCTGTATCTTCCTGAGTTTCCCTCTTCTGCCTACCTTCTCTTTTGTCGAAAGCTAAGTCTCCATATATATATATATATGTATACAAATCCACAAATGGGGCGTTTTTACCTTTTCCAGTATGTAAGATCCAAGAAGGAGAAGACAGGTGTACGGCTTGAACCCGGTGCCATCTCAGTGTCTGAGCCATCATCAGATTGGTTGCTATAGCAAGGCGAGTGGGCTGGAGAGTTACTTGAGGTAGTGCTGTGAGCATCAGAGTCTTATAGGAAGAAAGGAAATAGTTACATTAAAATAAAATGCACACCTTGATTTAATGGACAATTCAGGGAGAGCAAGTGCCTATTATTCCCAATTGTTCATTAAATCTAAATTTAATGCCATGTCACTTTACGTCATTTGTGTAATAATGCAATTATGCAGATATTATGTCATTAGGAAAATGATGTAAATCATATTAATAAATGTAAATGCACTATACTTGGACCCAACATTAAATACTCTTTTAGTCACCAAATGATGTTTGTCCAATTTACTTCAGCTATAACATTTAGTTCATAATTTCAATAGGAGATCCAGATGCAAATTTCTGTTAAATCAAAGTTTTACTCTACATAACACTGTTTTTAAACCCAGAAATGTTTACCAGAAATGGACTCTTGACTTTGTATGCATCTTTAATTCTTAAGAGTTTCAGCTTTCATTTGCAACATAACATGAAAAAAATTAAGATTATTTCATATAGTTTTAATGCAACATATAATAAGTTTTCAACTTCCGGTTCTGCACAGTAATTGAGGGGTTCAGGGCTCCATACCCTTTGGCTGAGTTTCTTCCTGTTAGGGGACCCTAAATGGGCCAGAAGCTGCCCCAAAGAGGCAAAAAAGAAGGAAGGAAGTTCCGGGAACCACAGAGAGACGTTGGTCAACCCGATCAGTCTAGGAGAAGCCTTCCAGAAACCAACAGGAGAAAGGCTAGCCTAACTTCAGAGTCTAGCCCACAGGTCGGCAACCTGCGGCTCCGGAGCCGCATGCGGCTCTTTGAGCCTTCCCCTGTGGCTCCCAGCCTCCTCTGCCTTTGCAGAGAGACAGAGACAGAGAGAGGCAATTGCGCTTCCCTGCTTCTCTCTCTCTCTCTCACTCTGTGTGTGTGTGTGTGTGTGTGTGTGTGTGTATGTGTGTGTGTGTTTGTGTGTATATGTGTAAAAGAGAGTGCACTCAGTGTTTTCTGAGGAGCTGAAAAGCTTACTGGGCGGAGCTCCTCCCTTTGCTGCGTCTCTGCAGGAAGCAGGAAGGGCAGGAGAGAGCTAGCTAGCCCAGTTAGGCTGACTCAGGAATTCTGGGAGTTGAAGTCTACGAGTCATAAAAGAGACGAGGTTGCCTACCCCTGAGTTGTTGGACAGCAGCTTGAAGCTTGCCAGGTGAGCAGCAGATAGGAGACGGGGAGAAAGAGAGAGAGAGGGAGGGGAGAGAGAGAGAGAGAGAGAGAGAGAGAGAGAGAGAGAGAGAGAGAGAGAGAGAGAGAGGAAAGAGAGAGAGAAAGAAAGAGAGTGGGGGAAAAGGAGTGGCAGACCAAGGGCAGATAGAGAGGGAGGGAGAGAGAGAGATACAGAGAGAGAGAGAGACCCTTTTGACATCTAAAATGAAGATAACACTGCATATATCCTTTTTTTACCTGTGTGTGTATGTAATTTTATTCTCTTAAAGCATTCTCTTGGTGATTATTGTTTTAATAGTTTGGAGTCATATTTTTATTTTTAATGTGCGTGTATACACACACACACACACACACACATATGTAGGTCAGAAAACAAATATATACATATATATATATATACATACATACACACACAAACACACACACACACCTATAATAAAGGTAAAAAAGGATACATGCAGTGTTATCTTAATTTTAGATATCAAAAGGGTTTTGCGGCTCCCGGTGTTTTGTTTTTGGTGGGAAACGGGTCCAAGTGGCTCTTTGAGTGTTTTGGGTTGCCTGCCCCTGGTTTAGCCCAAGCTACAAGCAACCAAAGTCAAAAGCACTATTTTAAGCTGATTGTAAACAGCGGGTTTGAATCTGGGTAAGAACATCAATTTTCTCTATCCTATTTATCAACTTTCCTGAAAGAAAAAAAAAACCAAGAAGCAAAAAACCTCCGAAAGTGAAGGAGGGGGCTCTTTGCCCCACCCTTTTACTAACAGAAGTGGCAAATTAAACCTTTTATGGAGGACCAAAACATATTGAAATGAAATGACTATAAAACCTAAATCTGGATAAGTCTAAAATTGCTGGATGGTTAAGATTCTCATTTTAAAGGCAATTTGTTCATTTTGAAAATTTGAAAAATAAACCGGTGCTGACATCTAGTGGTGGATGAAGACTATGACAGCTATGGCTTTCATACGGGACTTGGCAAAATCTGGAAAAAACTAATTTCTACTTGTGACCTTTAAAGCTCTAACAACAGAGAACAGCTGTGACAAAAAAGAAAGCAATCTGGGCTGCAGACAAAGAGAGACTTATAAACTTTAGGGAACTTTCTGGATTACAAGTATCTACTTAACTCTGACCCCAAAGCTATTTGCAGAGAAAAGAAAACTTGGATTCTTGGTCATCATGGAAAATCAGAGACTTATAGAAAGAATTTATCAAGAAAAAATAAATACTTTTCAAGAGGAGACATATGATATGCTGCAACTAATTCAAATAACAATGATTTCAAACCACAAAGAAATCCAAAATAACTTTGAAAATATAAACCAATTCATCTCCAATTTAACTTTACAACAACAAAAAATTCCAGAAAACAACAATAGAGAAGGAACAGATAAAACAGATAACTAAATATAAATTTGAAGATAGAGACTTAATGATGGAACCTAACAAAACAAAGAAGTATGATTTAACCTAAGTGGGAAAAAATTTACAAGAAACACTGGATTTGGAAAAGACAACTTATACTTTAACACCACAAAACAAATTTGAGAATAAGAAAAAAGATTGGACAAAATGCAGAGACTCAGGAAAAGCACTAGAACTGAAGAGACAAAGCAGAGAGAAAAAGCAGAGAGAAAAAGAAAAAGATTTTCAACAAACATGAATGGGCAAATACCTTTTACAAAGATATTGTACTTGACTTACCTTTTATATCTACAGTAACACTTACAAGCATATGGAAAGATTCTTTGATTCAGCAGAACATATTAAGAAAGATACTGGGCAAAAGAAAAAGGCTAAAGTGAAAATTAAGAAAATAGACAATGGGACCTATCAGAGAGAATATTTAAAAAACAAACACCTGTTTGAATATGGTTAAAGAAATAGAAAGATTTTGGATATAAATTTTATTTTAAGAGGGAAGAGTCCCTCAAGTAACACAGTACTTTCTTTTTCCTCTTTCTTCTTATTTTATTTCTTGATATGAGTAATATAAAAGAGTTGGAATTGCTTATATAAAATGTTTTAGATATTTAAAGGTGATTGACTTTAAGAAAATTACAATGGATTAAAAATGTTTTGAATAAGAGTTAAAAGACTAGAGGACTAGATTTATTAAATGGAATATTTAAAGATTAAATATATTTTTAATTATGGTAAAAAAGAACAGAAAAATCTTGGAGATAAATATGTATTAGCTTATAGGAAACAGGGATTTTAAGAAGCATACTATCCCCTTTTATTTTTTTTATTCTTATTCTTCTTTTTTTAGTCTTATTTATTCCTTAAGAAAGGTGAAAGTATTGGGGTGGCTTACATGAAAAAAAATAGACTTAAATATTTAAATGTAATTAACATTGTGGGAAAAACAAATGTAAACAAGAACTATAAACAGGATCTCTGATGAGGCAACCAGAATGACTAGATAGAAAAGAAATATTATATTGATGTGATTGTTACCTGTAGAAATATTAGGAATTTTTTAATACTCAAATCGTTATTTACCAAAACAACAAGAATTGTATTAACTTAAGGTTGGTAGAAGAGAACATTATGGGAAAAAGAGGAAATCAAGTAAAGTTATTATGTGGATTATAGATTATAGAAACCAACTGTTAGTGAATGTTTTTTAAATGTAAACCTAGACAACACACTGTTTACCAAATATTAAGGTGACTATGTTTAAAAATCAATAAAACATATTTAAAAAGAAGTTTTCATTTCTTACGGCAATCACAAAGGCTATTTTCTTCCTGATTTTTCTTCAAACTATTAATATTTAATCCAAACCTTACAATTTGTGAAAGACAAAACAGTTGAAAGTAAACATAAGATTGTTACTTCAAACATACCGACATTCCTTTTCTCAGATTTATTTTGGGTAGCATAAATATGGCATAGTGAATAATTACTGTTAGCCTGTTTATATCATAAATTATATATAATGGTTTGGAATAAACAGGTATTACCTTTTCTCAGGACATAAAATCAGCCAGATTGTGTTTGCTCAGAGAAATTTTCAATATGAGGCTACTCATGAGAATCACCTATATTCAAATATCCTCCAGAAATTGTCTTTCACTTGGGTACAAAAATAAACTGACAGAATAAATAAAATTCACACATCATATGACTGTGAACCTACTTTCAAAGACAAGATGTAAAAGCTGAGACTGACTATTAAGTATCAAGAGTCAGTAAACTGAAAGTCTTCCTTGGCAACTGAAAATACAGTTAGGCTATTACATCAGATAAAGAATCCATGCAGATTTTACTCCAATAGTTGTTGGTAATTATAAGGGGTGGTGCTCATCTCCATTTCAAGGCCACTGAGTCAGCACTTTCTGCAGTCATGTGGCAAGCAACATGGAGGGCTGTTACTTTCCCACCAAAGTGATATCTATTTATCTACTCACATTTGCATGCTTTCAAACTGCTAGGTTTGCAGGAGCTGGGAGCAAGTAACGGAAGCTCACTCTTTCACATGGTGCTTAAGTCTCAAACCTCGGCTGCCAGCTTTCAAGCTGACAAGCCCAATGTCTTAACCACTGAGCCACCGCACCTCCCACATCACATAAAAAAATCCATATTAACAGCACATACTGTGTCGCTTTAACTCTTTCTGAAGTTTGCTTATTTGATTGCTCTTCATCCTGTTACTAGGTAGAGGTTTCATCTTCTTTGGCTTCAGTGTTGTTTTAAGACTTGGTCCAGCCCTTGCATCCACCACCTGCAAGAAGGCAACAGGCCATCTTAGTGCCATCAGGAACAATAAGGTCTACACAGATAATTTTTTTAAAATAGGAAAATATGCTGATTTGAACTTAAAAAACTGGATTTCCAAAGCTAAAAAAAGAAAAAGAAAAAAGAGGAAAACTGAATTTCTTTATCAAGCCTATCTAACCCAATAAAAATTTGTGATTGGTACTTACCAAAGAAATTAAACAGTTGGAAAATGTGATATTTTATTCAGAATTTGTTCTGCCATTGGATTATGCCAGTGCATATTGGTTTAACAGACAACGCGAGCTTACCTACTTGGACTTATTTTATTCAGCCATTCCCCTTTCTCTTCCGAGATACTAAAAGACTCAATGGAAAAGGGGACCAATACTACTTAAAGAAAAATGGATTCATTTTCACAAAATAGTGAATGAAGTGCTAACATATAAACTGGAGCTCACATGTTTGAATTTTCTTCTATAGCAGAAAACAATTGTTGATTTTGTAGTTCCCGAACTAATATGCTAACCAAACCACAGTTATTATAGTTTCCAAATGTTGTAAAGCAGTTACAGGATCAGCTATCCAGTAGAAATAGATATGTATGTATGTCTCTGGGGGAAGAGACGGTAGGTATACACGAGGAAAATATTCATAAAATGTATAGTTAATGAAAATAGCGTCCAACGCATTATCAGAGAAAAAACTGTTTGCAAAAATATTTCCAAGTTTTATTAGGAAAGAGATGTTTAAAAATATGTACCAAGTTTCATACAAGTTGTAAGAAAATTAGAATGATATAGAAACTGGACAAAAATTTAATTAAGCTAAAATTGTGAAACTGAGAAAAACTGTAGTTTGACAGATTAAAGACTACTTATTAAGTAGTCATTATTTAATGAGGGTAATTAGGATGGGCATTTCAGTCACTAAGAAATGTAATAAAGTGCAACATTGTGTGTGACCACATTGCTTAGTGACTGTAGTTCCTGCTAAGTAAATCATCACAAGTCATTAAGCAAAGATCTCACATGACTGCAACTTCATGCCAAATTCCTAATTAACTGTGCAAATCGCAATCATATACATGACTGTGGGATGCTACAACACTGCAATACTTGGAAGTTCGGGTCAATTACCAAATCACCAGATCACATGACTGCAGGGAGGCTACAATGGCCAGAACTCCAAGCACTGGTTGTAAGGATCCTTTGTTCAGGACTATTGTTAAATTTGAAGTTGCTAAACAAGTGGTCCTTAATCGAGGACCATCTTAATCATTCTCGCTATACCTGTTCACCCTAATATAGAAAGACATTTACTACAAGCAGCATTCCAGCTACTGCCTATAATCAGGAGTGTTATGGTCTACCTACAGGTAGCTTCATCTGTGAGAACTAGACTGTCAATTAGGAATGTTCAAGTCAGACTTGTTGTGGCTTATATAACACATGATCTCTCTGTCACCACCTTCCTCATGTTTATTTAACTTATTGGACTTCTATGAGTCATAGCAACAAAAAAGGCAGGTAAAGACAAAGCCAGAATGGCAGCAGCTCTAGGCATGTTGAGTACTCAGTAAAAGAGAAAAATATTGGATCACCAATCTTGGCTTACACTATAAGGCACAGATCTACCTATTTTACTTGGAAAGTCTGAGGTGGCCAGTTAGTAAGTATTTCAATTATTCCCCTCAGAGCTGCTACTTTAAGAAGCTTATAGCTTACAGTTCAATGATCACAAAAAGAAAGATCAGCGAAGATATGAGAAATCTCGCCAAAGTTAATCAGGTCTTGGATCACGCAAGCACCTAGGCAGACAACCCGGAATCCCATATACGTCACTTGGAATTGCATGAAGCAAGTTAAGAGGGCCAATCAATAGCCCCCTTTAAACATGCAAATGTAAATGCACCCAGCAGGACAGTTTGCTGTTTAGTTTCTCTTTCCAAGCATTACTGTACCCTAAGGAATGAAGTAGGACAGTAGCTCCATATTCTTACCATCACCTAGGCTTTATACTAGAAATGGGATTACTATCTAAATTGCTAAAAATGGGATTTACTTGGGGTTACCTTTGAAGACCACTCAGAAACTTCAGCATGTTCAAAATATGACTGCTTGTTTACTGATCGGCCAGTCTTGGTTCAGCAGAATTCTGCCCACCTCACAGAAGCTGCACTGGGTCTCAGTAGGCATCCAAGTACAATCAGTGGTCTGGTAGTTACTGATAACTGCTACCAAGACAATGGTCAGATAAATAGGACGTGAGTCGAGCCCAAGAAAATAATTTATGAAAATGTTTCAGACAAGCCTCTGCCTCCTTCACACAAAGAGAAAGGAGGGAGGGAAGCACATTCAGACTTGCAAGATTCTGTTATTGTAGCTGTAACAATAAAAGTGATCCTGATCCTGATCCTTCCTTCCTTCCTTCTAAAATGTATTGGCTGCCCATCTTATCACAAGGTAACTCTGGGCAGCGTCAATTACACATGGGGTGAAATGGGGGTAGGTGGGATCTGTTGTTATTTGATCAACTACCTCCACTGTGCTCTTCCCTCATTGGGGCCCCAGTCAACTAGCAGAGCCAGGTCTTTAGGCTCTTATGAAAGAATAGGAAGGTTGGAGCAAATCTCACATCGGGGGTCAAGATGTTCCAAAGGGCAGGTGCAACAGCAGAAAAGGCCCTTCTCCTGTACTCTGCTAGCCAGAATAATTGGGCTGATGGGACCTGCAGCATTCCTCTTCTACTGGCACGAGTGCATTGGCATTGGTTTTTTAGTTAAGCCTTCCTTGTAGAGCTGACAAAAGCTCAATATGAGTTAATTCTTCAGTTATTATGAGATTGTCCTTCCTGAAGGAGAATTTACTGTTCAGCGGTGGTGGCGCAGTGGTTAGAATGCAGTACTGCAGGCTAACTCACTGCTCACTCCAGGAATTCGATTCTGACCAAAGGTTGACTCAGCCTTCTATTCTTCCGAGGTCGGTAAAATGAGGACCCAGATTACTAGGGGCAATATGCTGACTCTGTAAACCTCTTAGAGAGGGCTGTAAAGCACTATGAAGGGGTATATAAGTCTATTGCTATTATTATTACTGTGCAGGGAGTGATCTATTGGTGATCCAGAAGATGTCAATAGAAACAAAATTCTCATATGGAATCTTCTGCCTCCTGAACTGAGAGGTTCTCTTTTTAATGGCAGTCTGGAAACAAGTAAAGAACATCTTTCTGCCCAGTTTTTAGAGGACTGCTTGAAGAAAAGTTGGCTGCCGTTGCCGCTGAGGGTTATAATTTTATGGTTGTAGCTACCAGGTGAAGTGTAACCACAGGGGAAATTGTGGCCCTATAATTTCATGCAAGTTAGGTTATTTGGAGATGTTATTGATGTGTTGTTATTGTGAACTGCCCAGAATTTGATGGAGAAGGTAGCATATAAATGATGTTAAAGAAGAGTGAAAAATAAGTAGCAGTTTCATACCTGAGACACAGGCATGTTCCAAGTAGGAAGACAGGATATGAATCTGCTCATAACTGAGGAGTTTTACAGTTCAAAATAAAAGCAAAACAGATGTTCAAAATATTGAAAGGGGCTTTGCGATGAAAATTGTAGGTTGTGTAAATCACAACTTTCTATTGCTGATAGTGGCAGGAAAGCTTCCTGTTTGTCCTCCTCAACTAAAGATCCACCTGTGTGGTCCCCAAGCAGCCTTTTTCCAACCCTATGTCCTCCACGGCTGTTTGACTCCAAACTCTCAATTCTCAGCATTGCTTTATCATGTCGGAGAAGAGCTGGAGGGTGGAATTAGCTTAGAGTTGTTACACTGCCACAAGCAGTCCAAGTCCAGCCCCCCCCCCTTAATTCTAGTGATCCTTATCTAGTACCAATTTAATGCTGACCATTACTTGACTAGATTCTTGTTTATAAGCAGCCTTGACAATAAATCTACTGCAGCTGCAGTCATTAAGCAAGTCTGACTGCAGTCCTGATGTGGTTGGATAATGCCAGGATAGGAAAAACTGCCCTAAAATATACCCTTATTTGGCAACTTGAATGTAGCCCTCTCTTATTAGCACGGAGGCTTCATTCAAATAACAGACTTCACTTGGCTAAATTGGGATTCACTAGTTATGTTGTATGAACCCAGACACTATGCACACACATGTGCTTATTTGCCACACATACATTGGATACAAAGCTACCAGCCACCTTTCTTTCTTTCTTTCTTTCTTTCTTTCTTTCTTTCTTTCTTTCTTTCTCTTTCTTTCTTTCTTTCTTTCTTTCTTTTTCTTTCTTTCTTTCTTTCTTTCTTTCTTTCTTTCTTTTGAATTCTGGGAGTTAAAGTCCATCCATCTTAAAATGGCCAAGGTTGAGAAACACTGATCTATTGCATCCACATTAAATAACTGATTATGTTCTGACTACATTGCCTCTTCTGTTTAAAGTTGTAAATTTTCCTTGGCTTTAACTGTTAATTATTTCATGTAATGCATAACCATATGTATTAGAAGGGTGAGATATACCTGAATGTGAGCAGTGCATCAATATCTATGAATAAAAATAACATAAATCACTTCATAATTTGCAATTCAGGAACTCACATGATTCCAATTCTTTTTTGATCCTGCTGGCAGCTTTTTCCACCTCTTCACCAGAAGCACACAAGCATTGCAAATATCTCCTGAGCGAGCTTCATGCAGACTGTAAAGAGAAGACTATAAGTCAATTACTGCAAAAAAAGCAGCAAGGGAAAACAGCTACATGTGCACACATATACACACACTGATGCTTGACTTTCTACAAGAGGCAACATTCCAAACTCAAATCATTATCTTGGGGTTAGCTTGCTATGATGAGATCACTTGCAAAAAACATACTTTAAGATATGAAACTGAATTACATTAAATTAAGCAAAGGTGGGAGATAACTTTGGAGTAGATAGCCATTATATTTTAACAATGTATTAAAGAAAGGCCTTCTCCTTTTCCTCTTATTCTCTGAGATCTTCACATGGGGTAGAAAATCAGGAAAAATCATGTCAAAAAGGTCCTGTTTCAAAAGGCAGCTGAACTTTGTTTGTTTTTTTAAGACGTTTCACTTCCCATCCAAAAAGCTTCTTCAGTTCTTTAGCTTTTTCAGTCAGAACTGAAGGGGCTTCTTGGAAGGGAAGCGAAACACCTTTAAGAAAGAAAGAAAAAAGAAAGTCCAGTTGCCTTTTGAAAAAGCACCTTTGGGTCAACCATGGATGACTGAAAATCTCCATAGACATTCAGAAAAAATTTTTTTAGCAGATCAAAGCACTAGGCTCTACTCTCTTATTTGCTTGCAGGATTGCCTCTGGATCCTAAAAATGCCTCACTGGGATGAAACAGGAAGTTCTGGAGATTATTTTGCCCTCTGGAAAAGGAGTGGTTCTGTGACTCACCATTAGCACCACAGCAATCATTTTGTGGAGTCCAAATGAGTGCCTGGCCCACCAAGAGTCTTATACAGGGTCACTGAACCCCCTTGACATCCCCCTTCCAATCTTCAAACTCAGAAAACAAGGATAAGATATTCCAATTTTCAGCCAGCTGGGAATTACTGCTTTGTCCTTCAGGCAGGTTACCTTGCCCTTCTTCCCACACAGACAACTCTTATCTGCCAAATATTTGTAAATGCATGCAAGGGGGCTGCATCTATCCTCCAGACCTCCATGCTAAAATTAGCTGGAAGCAAACCTCCCTAAGTTCAGCAACAGACAAAGTTCTCTCTGAGATCTTTGCCAAACGCAAAACATGTGGCATTTTTCATGTTGGGGATCAGCTCTGGTGGTAGGAACCCCATGCACTGCATTCAACATTTCTCCCCTGCATAGCCACAGAAAACGTTAGGCAAAGCTACTGCAACTGGAACTGCAGCATCTCTTACCCAAAACAATTCTGGAAGTCCTTTTCGTATCGCTTGCTGTCCGTGAAACGGGAGCTTGAAGACTTGGCCCGGCAAATACAGCAACCTTCCAAACTGCGATACATCTTCGGTTTGTGAAAGCCAAACATTGTTCCGTCCTTCCTTTAGTCAGCAGGGATAACGGGGAGGGGAAGGATGAGCTAAAATCAAAAAAGGAGGGGGAAAAAAACCAAGGAAGACACTGTGAAAAGATGAAAAAGAAACCTCCTCCAGTTATGGTTCTTCCAACTGACACTCTGCATTGCAATCAAAAAGGCTCCGCAAGTGCTCTAAATTAAGCATTACCACCACCGCCCTAAATAAAGGCAGAAGTCTCAAATCCATCTTCATCGCTAAGGATCACTGGCAGCTTTTTCCGCCCTTCCTCTCAAGGCAAAGGACGTTACAGGAAATGCAATGAGACATGTAACAAGGTGACCTAAGACACAAGATCTAATTGCCAAAAGCAAAATGAAAAACAACACCTGCCTTGTGGAAGGGACAGATCTGCCAGGCTTAAAACAAGCAGTGAGAGGGATGGTGGGAAAGGGGGTTACAATCCTATCTATTCTGGAGGGGAGTGGGGATGAGGAGGTTTTCTCTGCCATGGACACTCACATCCAACAAGGAAAGTGCTGTCAGCACTAGGTGGCCTACTCTGTATGGGTGATGTGATAATCTGAAACTCTCACCATTCCATCATATTCACCTCTGGGTGAATATTTGCCCACATCCTTTCTACTTGCATGGAACAAAATAAAAATATAGCCGAAGAGGAAGAGTTTAAGAAATTATCAGCCTTACCAGGTAGGCCAGAAAGGAGACACAAAACCACACAAGCTAATTCTATTTTATTGTAAAGCTACCTTAACAGAATCTTACAAGTTTGAAAGCACAATTCTTTTGTCATCTCCTTTACAGCTCGAGAAACTAGGACAGTGATGGCGAACCTTTTAGAGACTGAGTGCCCCAAAACTTCCCCGCCCCCACCCTGCCCCCCGCCCTCAGGGCCACCCACCACCTCCACAGCCCAACACAGATAGCCCAGGTGGCCCAGTAGCACTATGGCAGCCATGCCCTCTGCCCACGCCCCGCAGAATCAACTGCGCACGATAGGGCACGAGGGCAGATTCTTGTCCGGTTGCCATGTCCTTGGCTGCACTGCTCCACATGGGCCGCACTCAGGGGCAGCTCTCCTCCGGGGGGGGGGGGCTGCTGGTGAGGAGGGGGCCGTGGGAGGAGGCGAGGCTGGGATGACGGTGCGCGTGCCCAGAGAAGGCTCTGAGTGCCGCCTCTGACACGCGTGTCATAGGTTCACCACCACTGAACTAGGAAGTCTCTTCTGCTATCCACTACATAGCTGTGAACTATGTTTTTTCCTTATTTGATGGTTCCCTAAGCACCATCTCTTTTGCCCTGCCTCTTAATAAGGTCTTTCCCAAATACCATTACAGTAATCATACTTGCAATAATAGTAACTAGGTTTTAGTTTAACAGCTGGTACTTTATTTTAGATTGTTATTCCTGCCAGGGCAACATGAGTTGGCTAAGGCATCAGGCTAGAAAGCAAGAGATGGTGAGTTCAAGTCCCACTTTAGCCATAAAAGCCAACTGAGTGATTTTGGGCCACTCATTCTCTCAGGCCAACTTACCTCACAGGGTTGTAATTGTGGGGAAAATGGGAGGAGGAAGGTGTGTTGGATATGTTTGCTGTCTTGAGTTATTTGTGAAAATAATAAAGAAGGGATATAAATAAATAAAGCCAAGAAGTTAAAATAATAAATCAAAATAATAAACAATACATCCAGCAATATTGAAAGAACAGTACTTTGGATAAGGTTAAATTAGACATATCTTCCACCTACAAGCTTTTTCCAGATTTTGGATTGTTCCATGACACAAGGGTTTACATCCATCGGAGGTGGCTGCTATTGTTAAAAAGCATCTACAGCTTTCTAAATGCTGAGTGGGTATTAAGAGTTAAGCTGGTCCCCACCCACTAAATTGCAATCAGGAAGAGATGATGATACAATACAGGGAGGAAAGATCCATTGGAGCATTTTCATTCCCTATCTTAGTTTCCACAAGTGGAGATCTTTTTCATGGCTCTTTCTGGAGGCCAGATTCATAGAGGAGGATGGCTAAATTCACCAGATCCGATTCATTAATCTACAACTGCACATTGTAATGGAATGTGTGGATGACCTTGGGGAATGGGGCGGGGATGTTGCCTAGGAAACAATCAGACAAGAGAGGCAGCAGCCTCCAGAAACTTAGAAATGACCTGCCATAATGAATCAGTTAAAAATGGTGCAGGAAGTTTGTTCTTTCAGATTTGCAAGATTCTGTTAATGTCGCCTTGCAGTAAAGTAGAATTAGTTCATTTGGTCATGTTTCCCCATCTGGTTTACCTGGGAGGGCTGGTACATACCATATTAAATTAACTATGGGTTATAAACTACTATGACTTAAGTTTGCACAAAGCAAAAACCAAACTAACCACACTATGGTTTAGTCCAGTATGTAAACCTAGTATCACATAGTATCACTCAAAAATTAGGTATTGGTAGTCCTTGACTTACGACCATAATTGAGCCCAAAATTTCCGTTGCTAAACAAGATAGTTGTTAAGTAAGCTTTGTCCCATTTTACAACCTTTCTTGCAATAGTTGTTAAGTTAGTAACATGGTTGTTAAGTGAATCAGGCTTCCCCATTGACTTTGCTTGTCAGAAGATTATAAAAGGAGGGAGGCGATTTATTTATTTTTTTTTATTGAAAATTTTTTAAAAGTTTTACAAATAAACAACAACCCTCACCCAATCCCTCCCAAACCCACCCCTCCCTCCCCCCTCCCCGAACTTCCCAGAACTGAATATAGGCTTATTTAAAAAAATTTTTTTAAAAAAAACTTAAACAACATTTACAACTTATAAAATAATTAATAATAATATATATATTATTATTAAGAAAAAAAAAGAAAAAATACTTTAAAAAGAGAGAAAAAAGAAAAAGAAAAGAGAGAGAGAAAAAGAAGGAAGAAAGAAAAAAATAAATAAAAGTTCATAAGACGGAAACAAAAGAAAAAGAGAAAAAAAAGCGATCAATACAAATTATGAAAAAGCTAAATAATATTTTTCCATATTCAAATTGTGTTGAATAAAATTTATCCATTTTTCCCATACAACAAAAAATTTCTCTTGAGATTGCTCCTTTAAAAAAGCCGTAATCTTTGCCATTTCTGCCAAATACGAAACTTTATAAAACCACTCTTGTAAAGTAGGCAAAGAATCCTTCTTCCAATATTGTCCAACTAACAGCCTAGCGGCTGTGATCAAATTTAGCATCAGTATAACTTCCTTAGCATCACAGTCAGTAATAATACCTAATAAAAATAATTGCGGGGTAAATTTTACCCTCCTTCTAAAAATTCTTTGAATATTCCACCATATCTTAATCCAAAAGGCTTTTATACTTTTACACGACCACCAAATATGAAAATAAGTAGCACAAACAACCACATCTCCAACATTTAGGCTGTAGATCAGGGTACATAATGGACATTTTCTTTGGATCAAGGTGCCATCTATAAAACATTTTATAAAAATTCTCTCTTAAGTTCTGTGCTTGTGTGAATTTAACATTCCTCACCCATATAAGTTCCCAAGTATCCAGTGGGATTGGTTCACCAATATTTTGTGCCCATTTAATCATACAATCTTTAATTAATTCAGATTCTGAATCCATTTCCACTAAAACCCCATAAACCCTCTTGATATGGGTTGGTCTTTGATCCCTTACTTGTTTGATGAGATTTTCATCTTCTCTAAGCCATCCCATATTACAATCCGTCTTCCATCTATCCACTATTTGTCTATATTGAAACCATGAATAAGTAAAATTTTCATGTGTTAAATCTTCCAAAGATTTTAACTGCCAATTTTGACTATCCCATCTAAGTAATTGTATATAAGAAACCGTATCCATCTTGACTCCTTTCTTTATTCCCTCTATCGCATGCCAAGGTATGGACCATAATGGTATTTTAAAATCACTTCTATAATATTTCCTCCATACCCTAAGCAAAGAAATTCTTATAATATGAGATTTAAAAACCCGGTCCATTTTTTATTAAAAATTAAATAGGCATGCCATCCAAAAAGTAAATCCCAGCCTTCCAAATGGAGTATTTCTACATTTGTTAAATTCACCCAATCACTAATCAATATTAGTACCACCGCATCATAATACAATTTCAAATTTGGTACCTTGAGTCCACCTCTCTCACGGAAATCTTGCATAATTTTAAGTTTGACCCTTGGTTTTTTCCCTGCCCAAATAAATTTGTTAATACCTTTCTGCCATTCATTTAGGTTAAGTTCATTCTTTAAAATAGGTAACATTTGAAACAAAAAAAGAAACTTTGGCAGAACATTAATTTTAATAACTGCAATTCTACCCATAAGAGATAACTGTAAATTATTCCAATTCATTAAATCCTTCTGTACCCCAATCCAAAACTTTTCATAATTATTTTTATACAGTTTTGCATTAGAAGCAGATAGTGTAACCCCCAAATATTTTACCTTATCAACAATTTCAAAATCTGTTAAATTGACCAAAGTCTGTTTATCACAATTAGTCATATTTTTTGGTAATATTTTGGTCTTATTATTGTTAATTTTAAAACCCGAGACACACCCATATTGCTGAATCAGTTGTAATAATTTAACTACCGAATAAGTAGGTTGATACAAAGTAACAACCAAGTCATCTGCAAAAGCTCTTAACTTATATTCTTTTTTATTAATTTCTATTCCTTGAGACTCCCGAATTTTAATCAACAAAATTTCCAATGTTAAGACAAACAATAACGGAGATAATGGACATCCCTGTCTTGTACCTTTTTCTATTGTAAAAACCTCTGTTAAACCCCCATTTACGATAAGTTGAGCAGTCTGTTTTTGATATATATTAGATAAAACTTGTAATATATTTTGTCCAAAATTCATCTCCTTAATTAAACATAACATAAACTGCCAATTCAACTGGTCAAAGGCTTTTTCAGCATCCAAAAATATCAGCCCTGCAGGGACTTGGTTGTTTTTATCTAGATATTCTAATAAATTAATAATTTGTCTAACATTATTTTTCATATACCTT